CATCCCTCTTGACCGAGTCCTGGTGGTTGTGTGTTAGTCTTTACCAATCGGTGAACGCTAGTCATAACAATGTCTCATGCATAATCCTTGATGGGGTTGCTCATGCCTTGTGGTATGCTCACAATCACACACCACATATTGAGTATGAAGGCCTTGATGACATGGCAAGAACCTTCCCCACAGCTGAGAGGTGGCTGGGAGTCAATCTCGACTCTATCATTACTTACCTCTTTGTATGTCCGATGGAGAGGGTCCGCCTTGAGACTTGGTGCTACAACTCAGCTTACAATTGCCTGACTGTTCTCTACTCTAAGTGGCTCTACTTATGCTACTTCAAGCTCCGATCTGGCCAAATCCATGTGCTACTCAACTGGGAAATGCCCCTGTGACTCAGGCACCCTACTACAAATACCCCCCACAAAAATGCAACACCCCAGGGTCGCAGCATCAGAATGAAGATGTGGTCCGTGCTCACGAAGGTGTTTCTGCTTCCCTTCCCTCTGATGTCTTCTTCCCTTTCTACAACTTCATACAGCTTGTCACCCCTCCATTTCCTGTTCTTTCTTTCTTCATTCCTTCTCCATCTCCTCCAGCAATGTGCCCGTGCATGGTAGGAACAACCTTAACTGTCGGGCGTGATACCAGCCCACCATCGGGAATCCTTCTAGCATTTCCAGCGTGTATGAGTTTGTGCATTGTGACGTTACTTGTCTTGGCGCCGACCATTGAGGTATGATTTTTCTTGACAACTTGAAGTTTCCATCGACCTCGCTTGCGTAGACCTGTACTAGTTGGGCTGGGTTGAACACGATATGTCCTGTATGGGAGGATAAGACTTGTTTGTCAAATGCTGCCTTGCGCTTGAGGGAGTCTGCAACGCGATTGGCTAGAGCATCCAGCCATTGTTGAGCCATGTACGCAGAGTGAACATGTACGTCCAGTGGTGAGAGGTTGTTAGTGGTGATGGGTAGAGGCATTCGTGGGGTGTTGACGACAAGTCCGAGAAGGAGTTCCCTTGGGGAGAATTGGTATGCGGGGAGCACTCATCCATTGAGGTGCTCGATTGCCTTGTCGAGTGGTCAGACCATGTTCCAGGAATGGACTGCGGTTCCATGTTTACTGTAGTCATCCTCTCCCAGGTGCGGCATGCACATGTATTTCAGCCGCTGTAGGGAGTATCCCTACGCTAGGCTCATATCCACCACTTTTCCGATGCATCAGGCATCCATCCAACGTCCATCCAACACCTATCCATTCCATCCGATACACATCCGCTTTTCGGATGACATGCGGATACCTTCGGATCTCCTCCTATATCTCGCGCATCCGCCGCATCTGTCCTGTCCACGTCCATTCTACCTCATTGGTACATACTCACACACATTTTCTTGTTACTGACTGAACACAGACATATCCTCTCACACTCCAGTATTTTTCGGATAGCTTATGGCACGGTCTAGACTCGCTACCTATATATCTATGTTCCTTGAAAATACTGTACCCTATAAGCATGGAGGGTTTTGGAAAATACTGACTGGATGTAACTTCCTCCCACTTTTCCTACACCTTACCAGAAGGTCGCTTTGACTTATACCCACTTTTCCTACACCTTACCAGAAGGTCGCTTTGACTTATACCCACTATCCATCCAACCTTGAATGTACTTCCTTCAACTTTGATTTGCATCCTGTCTGATCCGCAAGTGCCATCCGCTCCATCCGATGAATCCGTACGTTTCGCATCCTATCCGTTTCATCCGCTTTTGCGGATCTTTCATCCTATAGGGTCGCTTTAGACAGAGACTAGTATTCCCCAGTAGCAATCCCCTTAAGGGTCGAACGCACTTGTTCCCAAGCGAGGCAGCAGGCAGCAAAGACCCAACTGTGTAGTAGATTGACTTCTCTCTGCTGCACTTGTTGTACCCACACCGCGTTAACAGGATTCGGTTGGTTCCTTCTACCAATCCGTTGATCCACGGCGCATATGCTGCTGTGACATGATGCTTGACGTCATTTGTTTCGCACCAGTTGCCCATGTCCGAGTTGTCGAAGTGTTTCACACCGTCCGTCATCAGTGTTTCTGGAGCTCAGAAGTTGTGTCAAATACTCTCAAGTCCCGCTAGTGTGGTCTTTGCTGTGCCATGTACTTTGAGCTTGAATCCCCAGATGTACTGTGAATAGGTGTTGATGATCAGAAGGATGTTGTGAAATCCTCCTTTTGCTTTGGGCATGGCAAGATAATCGGCGACAAGTAGTTCGAACAGATGTCGGCAGATAATGGGCTCGAGAAGTGAGTTGAGATGTGTAGCACCGAAGCTCTTGCACTGCCCACACTCTGTTATGGCATTGGTGATGGACCGGTCGAGATGCAGGACTGTATATTCGGTCAACCAGTTGAAGTTTGACCAAGTCCCTTCCCCAGTGCCCTTTCATTGAGTGCTCTTCCCTCAGTGAGCTCTATAGCCTCCTCTTGTGTGATGCACTCTAACTTCCCATGTACTTGCGTTGACGAGTCGTTTGGGACCCACCACAGTTTATCTTCTGCAATGAAGAAGTGTTGGGCCCGATGGTGAGCGCGCCGTTTCTCCCTGACTGACTTGTTCGAGTCTAGGTTGTGGATTGCATCAATAACTTCTAGAAACAATGGTTCATTAGCGAAGCGTTGGCATAAGGGTTCTGATACTGTGGACGATACTGACTGCATTGCAGTTTCGACTGCGAAGAGGTCTTGTATGATCCCTCATGACTCCTCCCAGTCTTCATTGACTGTCCAGTCACTGCCGTCACCTGTAGCATGTTTGTTAGGTACCGTGCCGACTCAGGAGGCAGAGGGGTCGGGGCTTGGCTTCAGCTCTTGCGCTGCGCCCTTAGCCGAGTACGTGCCCCGAATTTGGAGCGGGTCCGACATTGTCCAATGGTAGGACGAATGGTCCGCTTTGGTCCACTTTGAGGGTCGGGGAGTAAGAGCTACTAGCGGTGGGCCAACTAGGAGCGGAGCGGAGAAGGCGAGGAGTGATGCGGAGAGTGGATAGGAGCAGGGGAATGTTGGTAGGAGCAGGGAAGGCGGAGGATAATGTGGAGGGGCGAAGGAGGATATTTGATAGGGGCGGAGTAATAAGGGAAGGACTTAGAGCATGGCTCTAAGTCGGAGCGGAGGGTCGGAGGGTCGGAGGCGACAGCAAGTTGAGACTTGTGTCCAGAGGAGGCAAGGTCCTACTGAGAATTCTCACAAGTAGTAACTGCGAGAAGACAAGTAATATTAAGACTAAGGAAAATATCTAAGTACAGGATATGTTATATACTTCTATGTATGAGGCAGTGATCAGGATAACTATGTAGTAAAGCTATGTACCAAGGATATAGTTTGTAAGTATTTTACATAGGCGAAGACATAAGTCGGAGCGGATATCAATATATACGCATCGGATCAGCGATCGAGCAGTAATAGGAATTACCGGTCATCCAGAAGTAAGGGTCTATGTACCAAGGGGAAAGTATCTATCTAAAAGGGGAAAGAGATCCAGTTGAATGGAGAGGTTATGGAAGGGGACCGGTTGAGCGGTTGAGCGGAAGTGTAGGGGCGGAGTGGAGGATGGGTGGAGCGGAGGGGGTCGGAAAGTGGAGCGGATATCAATATCGGAGCTGTCGGATCAGGTATATGACAGTGTTCTCCTGTCATGAACCCACAACTTAGGCCATCCGCTGCCGTGTTTGAGATTCCGGGTTGATGTCTTACGTCCACTATGTGGTATGCAAGTATGCCATCCCTCCAGTGTGCGTGTGCCATACTCAACTTAGGGTTAAGGAGTGTGTCACATAGGGCTTGACAATCGGTTTTGATTTCTACTGGCACTCCCCATATTACATCTGAAAACTGATCTAAGGCGTATTTTAGCGCTGCGAACTCTAGGATGAATGGCTTGTACTTCTCTTCGGTAGGTGAGGTGCATTTTTATGCAAAGGCTATGGGGTGCACAGCGGTGATGACTTTGCCTGACGGTAGTGTGGACGTGTGTTTCTGGGCGAGCGCTCCAAACCCATCTTGGGAGCCATCTGTCATGATGATGAATGGTGACCTGTCGAATCTTGGTCCTTTGAGAACGGGTTCAGATACCAGAGCTTGCTTCAGGTCCATGAACGCTTCCGTGTGTTGCGGCCCCCAATGTGGTCGTAACTGCGCATGATGAAGGTGCTGTCTATACTTGTGCTTCCCAACATGTTGTCCTCCTGGGGGAGTACCCAACTTTCAGATTAGGTCCATCAAGGGTGCAGCTCTCCGTGCGTAGTCTTTCACCAATGATCTGAAATATCCTGTGAGTCCTAAGAACTGCATTAGATCATGAGCAGAATTGGGTACTGCCCAGTCAACAACTGCTGAAATCTTGGATAGATCCGGTTTGATGCCTTCACGTCCTACACGAGCTCCTGTGAATATGACTTCGGTCATGAACAATTGCATTTTTGAAGGCGATAGGGACAGGTGCATGTCTCATACTCGTTCGAAGAACGTGCGTAAGCGAGCTAGTTTTTCTTTGAATATATTACCTGCCATTCCTGTATCGTCAACATATAGTTCAAAGAGCAAACCAATTAAGTCTTTTAGGGCAATGGTGGCCATGTCTCCGAAGTTTGTTGGTGCACCTGTCAGGCTGAAGGGCATTTGACAATAGCAGTCATACCCTCGTCCTTCTGTGTAAAACACTAAGTAAGGTTGAGATTCTGGGTCTACTGGAATTGCATAGAAACCGGCTGCAAAATCAATGATACTTATCCACCTGTGGCCACTTAGATGCTGCTGCATAGTTCTGATGTCTCCTTGCAGTACTGGGGGGACTTGACTAGCGCGGTTGACTTCTGCAAAGTTTTGACATATGTGCCATTTCGGCATGGAGTTCTTCCGGTCTTTTTCGCTGTTGCTGTTTGGCAGACATGCTGGGAGGTCGTTTCTGGTAGGTAGCCCATGCTTGCTGCATTGGTCGTTGACGCGGTGCAGTAGTTCCTCTAATGGCAGTCCATCTGCCCGTGTGCCTTCTGTGCTAGTACTGTAGGGCTTGCAGCCTTGACTTCTTCTGGCTCAATTCGACAGATGATACCTGCCTTCTCGAGCTCATTGAGTCTTTCATAGAGGAATTCCCGCTGCGGTGGCGTCAACAGTCGTTGATTAACCTTTGTCCTGAACGTGGCTCCCTCAGGAAAGTGCAGCTTGAATGTCTTGAAGTCCACCGGGTATACTTCGCTGATGCTAAGGGCAAACATGTCAGCAAATTCTTTGCAGAGAGTACGCACCTGTGATCTTTGGTCATCTGAGAGATCCTCACTGATTTTTATCACTCTCATTATTTCTGCTACTCGCACTGGATTGAATGGGTTGGTATGTCGAGAATAAATGCTGGGCGTGATTGAGGCTGTCGGGAATTCGGGTACTTCACCCAATGTTTCATGCTTGAGTTGGTTCAAAACTGGCCATATGGGCGGATTAACATTTCCGACCTTGGTTTCGGTTGCTATGAAGGAGACAGGTGAGCATGGTGATAATGGTGCTTGTTCTGTTACCGGTGAAACTATTGGCCATTGGTCTGCCTGCACTACGTGTGCTCCTGCTCTTGCCAGGCCTTCTGTGTGCAGCTCCAGCTGGTCCTTTGTGACTCGCACGTTGACTTCGAACACGTAATGTTCAGTGTTTGGTATTGACCGTCCGTGTTTTTCCTGTGAACTGGAATCAGCAATTTCATCTGGGGGTATAGTAACAATTAGAAATATCGGTGCAAATGGAAGGTCATCTCCGCCGTTGTCATGTACAGCTGGTTCTGGTGGTGTTCAGGTTTTCGGTATTGGTGCTGCTGTCGTTCCGTGGATGTTGTACATTACAATAGGTGAGGGTTGGTACGGTATTATTATGGCATCTTGAGCGTAATCATGCATGGCTCCTAGTTGTTCCAGTAAGGGCTTGCCAATTAGCATTGACCATGCCCCTCCGCTGTCGAACACTTTGAAGGATGTGCGAATCTTGACCTTGTTCCATTGGAAGGTTCCCCGCCAGAGTCCGTGTGATGGTACTATCGATCTGTCCGCCATTCGGAGGCTTTGGTTCGATCATATGAGCCTCTTTAAGTTGCGCTCTGCCTTATGGAACACTTTCAGGTCAATAATGTTTACCATGGATCCATCATCCATGTTCGCTTGGAAACATGACATTTTTCCACCAGGCCCGTATAGGATAGCTTGCGTGGTGAATGGTACACTTTCTGTGACCTCTTCTAAGTCGTCAGAAATACTGTACATATCAACAATTTCTGGTTTGGTCACACCCGAATAACAGTCAGCAGTGTCTGTCATTTCTACTATGAATGTATCACTTAGCGAAAAGTCCATAATGAAATCTGAACTTGTGTTGGTATCTAAAGAATTGAGTATCGTGGTGGGAGGCACTGGTTTGTCAAGGTTCGATGCGGACTCCAGTTTGACAGCAGATGGTAACAAGGAAGCAGAGGAAGTAAAACAAGAAGCGGGAACAAATTCTAATGAGTCATGTACAGTGGGCAAGTTGGAACTAGAAACAATGGAAGTGGCCAGTGGCAAGACAATCTCAATTTCCAAGGTGGGGACAACAAACTCACTGTCCGACATCTGGTCCTCTGTGCTCAATTCTGTTGGCAGAGGCAGGGCTGGTGTGTTGACCAGGGATGATCCCAGGCTTGATAACCATGGAGACGTCGGTAGCGTTGGCGGCAGCCTGGGTGAATAACTAGACAGTTCGGGAGATGTAGAACCTTTGTGGGATGTTTGGGCTGTGCTGTGGCTAGCCGGGACTTCAATATCCGTCACTTGGATTTCCTGAATATGGGCTGCGGGAAGCTCCCCTACTGTTGCAGCCCATACACGTTTCCCAACGAGTCAAATTGGTTGTACTGCCATGGTTGGGGCACGAAGTACTGAGGGTAGTATTGCTGCATTGGCATTTGGCCCATCTGTGGTGTCGCAGGTGCTATGTACTGAATGTTTGATGGCATTGATGGCGTTTGGGGTGGTGCGAGCGATCATGTTATGAGTCGTGATACCATTTCCCTCCAGCGTGTTTCCTGCTGGGGAACTGGTGGGTTCTGACATTCGTGCGCCTGGTGGCTGGGTACTGTTGCCAGTCTGCAGTTAAAGCATTCCCGTGAGCCTAAGGGCACTGTTCCAGGTTTGAGCAGATAAGGTTTTGCAGTGTTTGGAGTGGCATCTGCTCCGTTTTGCGTGTTTCATCCTTGGATCTGCTGGGCATAGGCTTGTCTTCCTGCATCAGAGTCTGGGTGCTGTGTCAAGACCGCGTATTGTGCTGCTGCTCATGCATGATCTGCTCCTGAGGCCCCCCTTCCATGCGATGGTGTTTGCGGGTATCCTCCCCAAAAACCATAGAAAAGGTTTGTTCTGGGTACTGGCGCTGTCCCGCTAAACGGGTTCTGGGGGGTTTGGGGGGCTGGTGCTGCTGGTAGTAGTTGTGCATGCGTTGGGGCTGGTGGTATCATTTGGTATGAAGGTGCTGGCTGTGGTGGGATGGTTGGGTTAGGAATATAGCGAGGTCCATAGCGATAAGCAGCTGGGAGGGAGAAGGAAGGTTGCATAGCTTGGGATGATGACGGATCTGGTGCTTTGCGAGCACTCAATGTCTGGTTCTGTAGTTTGTCAACATCTTCTTGGAGTTTTTGATTGTTTGTGATGTGTTGCTTTGCCCTCACGAGCTGGGATGCAGAGGTTTTTGCCATGTCAGCCTCAAATTCCACCCATGTAGTATAGTGATCTGCAAGGAAGTCCCGCAAGACTTTGGGGGTGTTTTCCAGAACTACATCTAGGAAGTGGCAGTGTGCGTCACCGAACCCTTGTGCCATTTGCATGACCTACTTGGCCCACTTTACGTGGCCCCAGTCCCGCCCTCTGTCCTTCTCAATCATGACTCCAATGTCCTCCTCCTTCAGTATGACAGACTTGAGACGTTCCTTCTTCTGGGCGACCGTAAGTTTCACATGGACTGGTGGAGGCCATTGTATCTTGAATGCTGCTAAAAATGTTACCCAAGTTGCCTTGTCCGTTGCTTGTAAGCTCATGAACCATTCTTCTGCCGGGCTCACTGCTGTGCACTGCAGTTCAAACCAGGCGATCTTATCTGCATCTGAGTATGAAGGCGGCAACAATAGTTGATACTTTCTTATCCAATCGGTAGGTTCTTCCTCCTTTTCATAGTCACCATGAAAACTTGGTTGGGGGACTACTGCGGAAGCGCTGGTTGCCATGATGGGAGGTGCGGATGGAACCAGCGTAACCTGTTGCTGCTGCGTGTGATGCGGAAATGCCTTGGTTAAGGCAGCTCTGTGCTGTATGAACCATAGGTTGGCCTGCAATACTTGTGGTTTTGGTGTTTCGGGCGATGAGATGGCAATGTCACAGAAAAATCGTGGTACTAAGGGGGGTGGGGATAGCTTAGTGTCTGAGGCAACGCGCCTGAGCACTGGTGGACTTTCAACTTTCTGAATATTTTGCAGGCGACAGAGGTCATCAATGGTAATGGCCATGGTGAATGTCGCTCTAGTCACCATGTGGAGAGGGTCTGCCTTGAGACTTGGTGCTACAACTCGGCTTACAATTGCCTGACTGTTCTCTACTCTAAGCAGCTCTACTTATGCTACTTCAAGCTCCGATCTGGCCAAATCTGTGTGCTACTCAACTGGGAAATGCCCCTGTGACTCAGGCACCCTACTACACCAACATGCTGGCAGGTCCATGATCCACTCACGCTGTACAATAAAGATCTTTAGGAACAGTGCCATGACGAAGATTGTGAAGGTATACTCTACACGACAAAGCTTCTCGCTAGCGGGAAATTGAAATGCAAGCCAATGAAGGTTCTGCCATATGTGGCACCTTGTTGGGCAATACAGCATTGGCTCCTCCACCCAGGAAAATATCAAGAGTTACAGCAATGGAGACGAGATGGAGATGAACCACACCAAGTACCAGCTACACATGCAGGAGGTGACAATGCTTTTGCAGACTCTTCTAATCCAATGCATGATATGCATGATGCCTGGGGTTGGCATGCAATTCAAGCCAGTTTGCAACGTGTATATCATGACAATGGTCAACTTCATGTCTTGGATGATGATGTTCATAACCTCCAACAATGCTTTGTCTCACTGCCTTGTGGACTCATATGGAAAATCAATGTTGACTGGTACATAATCCACCCACTGCCAGACATCAAAGGCTCTCATAAGTATCTGTACATCAGGTTCCAGGCCATCAAACGAGGCAATCACTCCATGGGGGCACTCTACATGACTTGCTCCAATAATCCTCATGGTGTTTGCTACCTTACTGAAGAGACTTTTCTGATCATGGTCCTCCCTGGACCAAATGAACCGAACCTGGAGCAGCTCAATAAGATTGTGGCAAAGTTCATGTCCGATATGATTGAACTTTATGGTGGTGCGTATTCATATATCTTGATATAAATCTACTAACTACTGGGACAGGACAAGAGTTTCGAATATATGGACATAAGGATAAGCACCCCATTCACTCAGCTCTCAACAGCGAGGTCTCCAATCTTCCAGCAAGTTGTAAAATTGAAGGTCTTGCCTCATTTTCATCAAAGTTGTTTATGTGTCCACAATGCAAAACACCTTCGTATTATCTTGCAGACCCACGTGGTTTCAATCCAACAGGTAACTTACAATTAATGCCATGTCGAGCCTCGGTTAATTTGTCCACAGACTTCAGATTATGCGATGCTTGGCACTATGTCAAATATGCCTTTCATTCATGTTCTCTTGACGATGATGATCAAAAGGAGATCTTTGAGCATTGTGGAGTGCACTGGTCAGTGTTTAACCTCATCCCATGTTGGCTGACAGCTGTCAACTCAGTCGTGGAGTTCATGCACTGTGTATATCTCTGTGAGTAGTCTCTGCCATTGTATGAATCAGTATTGATGAACTATCACAGGTATGGTTAGGCATGTGACGAAGGTCATCATCCTTCAGTCTGGCATGCTCAATCCCATTCCTCGAGAAGACTGGTATCCTCTGGAATGACTCGATGAATTCTTCTCTCAGATCATGTAACCAGTATCAGTAGGTCTCTTACCCCCATCGGTATGTCTGCTATCACACCCATCAAAATTCATCTGATCAATACTTTACATTTACAGGTCACCTCTTCCTCATTGAAGGCAGACCAATGGTGATTTCATATTAGTGAGTTATTTGTTGGGCTTTTTGTTGCATGGGAAATTGATGGCATTATCCCCGATATCAACACACCAAAATCAAGGACCAATACCAAACATGCAGCTGCACATGCGAAGAACAAGAAGGTCATGCATCAGTGTCGTCTTGAAATACTGCTCTCCGAAACAGAAGCACACCCTACTGATAAGCAGCTTGATGAGAATGATGCCCTCACCATGGATCGTTTGATCAGACATCACTATGCAACCATTCTCGAGTTCTCGGCCACTATCCAGATCCTGTCATCACATTCAATCAGCCCAGATGAGGTTGAACGGGGTTGTATGGCGCTATCTAGAGCATGCCAGAATTGGGCGCATATGGGATGTCATCTGACACCTTATTTTCATTTCGCTCAACATCTTTGGTGTCAGTTTCTCCAGTTTGGGCCTTGCTATGCTATGTGGGTCTTTCCATATGAATGAAACAACAGTTTTCTCGGTAGGACAAACCATAATAATCACAAGGGTGGTGAACTCGAATGTACAATGATGCGCAAATGGTGGAAATGGGTTCTTGTCCATGATCTCATACATTCTCTTTTCTCTTTGTACTACAAGTCTGACTAATTCCTATTGTAGTTAAACACTTTTCGGAGACTTCCAGAGCCTGACGAAAATGACTGCGACTCAATTGAACTTCTTGAATCATGTTTGAAAGGTGGAACTTGCCCACGTTGTGGAACATTGCAAGAGTACTTAGCATCTTTTGGAGAGGGCAGGAATGCACATAAGTCATGTACATTTTTATACATCACATGTTGTACTGATGAAGGCAGGATGTGTAATATATCCCCATCATTCCAAGGATATCAGGCTTCAGACACTCGATCCTATGCTATATGGTCTTGTCCTGCAGTTCCTGCAGGATGAGTGGGGAGAGCTAGGGTTTGTAATCCACGCTGATGTTGTTCTGGCAGATCATGGTACCTGCTTCACGGGCTATGTTAAATCTTACTCACATGTGTTTGTTGAAGCCCTGCACTATGGAGCAGCAACACAACCCCGCAGAAAATCAGCTCGATATGCCTACTTCAACGGTTGAGTTGCTGTCGAAATTCAATGGATCTTCAAAATTGACATGGAGTACAAAGATCAGGGTGAAATTTCCAAGACAGTTGCTGTTGTTCATCCCTTTGTTACAGATGATAACATGCCAGCATTCACATGGGATTCACAGTCTGTCTCGTACCTCTCAACATCAATTTTGTGTCTTACTGCATGCTGCTAGGGCAATTGATCTTGGTGTGCGAGTCTGGTATGGAAATGCCCTGGGTGACATGGAGGTCGTTGAGATTGAACTTGTGTCAGGACAACTCACATCAGGAAAAACTATATCTCTATATAGAGGACCATCCTCTATATAGCCCCAATAGCACACCACAGCTCTATACAGTCTATGGCAAGCTATCACAGCACTATAGACCAGTATAGACATCATGAAAGTCTATATATTACCATAAAGTTTGGTAAGTGTATTTAGAAGTAAAACATTTCAACAACTATAGACCCCAGTAGACCGTGGGAACTTTTTTCGATGAAAACCAAAGTTGTAGTCCTTGTCTAGGGAAGTCTATCCATAGTCTTATGACTTCAATAGGTTAAGATCCTAGTGAGTTATAAGGAAAATACTCGAAATTGAAGGGTTCAAGAAAGCAACTTGACCATGGGAACTTTTTTCGATTAAATCAAAGTTGTAGTCCTTGTCAAGGGAAGTCTATCCATAGTCTAATGACTTCAATAGGTCAAGATCTTAGTGAGTTATAAGGAAAATACTTGGAATTGAAGGGTTCAAAAGTGTTAAGGTACACCTTATTTATGTAAGCAAAAATGCGAAAATTCACCTTATGTGTATTCAAAATCCTAATGCTAACAGTCAATTTCATTGTCTTTTTCTTACTGTCATAATCCTAGTCCTATTAACCAAAAACTCGAAAATTCACCAAGTCTTGTGTTGTGGCTTTGTTTGGCACTGCTTATGTAAGCAAAAATGCGGTCAACCAACAAGTCTTTTCCCATTCTTTCCTTCCCCCCCCCACTGCCCCCTCATTAGATTATCTTCCATATTTTTCTTACAATTTTCGAGTTTTTGCCTCTCTTCTCTTCTTCTTGCTTCTCTATCCTTCTCTTGGTGTTGATGTTGTTGGTGCTGGTACTGGTGCTGGTGCTTTGAACTCTGGTAAGTCTCCCTCCATAATTTTCGCATTTTTGACTATTTGACTAATCTTTTTTCTAACCCTCTCCTTCTAGCTCTCTTCCCTCCTGCTCCTCCTCCCCCCAACTATTTTCGCATTTTTGACCATTTGGCAAGTCTTTTCTCTGACTCTCACTTCCTCCTGTCTGATCCTCTCCTTCTAGCTCCCTTCCCTCCTCTTCCCTCAAGAATTTTCGCAATTTTCACTATTTGGTAAGTCTTTCTTTTTTTTGTATTCATCTTTCCTCTCTGATTCTTCCTTCTAGTTCTCTTGCCTCTTCCTCCTGTAATTTTCGCATTTTTGTTTGTTTTGTAGTTATTAGTTTACATGTATTGTAGTAGTTGAAATATAATTTGGAATTTTCGCTTTTTTTTAATTTTGAGAACACTATCATGGCAACAAACAGCTAGTAAGAGAAATTTTTGCTTTGTGTTTTGAGCTATAATAGCTACAATAGTTGTGGTATGTTCCACCCAGCTATAGCAACTTTAATAGAGCTATATAGCACTATACACTGGTGTAGTAAGCCTGCACAATTGGGCACTTGGCTATACGAGCTATAGGGCTATGGAGTCTGTATAGCAGTCTATAGCGCTATGGGTGGCTATATAGCCTTACCACATTTTCCTGATGCATGCTCATCCCCATCACCATTTCTGGTGTTGAATATTGGGTGATGGTAGCCCACAATCATGTACATCTAGTGTGATTTTGATTCCACTACTCACAACATCTCAGGATGGGACAGAAGTGGACATGGACATCAATCTCGAGCTCGATGATGTTGAATAGTACAGCAGCAGGAATAGAATTACATGGTCTGATGTTCAATTGTGCAGGCTAATATTACAGGATTTCAAGTCCATACCATTCTCCCATGCGAAGCAGACTCGAACACTGGCACTTAATTTTCGTGCATTTCTATATTGACATGTTCAAATCAGAATTGGATTTTCAAAGGAGATGAAACTTTACCCTCAAACCTGGTATCTATAGTAGCATTGTGGTGAGTTCATGGTCTGCCACGGTGACAACGAGGCAAGAGCTGACCATTTGTCCCTTCAGGTGGGTAACCCTGTTCTTCCTCATCTTCTTTGTCTCCCCCATCATAAAATGTATCTTCATCTCCACAACTCTCAGGGTCGCAAGATTGCACTGAAATATCATCATCAATTCAGGAGGGTACGTCCATTTTCAGATTCTCATCAAGCCAGTTAGCATCAATGAATTGCCATGGGATCTTGTGTTTCTTGTTTGCTAGCTTCGGAAGATCTTTGTCATGTTTTTTGCCCACAGTGATGGGAATAACTAAATTTCTTCCCCCTCAATCTGCTCATTTCTTACTGACAGCATCGTTTAGCAGGACAACCTTCTCATTAACCTTGGAACATGCATCAGATCAGTTATGACAATGCATGGCTTGTCTCACCTGTTCATCTCGATAAAGTGGAGGTTGAGAAGTCCACACTGTGTCCGCATTCTTTGACTTGAAGGATTTCTTTATTGCTGGTCCTTGACCCGCCTCACTGTCTGATGCAAATTCGACCATAGGTTTACTGCTGTGAGTCCCACCACCATCAGATTCGTCAGTCAATTGATAGCCAACTTGGAAGAACCAGTCCCACTTGGGTCTATGCATTTCTGTCTCTTTTCGGATGTCAATTGCTGATCTCTTGATGTTTTCTAGTGCACGATGTCATTAAAAAGGCACGTAGAGTATGGTATCATGTGAAAATACTCACGCAATTCTTCTGAGCAGTCTGCCATTACTTACGGTTCCTCACCTCCTGCACTGTCTTGCCCCTTGCTCCCTTTCTTGATGGATCCCCTGGTGTTCTCAAACACCTCCTTCAGTTGCTTGATGATGTCGGTGTCGGTTTTTTGCTTGAGATGCTCGACAGGAAGCTGAGTAAAGACTTCACAGGCTTTTTGTCGGACATAGCGGACCATATCCTCATGCCAATCTGCATTCTCTGACCACAATCCAGCAAAGTTTGGTCATAGAAGATTGGTGTCACATGTTGGGCACTTGAACTAGAACAAACCATCATCAAGGACACCCAATGACATCGCTTGTTTGGAATCAGAAATACCCATTGCATGTAAGAATGTGTGCTGGATCGCATTCTGGGAAATAGTAAGCATATATATTGATGAAATGTTGCATGCTCACATTAAACACATTGTCACACATCGCTTTGGTTGCTTTGTTGACAGACTTGACTGTCGGCAGTGCATTTCCTGAAGACCTAAGTTTGTCTGTCAACATGAGTAGTTCCTCCAGGGATGTGCTCTGTGCATCAATGGTTGTTTGAAGCTCATGTATCGCAGCATGGTGATCTTCGACAGTTGCTCGTAGTGTATGGTTCTCCTGGGTGAGTTCTTCAATTTGTGGCTTGAATTCAACTGAGTCTCTACTCTGCAGTGCCAAGCGATCGAATTTATCAGCAAGTTGCACAATGATCATATTGAGGTTTGCTAGTTTGTCCACAAATGCAGTGCTAGGAACTCGTGAGGTGGATAGTGATGTCACAGCTGAGCGTTGCAAAGGGGCAGTGCCAGTTGAGAAGCCTGGGCGATGGTCAGAAGGTAGGTCAGGTGTTCAGGACTGATTGAAGGGTGCTGACAAGTCCCTTCCAGTAGGTGGAACTGGTTTTGGAGGTACAGCTCCTAGGTGATGTGCAGTAGGTTGAAATGCAGTGCTCGCTGCTGGAGTTACTGAACGTGCTCAATTCACAGCTGCTGCATTGGGGGTGGGACCTCACATTGTTGATCGATTCGCAGCTGCTGCATCAGGGGTGGGCCCTCGCATTGTTGAAACAGGTCGAGAATGGGCTGAAACTGGTACATGTGAAGCTGCCACACTCCCATTCATGGCTGACATGGAGTACATAGTATCCCAGAGGCTTGGATCAAGAACTGCATTGATGTCATCTGCTGCCGCTTGCTTGATCTCACCCATTCCTTCACTTGAACCTTGATATACCCACTGCTGCATCCTTCAGGTTAACTCTTCAGATTCAGTAACACTCATTCCTGGGTCAAAAGTTTCTGCTGCGGGTTTCTGATGATCCGAGGAGAATGGATTGAGAAAAGATGATGGTACCCCCCCTCTGCCCTCTCTGGCAGGTCATGCTCATTTTGAGGCAGATACATTCGCTGTTGTTTCCAGTGCTCTCTTCTTTGCCAACAGACCCGGTTTAGCAGTGCCCTTCTGGTGTGGCCCTGCCATCTTTGTGACTCTGAAAGGCCACTGGAGGTTGATACTGAGCACACAAAATGATTGGGAGGCAGTAGAAGCTGGTGGAAGGTCAGAATTGATGTAATTGTCAGTACTTAGCTGGCGGATCTGTACTATTGCTTCAAATGCCAAATATAAATGGTATTGAATATTTAAGGAAAACCAAAGACTTTATTCGGAGGATATGTGCTGTAAACTGGGACTAAACATGAGATAATCATGTTGTCATTATTGTATGTTTATCTGCCAATAATTTGGAATTTCCCCCACATATTCCTCTGCCATTATTTCACCTCAAAGTGCAGTGTGATCCTGAGCCCTACATCAGCAAACTACAATGTTCTGAACAGAGCTGTACAGAACCTCCCAGTGCCACAGCTTCAGGTAGTAAATAAACAAAAACAAATTCGCATTTTTGACACTTTGAATTGCCAATGTCAGGAGTTGAACTGGAGACCTCAGGCCTCATTGTCTCAGGATTATTTATCAACAACAACATACTTACCATTACACTGTTAAGGTCATGCTCAAGGGAAAGACAACTCAAAGGGCTTCGGCTTCAGCTTGTGCACTGCAGCCCCTTACCTGAGTACGTGCCCTTAATTTCCAAGAGGCAGAGGGGAAGTCCAACGGAAGTCCAGCGAAGTCTGGAGGTCAGATGCAGGGGGAGTTCGGCAGAACTCCGGAAGGCTAGGAACGAACAGAGTAAGGCTACTGCGGACAAATCCGGAGTAGAAGCAGAACAGAGTTAGACTACCCTAAGGTAGAGCCGGAGATATAGTCCTAAGGTTTAACCCTAAGACTCGGAGGTGGACGAGAGATCAGACTCAAGTCCAGAGAAACAGGAATGAGCAGAACTAAGATGATATTCAAACTAAGGAGTACCAGAGTATTACAGGAGTTTATATACTGTAGGTATCATGTATGTAAATCAGTCAGCAAAGTAGAAGCTATGTATGAAGCATGTGGAAAGTCTATTAGTAAGTGTATAACAGATCAAAGCAGTGAAGTCAGAAATGAAGTACAAATGGATGGATCAGTAAGCAAAGCAGAAAGGACATAACTGGTAGCCAGAGAAACAGTTATTCTAAAAGGAGATAGTTGCGAGTACGGAGATGAAGGCGGAGTGCCGGGCGGGCAACAGGACAGAGAATTGGACTTTAGTAGGGGAGATCCAGAATTCTGGGTCCGGAGGTACGGGATATGACATACACCATAGTAGCTTTATTATACCTCACTCAAAATGATATACAGTGGCTCAAAAAACTGTCCACATGTTTGTGCTATTTTCACTATTTACATTATTGTATATGAATGAACAGGTAGACTGGGGATATGCCAGTGGGGTACTCTGTAGTACTCCTTTGGGGCATGAATTTGAGCCCTTGCCCTGTGGGAAATTATGGTAATGTGGTGGCACTATAAGCCTTACAAAATGATGACTCATGTGGACAGTTTTTTGACCCTAGATTAAAATTATATAAATCATTAGTTATGACACCATAAAGTCATGCCACTATTAAATAAATTATGAAGTGGTGTCATTATGACATTATTAAACCTATCTCTAAGTATATAATGAAGTGTGTCCCATATATCATAGTCATAATCACCATGAAAACCATCTCCTCTGCTCAAAGGGATAATATCCTTTCTCTGTCTACTACTGGCCTCTCTACTCGTCAAATAGCCTCTAGAACTGGTTTATGTAAGTCTACTGTAGCTAACCTCATCAAAGAATGTCACCCAGACAAGGAAAACTCCAGTGGAGGTCGTCCATCCAAACTCACCTCTACTGATAGGAGGGTTATTATTTAACATATCACCACAGGAAAGGCTGATAATGCCGTCCAAGTCACTCATCATATCAATTCCATCATTCCTACTCCAGTTTCTTCACAAACAGTGAGGAATGTCCTCAAGGAAGCCAATCTTAGGGTCGTAACAAAGAAGAAAAAGCCTCTTCTTTCCATCACTCATAGGAAGAGAAGACTAGCCTTTGCCCTAGCTCATCAAAACTGGACTGTAGAGGACTGGAAGCAGGCCATATGGTCAGATGAGACTAAAATCAATAGAATTGGGTCAGATGGGAAGGTACATGTGTGGAAAAAGAAGGGGGGCCCTCTTACAGACAGAGAGATTAATGGAACTCTCAAGTTTGGAGGAGGTTCTTTAATGGTATGGGGATGTATGGTGTGGAACTTCTGGTGTGAGAATGCTTGCAGAAGTTGAGGGGAGGATGGATGCTGAGCAGTATATGGATATCCTCCATTATCAGCCTTTCCTGTGGTGATATGTTAAATAATAACCCTCCTATCAGTAGAGGTGAGTTTGGATGGACGACCTCCACTGGAGTTTTCCTTGTCTGGGTGACATTCTTTGATGAGGTTAGCTACAGTAGACTTACATAAACCAGTTCTAGAGGCTATTTGATGAAGTAGAGAGGCCAGTAGTAGACAGAGAAAGGATATTATCCCTTTGAGCAGAGGAGATGGTTTTCATGGTGATTATGACTATGATATATGGGACACACTTCATTATATACTTAGAGATAGGTTTAATAATGTCATAATGACACCACTTCATAATTTATTTAATAGTGGCATGACTTTATGGTGTCATAACTAATGATTTATATAATTTTAATCTAGGGTCAAAAAACTGTCCACATGAGTCATCATTTTGTAAGGCTTATAGTGCCACCACATTACCATAATTTCCCACAGGCAAGGGCTCAAATTCATGCCCCAAAGGAGTACTACAGAGTACCCCACTGGCATATCCCCAGTCTACCTGTTCATTCATATACAATAATGTAAATAGTGAAAATAGCACAAACATGTGGACAGTTTTTTGAGCCACTGTATATATACCATTTCTCAAGTCACATTACCTAGTCTCTAATGACCAAAAACTCGAAATTTCATCAAGTCTTTCTTTACTATGCTATTCCTATTGGTATTCCTAGTCCTAATAAGCAAACATCAGTCACATTACTTGTGTGCCTGAACTTTCTTGAACACACCACTTTCTAGTATTTTGCTTACAACTCATTAGGATCTTAACCAAAAAATGTTGTGAGACTATGGATAGACTACCCTTGACAAGGGCTACAACTTTTATTTTCTTCGAAAAAGTTCCCACGGTCTACCATAGTCACTCCTTATCAATACTAACATTTAGGATCAATGTTAAGTTACAGCTCTTTGCATAAAGGATGGCAGTGGCATGAAATTTTCATTCAATTAGGAAATGTTGGACTGAGTGAAACTTTGCTTGTGTAGCCTTGTACTACCCTTATTATCATCTTTGCAACACAGGTTTGCAAGATCAGTCGTGACATGAAACCCGACTCCATGAACGGAACCTTCTGAGCCTTTGCAACATCCTAGATTCCTGCAGATTTTCCGAATGCACTTGGTTTCGGATTTTGAGGCTCTGGCACGAAACCAGTGATGTCATGAACCATCAACCTAGCACAACAATGCATGGTCGTCTGCATGCTCTGATTGTGAAGATATTGATTGCCTGCTTCGTCTTGTAGTAAGGCAGAATCCTGACTATTTTTTGGATGAGCTCATGCACCTCCTCGCAACAAACCAATTCATATCTGTCCATATCACAACAATCTTCTGCGAGCTCGAACATGCTGATGTGAGCTACAAGAAACTCAAGCAAAAGGTCCAAAACTTGAGTCCAATGTTTCCTAATTGAACAAAAATTTCACGCCACTGCCATCCTTTATGCAAAGAGCTGTAATAGAAAAGACTTAGTGAAATTTTTGTTCTCAATTCTGTGAGCTTTGTGGGTCTGTAACACACTGTGGGAATTGTGGCTCTGTGGCTCTGGTATCTGACACACTGTGAGAATCTGTGGCTAAATCAAAACACTGCAACATTTGGTGGTTTGCTGATGTTAGTAGTTTACTGATGCATCCCACGTACCTCATTCCTTAGAGACGGCAAGATTTTCTATCTCCGTGCTAATTAGTATAAGAGTTTTCTGTACACCATATGAGCATCTCAGCTCCTTCTATGAGACTGAGATGTGAGTAACGAGTTCATTCGTATTATAGATTAAACTGACACGTCGTAGTCACTTGTTTTACTAGGTACACGATCCGTCCAATAACAGTTCCTTCTATGAGACTGAGATTTACTTGTTTTACTAGTTCGCTTACCTCCCGTCAGTCGCCTTATCACATAACCTTTGATCAGACACATAGTATCAATACGCATAGATGAGAGCTGTGGAAGCGACAGTGCCAGTGTCACGCGATACTTTGAGTACCATGGTCATAAAAGCTTCGTCGTGCATGCACCCTATAGCCAAAATGGGGAGCATAAGTTCAAGCGGAGTGAGGTGACCATAGCGCAAATGATTCAATGGACGCCGGGCGATGAACAGCGCTTTTTGTCTTTTGTTTTGAGAGCTAGCATCCACATCTCTACAATCGGGTGGTAAAGGATGGGCGTGGTGGAGAGGAATGATGTGTTCCCGTCGTTCGCGAACAGACCCACAACGCAGCACATCGCCAACTAGATCGATGGCGAACTTCCTGTCGACCGGTCTATAGTTTCTTCTGCACATCACAAACTGGCTATGAAAGAAGACAAACCAGGGAGCGACACAGTGCCAGGCGGAAATGAGATATTGTTTTGCCTCCAAATCAATGTCAGGATTGTCATTAATTTTGTTGAAGGTTTTCACGATCCCAACAAGTGACCATCGGGCGAGCTCCATATCGGTGGTAGTGGCTGGCGTTGACTCTGCAGGAATGCAATCTGGGTCGAGGTGTATGTAGAACACTGGCTGCAGTATGCACAGCTCAGATGCGGACCGATCTGCAACTCCATCACAGAACTGTTTAAAGTCTGCTACCGAACGATTCGATATCACTCCCTAAACCCTCTGAGACCTCTGGAGCGACCTTGTCCCTGCCCTGCTCCCTTGGAACCCCTAGTCCAACGGACGAGCATTGCTCCTCTTGTTGGGTGTCTCGTCTCCCCCATCTCTTCACAGTTTTTTATTCTTTCTTTAAATCAAATTTATTGTTCGTTGGGGTCTACAGTGGAGTCCCGTTCGGACAAAGCCCATATTCCGGGGGGCTTCTCCGATTGATAATTGCGAAAGACGGACACCGCGGGTCTCCTGCCATCTTGTCGGCGGTGTTCTGATACCATCGCTACCATGTTAACCGAGAACGACGAGCTGCACGATATCCAGAAAGCACTTACGTATCTAAACCAACAATGCAATGTAGGGTACCTGCCGGCCTATGAGTTACTTTTTTCAATGAAGATGTATGGGTGTGACGTACGTGCACTGGATTATGTTGGCCACCAAAACGGTGGCACTGGATAGTTTAAAGCCCCCCACTGTGGCTGGGCACTGTATACACGCATTGACGCCAGCGAGGAAGCTGAGCAGCGCAAACATGACGGAGCGGGAAGCAAACATGATCGAGCAGGTGGAAAGGAATGAGGCAAAGCCATAGTAGCAAGCAGATGTTTTATAAGCTGAAACTTCCAGTGTGAACATAAAGGAGTTGCTCGCTTTGCGGTTGAGATACCCTCCTGTGGGCGAAAACAGTTCAGCCAAAGTGCATAATAATCTCCGCAGACTCGAGAAGAACTGTGAACATTGTGAGAAGTTCATGTGGGAAGTATTTGAAGGTAGATGTGCGGTACGACGGGGTTGTGGGGCACGAATGAATCTCTAGGTCCTGGGCGGCCTTGGCTTCGCGTTGCTCGCCAAATTTGTGCACGTTCATCGGACATTGTGACTTGCCAAATAATACTCTCCGTAGTATGACCATCCTTGAATCGATGAAGCTCAGCACGGCCTCATAGATCCCAAAACTGCTGCGCAACGTTCGAGTTTCGGTCTCCCGCAGAAGGTTCATGGCTAACAAGACGGAACTTCGTAGGGTACGGTTGGAAAGTCGATGTTTATAAACAGGTGTTAAATATTCCGGTAATTAACTGATTATAACACTGTTAGATAGTTGCTCCGTAATTTGACCTGTTGGAAGTTGTGAAAAGTTGTGGTCATGCAGGGCCGACTCCGCCGTCCAGACAACTTCATATAGCTGCAAAAACGAGGCCTTGCAACCGTCACGGAAGGCATGAGCAGGATCATAGATCGTGGATGTGCCGGGGCTTTCTGCCGAGTAATGGGGCGGCAAGGGGCGCCAGGCTGAAGATGGCTATCGCTTGGGTGTGGTTACCAAGACTTCGGAGTGAGATGGATACATACTAGTAGAGGCCAGGAAGTTTGCATCCGAGTCAGAAGACCCAGAGAGGCAATTCCAAGAAGCTCGCAATAAGAAAAACGTTGAGAGTATGGAGTCTGTAAGGCAAAAAATACATGCATCAAAGCGAGTGGGAAGATTGGACTGGCTTTTCCAGTGAACGTGCCATCAGATGCACCATGGTTTAACAGTTGCTCCAGTGTCTCCTTAGCGTCCTGGCTTACATATGTCTGATGCGTTTTGCGGAGTACGAAATCGTCTACAGTTCGACTTGCAACGCCTTCTTCGAACCGTGTTCTTCGCGTTGGCAAACAACATGCAGGCAATCAAAGGAGCGACAAAAACATCGTAAGTACCCAGTCCGAACAGTCTACCATTCCCAGATGCCCGAGCCTCATTAGCGCCATCATCATCGAGCGCCAGTAGCAGTTGAATATAGTTTTGCATGATCGGATCTCAGGCCTTGAAAGCCAGGAACACCTGATCCATGAATTTGCACCAGGGGCTCGGATCAGCTCTGTGGCGCTTGCCAACTGATCAAACTCTTATCCCAAATTTTCACCCATGTCTCCCGAAAAACAGTTCCTCCAAGTTGTTGCCCGCATTAAGGCTATAAGCTCCCATGCTATTGACTGAAGTATGCCGACGATGGAGGGAGGTTGTTGTGGGTATGCCCAGTTTATGGTGCAGGTTGCAACCGTGACTTGCAGCTGGCAGCTTTCTGCTATGCCTCATAGCTCAAACGATCCGCAAGGATTCCCGCCCTAGTTAGAACTCGACTGCTACCCAAGTGACTCGACCAAGCTACGAAGCCTTCTTCAGCCTTGCACAAAACAAATCTCGTCTTCATCTATCTATTTCCATCCCAAGCGGTCCAGCCTGAACTTTTGTTAGAAGATTTCAGGAACTTACTATGTGCAGGAACTCATGAAATCCTATCTCGTGACTGCTGTCCACTCTTGACAAATGTCGCGATCACCATACATTGATCATCCGATGCATTCCTCCACTTGCTCCAGCTGTGTCCCAACCTCTCCTCGTTTTCGGGTCTGACACAATTCAACCAAACACAAACTTTAGAGTTATTCATGCACACCGAAATTCGATCCATACGCTTCAATTTTGAATCTGTGCCCACACATTCTGTATCTGACCTGTTCGTTCCCCAATTTACGGGTGCTTGAAACCCACTATACACGAACTTCCATTGAGCACATTCACTCCTCTCCTCTCCCTCTTTGAAGACTCTCCCCGCTGAGCCTTCCACTCCATCGTCAGCGCATCCGTTGAGGCCTCGCATCAGAAGTAAACTTCAAAGGTAGACTCAGCAAACGAGCCGGAGTCGTCAGCATTAGAGTGGCTAGTCCTGATGATGTCATATTTCGACTCTGCAACACCTCAATTTATATTGTTGAACCACGTGCAGAGTTGTAATCAGTACTAGTAATGTGTCGCTGAGATAGAACACAAACTTTTAGAAGCAGCGAGAAATAGGATCGAAGCATTGGGTCAGTGGTCACCCTTCCAAAATATAACACCGCGGAATAGCCTCGGAGATAGGGGGCTACCCGTAACGTCCCGTATACCGTGCGGACCGTACCACAGGTAGCAAATCTCTACACCGTACCCGTACCCACCGTACCCGTGACCCCTATACCCGCGGTGTGTACCATACCCGTGCTATACCCTAAGGTTGACACGTCAACTGTGCAATATCGCAACTTCTTACTAGCACTCGTTATTCGTCACGTTCACTGCTAACAAGTACCCTCTGAAATATGATGCATTGACCGGTAACCAGTGAAAATCAAACCGAGCTCAGTTGTCGAGCGCTTATCGTTCCTCCCAAACTCAGTCATGGATGCTGACTCAAGAGAAATAGAGTTTCGCTTTGTAAGATGGATTTGTAAAGCTAAAGGGTGCCATCGACGACACCATGACCTTCTTGCAAGTGAAGTCGTCAAGCCCAAGGTGCAACATTAGACAAGTAAGTAGCTATAATTGTATTGTGCGTGCTGAGATATGCGTGGTGGGTAAACGGAGCGAAAGCATGATCGACTGGAGAGTAATGAACGTAGCAATGGACGGATAATCACTACGTGCTATGACTGCGCCGTCCCCGTCGGGGGTAGGAGCGGTCCGAAGGGCCCCGTCATGCAGGTAATGATGTAGTTCTGGACTATGCAAATGATACGATGATGATCCAATCATGATACCCGGATGATGCAATTAGAAGGTCGAGGTAGTCCCGCTGAGTACGGGCACGTTCGGGAACCTCTCCCGGCGAATGTGGGCAGGTGATAGTAGTATGAAGTTGTTTGCCGTGGTGTAAGACAGCTACGTCCGTCGAGATAGGAGAGTAGCGTGGGATACTGATAAGGCAGTTACAAGACTCGAAGCATCATGCACCCTGCGGCGTAGGCTGCTGCATCGGCATTTCTCTCGCCTGTCCTTGAATGTCCTGGAAGAAGTACATGAGTTCATATTATTCTTCCATATTAGAAACACGATCGTAGCAGCCTCATGGCCCACAATCAAGAAATGAAGATTAGCCAGATTAGAGGCTCACCATCCTTGGCCTTTTAACCGGTCTTGGACGGACTCCATTCGAACCCGCGCGGACTCCGACCACACCTACAGACAAATTCCCACCGTTCGTACTCGAGGTCGATGGTGGCGCAGCGCCATCCTCGAGTTCACGCTTCTTGCCTCTCATAGCACCGGGGGCGGACGTATCTGTCCGCTGTGGTGCAGCACTGCTCGACACAGCTGATCGTGGCGCAGCGCTCGTCGGCGTAGTTATCCGAGCTGACACTGCAGGGGGCGGTATCGATACAGCAGGAACATGAGGCTTAGAATGAATGGGTTGTGCTTGTGATGTTCCTGGCGATTGTGCGGATGGTTGATTTGGATTTGATGGTGACAACTGTGGCGGGGGGAGCGTACCGGGTGCGCCGGGTATGCCTCCCGGCACAAGACCTTGTGTTTGAGCACGTGCAAGTTTTTTGAGCTCTTTCTGCGAGCAGCGAATATGTGGTGTTCTAAATGTCAAAGCTCATAAAGATGAGAAAGCGGCGCGTACCCGTTTTCTCCTGTCTTCCTTCGCCTGCGCAGACTCCAGGACCAAAGCGCTCGTACTCCACTAATGCTGGTATCGTCAAAATACAAGTATGCTGGAAAGAAAGGAGAGCGTACCCCTTTCAGGCCTTCCGCACTAACGGTGAACGCTTCCCTCTGTGTCCGTACATCGAACTCAGTGATTGGTATGCGTTGCTTTGGTGGAACCTGCATCATTGTGGTAAGGTAGTCGTCCTTCTTCATCGAGTGCTTCCCAGGAACACTCTTAATGAGGAATCGGTAGGAATTCTTTTTCATCTTGTCATCACTGTCTAGAGGGAGGGCGGCCGGTGTAGATGGTAGTGCAGAAGCTGGTGGCAGCGGGGAAAGGGATGGACGGACATGCTTGTCATAAGCAGAATGGAGGTAAAAGCGCGCAAGAAGGTCCTGCGTGCTTGCAAGGGACGTTGGTGGAGGAGGATGTGCTACAATTTGTGAAATTAGTATTAGTCGGGTGTGAAACGTAATCAAACGCCATGAGAATGAAAACAACTAGTAATGCCCGTACCAGCTGGTGGTGGTAAAAACACGACTGGGGTGTCTTGAGTGATCGTTGAAGGTCCTGCTACTGCATTCTGATAATGATTTAGGGTGTCCTCGCCGTCCATGACGAGTGGCGAGGAAAACGAGTGGAGATCAGAATCACACTCTAAAAGCGCGTAAATCTTAGGCTGCCAAGAATAACCGAGGCGACGCCAAAGATCTGAAAAGCAGCGTGCTCGCGGATGTCGCCGTAATGACCGACGATGAGCAAAGGCTGTTGGTCGCCGTCGTCGTCGATGGCAGGGACAAGGGGATCCGACAGTTTGACACCGCAAGAGAATATCGGCAAAGATTAGTCAGCCACACGTGGTGCTCTTGTGAAGCCGATCAAGCAATGAGCACACCTCCAAGTGGATCACACAAATCAAGGCAGTTATCAGGACTCATCACGGTAAGTACTAGCGAGTTTCGAGGGCACACATACAAAATGCATCATTATGTCGAGGGAAAGGCTGTTTACAATATGTACTGATAATAACATTACAGGGTTTTGCGATATCAAAGGTAGTACAAACTTATCAGGTTTGCAGTTGGCGACATCTAAATATTCTGACACAGGGGAGGTTCAGAAGAACTTTGTTCGTCAGAGGAACTCGGCCCCGAGCGCGAACGACAACCTGCAGAAAAAAATGTTTGGAAGGGAAAGACCCGACACCAATCAACCTACAAGTTCCATTCCACCAAAGAGGTCGAGCCAGGTGTCAAGGCTCTTGCTTTCAAAACATTCAAAAATCCAATATTCGTCTTCTACATCATCTAATTCATCTTCCCACAGGTAAGTGAAGACATCCGGCTCGCTTCCATCAACCATATGCATCACCACTGGGTTCGTTCATACGAATCACCTTCGAAGTTATCCAATTTCTTCCACTCTGAGAGGCTGGCAGGAAATATTACATATCCGTCGACAGCGCACGTGTCGTTGCTACGAATGAGGGCTGAATAGTCGCAGTGATGAACGCGGCGCCTTTTAAAGCCGATTATTTTTCCGAGTTTACGCTGAGAGAGAACGTCTCCCGCTTTCGACGAGTCACCTTTCATTGCCCAGGCCAGGAGCGGCGCAGACATTAACGCCCGGTATACAAATATTGGCGCGACTGGTTTGTCCTTTGAAGTGTCGCCCATCTCTTACGTCGAGTTATCAGGAGGTAGTGATAGGAGTCGAGCGATTTCACCTTGTATCATAAAATAATGTGCTACGGTGTGGCTAGAATGTAATGTTAAAGAAAAACATATGGTATACCACAAAGAACATTACCTGAGATACGGAAGAGTCATGAAATGGACGAGTTGGGTGATGCGGCTAGTAGAACTAGAGGTCCCACTTCAGGCCGACCACTCAAGTGTCTCTGCGCCTTTGTTTGTAGTGCTAAATAGAGGCACATTAATCACGTGCACAGGGGTTAATTACCCAAAATTAGCGATTCCCACAGGCCGCCGCGTCTGGACTGCCACACCTTGAACACGAGACCTTCTGAATTGGCCGTCTGCTACGCTTAGAAATTACTGGCTGTTCAGTGACAAACACTATGGGGATATGGAACTGGATGAGGTCAGGTTCCATGACTTTGTTACGTTTCTTTCAATACTTACCGCGCGAACTTCAGTAGGGTGCGGGAGCCTCAATGCTGTGAAGAGGTTTCAGGGAGTCGTTCGAGCCAGGCCGAATTTACAGTACGTGGTGCATCTTACGAGAAGTCCTTTGCGCATCTTATATTTCAACAGTTCCAAGCAGTTTCTATAGGCCTGCTAATAGGCTGCTTGCTGTGCTTCACGAACTTGTACTTTGGATTGCAGACGGGATGGATTAGCATGTGAGTGTCAATAAATAACCAAAGACGAAATAACTGATACCCTAGTCCCGAAGGATGTCACTTCAATCCGCCCTGATCGGTTTCCTGTTATCCAAGATGCTTCCAACCCCGCTGTCCCCGCAAGAGATAATCGTAGTGCAGACCACTGCAGTTGCAACCGGCACGGTGGGTCATAATCCCCATCTCTTTCATAACAACTTATCACTATCCTTCACAGATGCCACTTGCAGCGGGGTTTGTTGGAATTTTGCCTGCACTAGGTCTACTAGAGGAAGAAAAGGACGGGAGTCCGCCGATTAAACTTTCGTGGCTGGCTGCCGTAGGATGGTCATGCTCAGTTGCGTTTTTCGGAGTATTCTTGTCACCTCCCATCAGAAAGCAAGTTGTGCGTACTGTAATTCCTCTTCATCGAAGGCCAGCCTGACGCTGAAAAGATCATCAAAGAGCAACTGGCGTTCCCATCTGGCACAGCGACCGCTCAGCTGATTTCAGTCCTACATCGAATGCCCCCTCCTGACACAACGTTGCGACGCCGTTCCGGCTATAGGGCAATTGATACAGAAGATTTGAGAGATCAAACCACTGTCACGGACGAACCTGAGAATCATCAGGAAGCCGCAGAGGACGACTTTGACGTACGTGACGAAAGAGAGGTTGTTCAGCGAGAAGGCTGGGAAGATCTGCTCTTGAGTTTCCTTGCTTCCGGGGCAATGACTGTATGCACTGTCACTATTCCTTTCGTTCATTCTGCTCATGCTCATACCTAAAGCTCGCCGCGTATTTTTTCCCGATCGTCTTTGCGATTCCAATATTCGGGAAGTACCTAGCCAGAGAATGGCTTTGGTCATTTACTCCTAGTTTGTCGTATGTCGGTCAAGGTGCGTACGGCTCCGTTCAGTTGAGTGTTTACTAAGACCCCATGAAGGCATTATCATGGGTTTCCCAACCACCTTGAGCATGAATTTGGTAAGTCTGACTCCCTACTTCTGTAGCCGCCGTTTATCATTCACGGTAGGGCATGCTTGTGGGTTGGGGTATTCTATCGCCTTTGTCGAAGTACTCTGGGTGGGCTCCTGGTCCAGTCGGCGACATGTCTATCGGCGCGCGTGGCTGGATCCTCTGGGTTTCTTTGGCCATTATGTGTGCCGACTCCCTCGTTTCTCTTCTTCCTCTTGTCTATGAGTGTTGTACCAAACTAGTGGCTTTGTATGGACCAGCAAAGTCTGGAGACAATGAAGAAACGCAGGAAGATCATGAAGTTGAAACTGCTGACCGACTTGTCCCAATGAAGTGGGTCATTAACGGTCTTATAAGCAGCATATGCGTTGGGACGATTTTGGTTTGGATGGTATTTGGGAATGATGGGATCAAACCATGGGCAACCCTCATTGGTTTCATGATGGGTGGATTGCTCAGCATTCTGGGGTAAGTTTTTTTTACCCAATGGGATGTCTCCAGCTGACCACTCCATTAGGGTGCGGGCATTGGGGGAGACCGATTTGAATCCTGTGAGCGGACTTGGGAAGATCTCACAACTTCTCTTTGCTTGGATACAACCTGGCAATGTGGTTGCAAACATCATCGCTGGAGGTGTTGCAGAAGCTGGCGCTCAACAGTACGTTTCTCCTAAACTCAAATGCTTAATAGGCGCTGAAGACTGACATCAGAGCTGGAGACCTTATGCAAGACCTCAAGACTGGCCATCTAATACGTGCTTCCCCGAGAGCTCAATTCTATGGTCAACTTATCGGATCGTCATTATCAATCATTGTTTCAGCGACGGCCTATACCCTATACCAGCGAGCGTATACGATACCTGGTCCCTCTTTTCCTGCACCGACTGCGTACGTTTGGCTCAGCCTGGCTCGCCTTCTCCGTGAGATTTCATCGTGGCTAGTTGGTTCGGCATGCTGACTTATTTCTTCGCACAGGAGATGGACAACTTCCTCAAAATAGCGCCTCCTTCATGGTGCTGTTTTCAATAATCTTCGGCGTCATCGCAGCTGTCAAAGTCATGGCTACACAACGCGCGCACCCCTATACAAAGTGGATCCCTTCTGGCATCGCATTCGCTATCGGCTTTCTCAACACCCCATCTTTCTCTTTGGCACGTTTGATCGGCGGGATCATTGAATTCATCTACCACAAACGCGCTACAAAATCTGGAGGCGCGGATATCAGGCTGATTGTGATTGCAAGTGGCTTTGTGTTGGGTGAGGGAGTGATCAGCGTGATTTCGTTGGTGCTGAAGACGTACGGAGTGGGCGTGGCGAGTTGCTGGGGCTGTTCTGGGGGGATATGTGCTAGCTGCCCTGCATAGGGTCGAATTAGATTTTGACACAGCGCGAATGGACGCACGCGGTCCTATTTTCTGTAGCTTTCGTATTGCTTTGCGACGCTTGAAATGCATTGTTTTCGCATTGATGTTGGTGCCGGCCGAAATGAAGATGGGGCGAATCTATTTTTCTAATCTTTGTTGCTTCGACTAGTCACGCGAGTCGCGACCAGTGAACACTAATAAGCAGAACGTCTCTCTAATTATACTATGTGACCACCAGTCTCCCTAGACAGTCCAATACGAATCCCATCGCTAACATTACGACATGAAATGGATATTGGATATGGTGGAACTGTGTCTTGAACTCTACCGGACGAGCCCATCCTTTCCGCGCTCGAGGTTCAACCGCTTGCTTCATCCCTCTAGGATACTCTGCAAGATCGGCTTCGAAAATCAGAACAAATCAGAAAATTTGTCAATCTGCCAGTTGAAAATCAGCAATCGTGACATTTCCTGTTGACCATAAATCACGAACTTCTGCATTTCCTTTCATACCCTTCCTGCTTCGTCGAGTCGACTGCCTTGCCAGTGTCTCATGCATGAGTGCCAGGGTGTAGTCAAGTCGATGTAGTTCCAAAACTTAGTCGCAACAAACATAGCCTTCGTGCCTTCAACCAGACTAAATCCCGAAACCGGGCCATCGTTGAGCTAGCCCTTATTGCTGTCGTCCATCTCGATTCCGCTAGTATCAGCATCGCTATATCTTGACCAATTTCTCCACCTTCAAAGTTCATTGAAAGCGCACCTTCACCACCTTCAATGCTTAGATTGTGACAATCTTTGCGAGCCAGGTCGTGCTCATTCATGGGTCACCTACTAGACTTCAATGTTGATCCTTGAGCTCTTGCTCTACTTTGCTCCACAAGTCTACTTTGAGAGAGTGTACGAGGTATGCCGAAAACGAAAACAAATCTTGATCGTAGCACTCTTGTAATCACTGACGCCAATATGAAAGACACGCAGACAGCGCCTCTCTATACTTCATCATAATTGACAACGACATACAGAAAAATCAACCATCGCGCATCGATGAAGATACCCTGGTCCAGCATGCATCATGATTTCCATGCTAGAGCCGCTACGAGCAATGATCAATGTTACTAAGGAAGCTGTTGTCCGCATAGGCGAGGCTCAGGGGCACGATAATGACGTTGAGCTTGAGCTTGGGAAGCTTTTCGGCGCCCTGCAGGCCGTTGGGCAGGCTATCCTCAAGGTGAGTGACATCCTTGTGGTTTGAGATGCGTTCTCATTGAGGTCCTGCAACCCATGACGTCATTTACAGCAGCACGCTAGCCTCCTCCCCAAAGGCCATTTTCGCCACGGCCAGTGGCATTGTACTGCTATCCTTGCGCTCATCATCCCTGTCAGGCCCGATGTAAGTCTTTCTGTGATGAAATACAAGAAAGGTCGAAGTCAAAGGTAAAACTATTGTTCGTCCTTATGATGTAAAATCAAAACGCAGATACCAGGAAGAGAACCGCGGGTGAGCAGGGCAGCGTTGAGATTTACGGTCTTTCGTAGCAATTGCATCCGGGCGCGTCAAGGAGTCGATTCGAGCTATTTTCTCTGCACGCGTTTACATAGCATCGATCCGCACTGGTGTTCGTTCTTCAACTACCACAGCCTACGACCCCTCCCTCGTCGTGTCTTCCAGAGATTAGTGGAAGGGCGAATCGGAAACTGCTTAGGTACATTACATTAATTATTTTAATTATCTGGTCTAACCTACTCTTGGGTTTACAGTTTGATCGCCGTCCGCCATCCCAGTCTAAGCGAGACGCCATCATATCCGCGCGCCATCGCAACCAAGTTTACGGTACTCGCTCCCAAGTTTACTGTATAAATCGTGTAAGCATTCAACAATGCGAACATCCATCGAGCCTTTTGCTAATTACCGACTCCAACATGTTTAACATCAGTTCATCCGAAACCTATTCGAAAAACCTCTTCCTTGGAATTGAACGCACCGAGAACGCCCTGGTATCTTGGTTCCAGAAACAGGGGCGTGAAGCAGTCAGTGCGCTTACATATTTGTCATATCCGCATTCTCTCATAACTTTACTTCTAGCTTCCAAAATCCCTCTTTATCACAGCTTCCGTGCTGTTGGGATTGGTTGACCCCCATGATCTTATGTCTCTCCTTGAAGTGAGCCTCGGGGAGGTCGCGATGCCGATGCAGCTCCCGCGAGAAGAGGCGAGTTGCACGGTATTCCTTCTGCGAGGAGGACATTCTTTGATGGAAGAGAGGATGTATCGAGCTCAGATGGAATTTTCATTGTTCTGTTAAGCTCTCGCGAACTTGTGCGAAGAGGTGGACGCTAGGACACGACCACGTGAGCCATGTTGTTCAAAGGATTATGTCTGACACTAAATTTATTCTAAGCTACGTGGCATATTGCCCCAAAGAAGCTGCTCGCAGTGAACACTGTCGAGTATGTGGGAGGATGCCAAGCGCCTAGCTCGGTCAATTTCGTTTGCAAGGCCATTCAAGACAAATGCCATGAATGGCTTCTCACGTTGTCGCATTTCCAAGACACTACGCAAGTTGGTTCTAATGCTGGCAAAACACTTCTTGATTCCCCTCAAATTCTAGAAGTTCCTCATCTTCATGAATACCTCCTAAGGGTGAGTGCGATTAATATTACGAGGGAGCCAGTGTTCTGACGCTGTGTAGCAAGACGATCAACTTCTTTCCCTGCCGCGTTCGATGGAAGCTTGGGTTAATAACTGCACATATCATGCATACACGAGGGCATCTTTTGCAGAAACCAACGAGCCCCTACGCAGCGACAGCTTCACAGCAAAGGAACGCAAAACGCTAGATGAGCTCAAGTCTGATTTCAATATTGTGTTTTTGAAGATGCGACGCGCACAGGCTGAAGTGGACATGTTTTTTGAAGCTATCGCACACACTGCTGAGCTCAAGTTCAATGATGATGGTGGGCATACAGCCTTTGCTTCAGTTTTCTCATACTAAGATGACTGCAGGCGCATATTCTGAACTTTCTGTGACGTCGTATGAATCACCCCCGCCCAATGATTGGGATTCGGATTGGTCTTCGACCTCATCCTTCCAATTGTTCTCGGCTACGATACCCAGCTGAGCTAAGCTGACCGTGAGCGAAGCCACGAAGACAATCAAAGATTTTACGTCACGGTTAGCAGTGAGTATAGCATGTAACTTATACACGCATACATATGTTAAACCTTGGTACCCATTGAATATACCGGTCAACTTGAAAGCGGGATTCAAGGTTGAAAATTCGATCCGAGCACTTCCAAGTTCTTGACGAAGCTCATCCAACGATATTTCATGCCCCACTTTGGAGAGCATCCCTGCTCTTACATTCTACAGAGCACGTAGAGAATATCGTGAGCAAAAACCGAACAACGTTCAATGTGAGTCACTTACATCGATAATTCGATAAGTTCGTTTTCAGAAACGTTGACTTCTTCGCAAATCTTATTAGCATGGGTCTTGAGACGATCGAAACGCTGCGGCGTGAGTCAAGTAAAGTCATCGGAAGGGTCCCCCCGCTCCTGTGTCTACAGACTCCAGCAGTGAGCAATAATTAGTTCCTTAAGAGAGGATATACACGATGGTTGTTTGGATGTTCCATGACCTCCAGGTACATGACATTGACAAAAGCCAGACGGGGTGTGCGAAGGATAGCGATGAAACATCATCGATGCATCGGGCCTTGAAGATCGGTGTGAGCATAGCAGGAATGAACTTCAGTAAGCCACGGCTCAGTGACTACGAAGCGAAGTGGAACGACTAACTTGAAGACATGCGGAAGGCCTGAATATTGAATGGCGGGACTTGGCCACCAGTATGGAATGTAGCAATTTCACTGCAGCATCGTGCGCTCTCTGTATACTATGGTTTCCATATACCCTTTGGGCTCGTCAGAGCCGGTAGATAGACATCAATTGTGAGTCTCTGCAACATCGGACCCTGGACGAAGCTGACCGTGAGCGAAGTCTATGAGAGCGCGACATGTGTAGTATGTACGCGTACAGGCCAGAGCACGGGAGACTGCGCCGTACGTGTACGTATGTTACGACAATTTGGTATCCACTACCGAAATGCAAGGAAAACGCGATAATTGCTTTCGAACTTCATGTCGAAGCTCAAAGCAATGTTTGAAATCAATGTTGCAACAATTGAGCAACCAAGCCTCAACCAAAGCGATGAAGAATCAGAAGATCAGTGATTTCTCGGTTATTTGTCGGACATAAACATAGATCCCGCACAGCCACCGAGCCGGCGGTTAGGCGTCTACTACCGTCATAACACGTTTCACCACGTTCATCTCCACGGCGCATGTCACAGAAGGCTTTGCCACTCGTGTTCGTATTTTTGAACCGCTGAAAATTCGATCTGTGCTTGACGAAGGCTCACCCGACGATATTTCATGTCCCGGGTCGCTTTGGAGAGCATCCCTGCTCTTACATTCTACAAGGACTCGCTTACAGCGGCGCGGCGAACCAGTCCCATTGCACAGCTAGTTTGCATTGGGAAAGCATGCGCTTTGTACCAACCGGATGTCGTGCGCTGCAGTAACATTGGAGGATCGGGTACAGATGTTGACTGGAAGGTGAGTGTGCTTTTTAAGGCTTCACTGCGTGAGACTGCCAGTAAGCTCTACCGAGTTTATATCGTGGATTCTCACACAACACCCGCAGTGTGAGGCAGACCTACCGTCTTCCTTACGTTTTGGTCGAGTTGAGGTGTCTTGCGAGGGATGGTATGGTCCCGGTGACCCATATGTCATGAAAGGTCTGATGTTCTGATTCACGTTCAAGTATGAAGCCTCAATTTACTTGTACAGGGTCCTGTTCCTTGGAATATAATCTCGTTCAAATACCTGATGCACTCCGCGATGACTCAAGCTGGTATAACGGTCCACGTCTCGGAGGTAAGCCTCGCGTCGCATTTGGTTTACCGATGCTCATTGCCTACTCAGACCTTGATAAGTCCGGGCTCTTCTTCATGCTCGTATGGATCATAGTCCTCGCCTTCATAGCCTACAGCTTTATCCAACCTTGCCTGCGCCGCAACACGTCAGCCACAGAGTATGCAAGCCGCACCGCACCTCCCTCATATCCTGGCGGTGGGTCTGGGTCAGGATTTTTCCCGGGCTCCTATCACACCAGCCCACCCCCGCCATACACCAAAGATGCCAGTTCAGGCTCTCCGAATGACGGCACGCAGTGGCAGCCAGGATTCTGGACTGGCGCTGCGCTTGGGGCATTGGGAAACCATCTTTTGAATCGCAACCCGGCGCAGCCTCGGGAGTACGACTGGGAACGAGAGAGGCGCTCGCCGTTTAGTAGCTCGAGGAGCAGACCCGTGCCCAGTTATGATAACCAGGACAGAGGAGAGGGGTCATCCAACTTGGGCGCCATGAGGACTAGTACGGGATATGGCGGTTCGAGTAGTAGGTGATAAAAGGTCACATTCACAATGTACAGACTAATTGTACAGATATACTATATATGAAAGTGACGGGAGTCAAACCCCTTCAACAACATTCTCCAGTTCCCCAGCACGCTGTGTATCAGTACAGTCAAGCTAGGTGTTGTTCAGTTAGAACATAAGCAATATCAATATCCCACGAAGGCTTACCAAGTAATTCGGAATATATATCATAGCTACCGACCAATCTGCAGTCTTCAGAAAAAAAGATGAGGGCCGCAACCCTCATTCACAACGTCGATTGAAATAAGCAGACTGTAAATCAATACCTGCGGTATAAGTACGCGGCTGGGTCGTAGCCTAGGAGGACCCCACATCAAGCCTTGAAGCATCATAATCGGCTCGCGCAGCGCTACCCCTTAGAATCTTGCTCACCCGTGACTTCTCCGAGTCCTTCTAGGTGGTGATGAGGGTCAAACCTCCTCAGCAACTTTCCCCAGTTCCCTGGCACCCTGTGCATCAGTGCAGTCAGGGTATGTTGGAATCGCCAATATAAAGCGTAGAATGAGTATTAGAAGTATAGATAGCCATGTTTTGATACCCTTTCTGCACTCTTCTATTTCGCTGGGTGTCATGATTGTGGTATGAGGAAAAAGACAACCCGTGAATAGGGGTAGCAGATGCCAGGATTTGCTTACGTAACAGAAAAAAGTGTCTGCCTCGGAGGCTCAGCCTAATGCTGCCTACGACAACATTAATGCCCAAAAGCTCTACCATGCTGCCTAAGCTATTTAGCCCTCCAGACTCCGAGCTACTGGAGGCGCCCCTGCCAATATTGATCGATCCCGTCTATGACATGTTTCTTGTTTTCTAATGATCTCCGAGTCATTCGATCACAGCGCAAAGCAAGCTAGGGGGCGCGACAGTCATTCACTACGTCGAACTACATAGACTGCGTAAAAATAACATATGATGAACTACTACAACTATACTGTAACTCCCACTTCCAACCCGACCACAGCAGGTGTCCCAAATAATGTGATATCAGTTAATCCATGCTTGCTCGATAATAGATACACGCGCCGGAGCCCACATCAAGCAGCACTCTCAAATTGATGAGCCCGAACCCGAACCGCTAGCCTCACTAACGTCAAGCCTCGAAACATCATATTCATACTCTGCTCGTGCGGCGCCGCCCCTCAGATCCTTGCTCACCCGTGAGCGACCGCGGTTCTCTTCCTGGTGTCTCCGTTTTGGCTTCACACCATGAGGACGAACGACAGTTTTGCCTTTTGCCTGGACTTTCTTGCGTTTCATTACGGAGAGACTGACATCTGGCCTGATGAGGATGGTGAGCGCAATGGATAGCAGTACTAGGCCACCGGCCGTTGCGAACATAGCCTTTGGAAAGGAGGCTACGGTGCTGCTGTAGATGACACCAAATAACATGGGCTACAGACCTCAATGAGAATGCATCGCGAAGCAGGAAAGATGCCACTCACCCCAAGAATAGTCTGCCCAACGGCTTGCAGGACAGCGAGGGCGCCAAAAAGCTTGCCAGGCTCCAACTCGACATCATCATCATGCTCCTGAGCCTCCCCTGCACGGACAGCAACTTCCTTAGTAACAAGCGCACGACCCTGGAGGGTGCACAATGCGAGGCTCTGCACGCCAGGCATTACTCCTGCACCAGCGCATGCAAGCGATGTTGCGCCGACAAACATGAACTGCGACCACCAAGCTTCATTCACGGCGCGGGAAGGCAGAGGTGCAATGACGACCAGTGCATGCGAAAGGAAGTCGATAAACATGGAGTACCGCACTACGCGAAGATCAAATTGCATTTCGCTGAATAGATGAGACTTTGTGGGCTTGGGCTTTGACTTGGGGGCCGCAGGATTTGCGGGTGTAGTGATGGAGGAAACTGCGGCGCAAACAGGCTTGAACTTTGAAAGAAGGACTGCCGATCATCAGAACCGAGAGACATTACGGAAAGCTCAACTCACATGGTAGGAAGAGGAGTAAATGCCAAGCACGGCAAGCTCCCATGAAGGAAATATAGTAACTTAGTTGTTCAGCTGCCCAGTTATAGATATGCTCAGCGTATAGATACTTGAGCTGGAAGATCCCTGACGCCAGCATGTGCAAGAAGACCGAGAGGCCGATGAATGTCAGACTCCAGTCATTCCGTGTGCGAGAGGGCACGAGTGAGTCACCAGTGGCACTGGCAGCTACAGGAACATGGGTCGGGAGGAAGACAGCGAGGGGTGATAGGAAGCTTCGGATGATGCGGGTTGCTGCCCATCCTTGGGAGGAATCCTCGACCTTGCCTACAAACGATGAGAATAATGCAGGATTAGGTGGCCAATGTAGTGATGCACGTACTGCTAGGGAAGTCCGGGTCACTCTCAACAGCTCGAGCCTTGCCTTTCCTATTTAATGCTCGACGAGAAGCGGGAAGTGACTCGGGGATCACAAATAATACCAAAAGCAAATTGACGAAAGAGCAAGCAATCGCTACCCAGAAAACTGACGTTACACTTTGTAGCGGATGGTCGACTTTTCAGTACGATCGCCAATTAAGCATTCAGCCTATCAGTGAGTAATAGTAATATGACGTACTGTTTCCAGCTCTCAGGAAAGGAATTGGATTCCTAATCAACCATGCACCAATTATGGGGCCGAGAGCAAGTCCGATAAACAGGACGCCAGAGAAACGGGCAAAAATAGTCGCACGCGAACCAGGAGATGTGCAATCAGCAATGTAAGCCGTATTAGCACCGGCCAAGGTCGACCATCCTCCCAGAGAGCCCTCAATTATAGGGGCAAGAATAAGCAACTTATGGGAGTGAACGGCTAGGAGACTGTGAGGTGTAGATACAAGAATAAACGTGAGGTCTCTATAATTTTAACAAACATGATCAGTAAGCATTACCCCGGAAAGAAGCGAAATATCGTACGTAAGGAAGAGTCCGAAGGTGGCGATAGCAAGGACGCGTGCACGGCCGTGTCGTTCTCCGAACTGGCCCCACCAGCCCGTTGTAAGAGCAGAGAGGGCACCCATCGTTGTGGTCATGATGGTCTGCAGGCGCGCAGCACCCGCCTGGACGGCAGGATCTGAAACACACTTTTTACCTGGTATCACGCGGGGATCATCACCGTCATCACCGTCGTCGTTCTCCTCTAAAGTGTGAACGGGTAATGACGGAAGGCGCACGGAGATTAAATAGGGCTCTCCGAGGTCCACCGCATAACGGCTTGACGCAAGAGGAATGAGACTCGGTGACGCGCGAGTATGATTATAGGGTTCGTGTAGATTGTTGCATGATAATTCTGTGAAGACTTCTACACGGGACGCCAGCGTCATGCCGCGCTATACAAGTCGCACGATGACAGTCAGCAGATTTCTCCATGTGATGACAAGTCACGACGCACAGTAAGAGATGCAATTAGTGCAAATGGTACCAACCTGCCCAGGACATTGGTTAATTTCCTGCGCGCTGACAAGGGCGAACTAACTCACCATAATGGACGGGCGCGATAGAATGGCTTCTTGACTTTCGGCGTAGTCGCAATCAATGGGTCACGTTCCGTTGGTGCCGTGGGTTCCAACGCCGAGGTGGGGTAGTGGTCAACTGGGGGTCGTGAGCGCGATGGAGAGAACGCTGTGTTCTCTGTCGATATGATTGGATCCGTGATGATTCTGTCGAGCGGCATGGTGAAAGAGAACTACAGACTAGTGAATGCGGGGCGGAGAGGCATGTAAATTCCAGCCAGTAAATGAATTAAGCGCTAGTATTTATAAGTGGGAACAGGGCACGTTGCTACCAGCAGTGAGGACAGCACACGAGCTAATACTTACGGATGTGGGACCACGCATATCAAGAGCCACCAGGCCACATGCGCAGTCCACACTCCTCGAGGTGCCTAATATTAATGTTAGATGTCCTAATAATATCGTCAAACCGTCCACTAGTAAGCCGTGCAGAAATCGTTATCGCACCACAATCGCGTTCACGGCCAGGACCAATGAAAACCTCGTTGTTTATGTGGCAGTGCCACCAGTCTAGTTGTCGATTTAAATTGTTAACAGTGACTGTGAAACCGACTTGAACCTGCGTTGCAGCATGTAGCTCAACTATTCCGTCTTCGACTAGTCCGAGCCAAGTCTAAATCTCGATATGATCCACCAGACGGGCTCTCGTTTGAAGACTAGTACTATCACCCACGGGTGACTCGGAGTTGAGCGAGTGCTTCTCGAGTGAAGCACTCAGAGTCAGAAGATTGGCTTACATCACCTGGACTCGTCACCAACGGTTTGATGTTGTCCCGCTGACGAGGCCTTTGAATGATCAGAGCCAGAAAACTACCAACACTACTGAAAACGGTCATGGGGAGTGAGTTGGTCAATCTTATACTTATGTAACGCCTGGATCGTGAATCGCTTGTTTCAAGACCAGAAAAGTTTTGAATGAGCTAGGATCGTCTCTAACAGGCGACCGAGCTGCATCGAGACTAGCCAACTGTACTTGATATAGGCTGTGCTGATGAGATAGGGCATGCGATGTGTTATAGGGACGATGGCCTCGTGGCCTCGTGGAATAAGCGAGACAATATTGCCCCTGCATGCGGATCTCAGTAATCGGTCGATTCTCGGATCAGAAACGTGAGTCATAAATGCCGCCTCTGTGTCCCTCTGCGCCCTGGAGAAAGGGGGCGGACACTGCACCATACATGATTTCATCTGCGCCGTAACTTAGCTCCAGACGGGCACTGGGTCTATGCACATCATCCGTTGCATGAGGTCACGCCCTGGCCCATCAGAGTACTTGAGTCCTCGAGGCGTGCCACTCGCTATTGTATCCAGAAAAACCTTCTCATGCGTACACTGCTGGAAGCATAGTTACACAATCTATGAAATCTGGTCAAGTAGCAAGAACCAGGCCATTGCCAGCAATCCTAGTCGGCCGATTATCGACCTACGCCACATCCGGTATCCAAGTTCAGTAAATCTCCAGATGGCTAATCAGTGCACGGTCTACGTATATCATGATTAAGCTACACCAGCAGTTCTGAATCAACCACACTCCCAGGTCCCTGCAGTGACCTTCCCCTTGGAGAACCAAGTGTGCACACCATCACTTCCGAAGAGCCGCGTCAGCTAGGGCCTCTATTATCGGAAGCCTTTGGAGGTTTTCAAAGCCGCATTTCAGGAGGAAGCTGCACATGGCTTTCATACAAGCCCTTACAAGCTTTTCTGGCAACCTGACGAAGATAAACCACCAGAACGCATTATTACAGAGCTTTACACATCTGATGCAATGTTCCGAGAACATGAGAAGATACGTGCACAGCCTCGTGAGCCTGGATGTAATCTCGAAACAGTCATTGCAGCAAAAAAGTGCACATCCTAGGACGCTTGCTTGATACCCAATATGAAGGTGACGAAACAGAATTTACACCAGCACAGCGTAATTCAGTTCATATCATTAACAATCGAATCTATCGACACAAAGTTCTCCGTGTCAACTATACCACATATGACCTTCGTCGAGCTCAAGATTCACTCAATCCACGCACACGAGCATATGCGATACCGCGGCGGCGGTGTTGGCCACAAACCTATCCGTGAAGCTACACGATGCTTGCTCGATGACCGCGACACACTTGACCAACTCCCATTTACGATGGAGAAAGAGCGCAAAAGTCGAGATTCTGACGAGGAGATGACAGATGATGGTGAGGATGAGGAAGACACCGAGGAGGAAGACACTGAGGAAGAAGATGCCGAGGAAGAAGACGCCATGGAGGGCAGTGATGACGAAGACGAGGACGAGAATAGTGGCAGTGGTGACGAAGACGGTGATGAGGAGGGTCATGAACTTGAAGATGCTGAGGATGACGAAGGAAATGAGACTCGAGATCCACTCACCACAGAATATCTCATCGGCGATGATATCGCAGATGAGATGGATGAATTTGGGTACACCGGCCTAGATCAGGTCCTTGTGGAAGATGAGGACGACGATGGACTATTAGACGACGATGCTCTTGGGGCGGAAGACGGTGAAGAACTTGAAGGTGGGCTGAATTATGACGAGGCTGAGGGGATCGAATTTGCGGATTTATAGCACTGAGGGGCCAGCAGTACTCATAGCTACTGTACAATTAGAATACACTGAAACACGAATGGACCGACCGAGTCAAATGCCGGAATCTGAGGGGCGCACAGCGATGAATTTATAAAAGAGACGCTAGAAAGAGACGGTAGTGGCAGAAGGTCCTTGCGAGGAGCGTGGGAGGCTCGCGGGTGTCTTGTAACATGGCACGTGAGGCTTGCGAGGGTGTAAGTTCAGCGAGGAGGCGTGGGGGGTTGGTGGTGGTGTCGCAGATGTCGTGTACGACGACGGAGGTTAGTGAGGTCAGCAATGTGGCGTGGGAGTCCTCTCGGGAGCTGCCGGGCCTTTCTGGTTCCGGGCGGTTTTGCTACTAGCTGTATCTTCCTTGCAATATATTTAGTGCTACCAAAATCGGATGTTGCTCATTATGCTGAAATAACCATCATCTTGTGTCTGCTCACCACTTTTCACAACGTATCTGCCAGTCAGGTCTTTCGAGGATACCCTCGCTCTGTAAATTTCTTTCTTTTCCTTCGTTCTCTCTCTCATTCTAATAACATTCGTCAGGGCGGGCCATGTAAGTCTTTTGTGTTCGCTTCTAACGTGTCCTCCGAATCTGATGGATGATGTCGTACAGGCCTCTGCCGGATGAGAGACCTCGTCAGAGTGTTGCAAATCTCATCGGACGCTTTGAGCAGCAGAACAAACGCCAGTCGTCTTCTGCTGCGCCTGCGATCCCACGCAGCTCCAGTGTCTCGTCACAAATAGCCGGTGATCCCGCGAAAGAAGAAACAAAGGAGAAGAGGGAGTGGCCGCCTAAATCCGTGGCGTCCCCGAGCGCAGATAAAAACGCGCTCTCACTGTCCTCTTCCTCGTCTGCTGCCCAGAGCAAGTCGCCACCCATGAGCCCTCAGCTCACGACAGAGAAGCCGGCAGAAACTATCACTGCAGCACCTGCATCCCCAGAGCTTGTCATGCCGCCCCCCGCGAAGAAGCAAGTCACTGCAAAGACTACCCCCACCGCTGAGCCACGGACTATTCCAACTTCACCCGCAAAACCACGTCCCTCTACCGCATCTGTCAAATCTCCAGTGAAGTCTCCACCCAAACCGTCGCTCTCTTCCTCTATCTCTCAGCCCATCAAGCCACAACATACTGGACAATCAGTTGCTTCCAATGCTTCCACTGTTCGTAGCCCTCCCAAGTCGGTTCCCAAATCCACGCCTGCCAATCCTTCTCGACCGAAAACGCCCGCCATTCATGCGTCTCATGCATCTCGTCCAAAGACGCCTTCCTCAGGGTTGTTTGCGCCCACAGCAGCCTCCCTTGCACGCTCTCGTAATGCCCTTCCACCCGCTCCTCCGCCAGTGAAGAAGACGAGACTAAGCAGCAGTGCAGCAGAACGATTGAGCAAACCTACTGCTGCATCCATGTCGAAGGCGCGCGCTCCTCCGCCTATGGCCAGCCCTATGCGTACCGTCAAATCTACATCTGCAGCTTCCACTCCCGCGGTCCGTCGAAACTCAGGGTAGGATTAGCACCTGCAAGGACGAAGGAAGCGAAGGCGCGGGAGGCTGCAACGAAGGTTGCTACCAACGATGTTGACCATGAACCTGATCATCTGGAGAACGGATATGCTGAGAATGGGCATGAACCAGATTACGGATATGGGACCACGCATATCAAGAGCCACCAGGCCACACTCCTCGAGGTGCCTAATCTTAATGTTAGATATCCTAATAATTTCGTCAAACCATCCACTAGTAAGTCGTGCAGAAATCGTTATCGCACCGCAATCGTGTTCACGGCCAGGACCAATGAAAACCTCGTTGTTTATGTAGCAGTGCCACCAGTCTAGTTGTCGATTTGTTAACAGTGACTGTGAAACCGACTTGAACCTGCGTTGCAACATGCAGCCCAACTATTCCGTCTTCAACTAGTCTGAGCCAAGTCTAAATCTCGATATGATCCACCAGACGGGCTCTCGTTTGAAGACTAGTACTATCACCCACGGGTGACTCGGAGTTGAGCGAGTGCTTCTCGAGTGAAGCACTCAGAGTCAGAAGACTGGCTTACATCACCTGGTGATCATCTATCAAATTTCAAATTCGAACCATCGAGGTATGTGCAAGAATACGCCACACTGCTGGAAGCATAGTTACACAATCTATGAAATCTGGTCAAGTAGCAAGAACCAGACCATTGCCAGCAATCCTAGTCGGCCGATTATCGACCTACGCCACATCCGGTATCCAAGTTCAGTAAATCTTCAGATGGCTAATCAGTGCACGGTCTACGTACATCATGATTAAGCTACACCGGCAGTTCTGAATCCACCACACTCCCTGCAGTGACCTTCCCCTTGGAGAACTAAGTGTGCACACCATCACTTCCGAAGAGCCGCGTCAGCCAGGTATTTGACTCCCCTTCAGTTCAAATTGTCCTTCCTTGATCCATCATGAGAAGCTGAGAGGTGTTTTGGCGACTTATCTTCGCTGTGCATTGGTTAGTCGGGCGTGGTCGGTAATGAGATGAAATCCGTCGTCCCACGGTCGAAAACACCCAACACCAACCACAACCACGTGTTAATCATCACTGTTACGCCTATGGCCAACCTCAAGACCGGTGTAAGATCGCTCAATTGTATCAATGATTCAACTCGGATGGAACTAGCCTGGCTTACTGGGGGCCATCACTCCAAGTGCTTCGAAGGTAAAGAAAGTGACTGCAGACGTACAGGCTCGGGGTACTTTGCCCTGATACGACCTTCACAAAAACAGAGATGACATGGCTGGAGGGAGCTTTGATATGATCAGGCCAGAGTGGGTGCGGATACAAATGACTATCTGGATATGTCGAATTCGAGGTTGATTCCCCGTTACTGTAGTACAAGATATACGAGTTGTGGTTGAAAGAATGGTAAGCAAGGAATGGATAGATTCTACATGTCCCTGAATATTCTGGAGAAATATTTCTTCACGCCCTCTGCACCATGAACAATCGCCCCAACCACACCATCTGGCCGTATCACAAAAACTTTGGTTTGGGTGGCTTCGACGAGGTAAGCGGAATAAGCATGGTTCGCTTGATCAAGAAGAACTAAGTCGGCAGGAGATGCAACGGGTGTTGTTGGTGCTAACGATGGTAGGATGATTGCTGACCGTACAAGACTTTTGTCGTATGACTCTAGTGCAACTAAGATTGGAGTAGCATCATGCGGGACTTGGCGCAAACACAATGACCGTGTGACGCCAGGGCCTGTAGAGACTGAAAAGCGTCATTAATTCAGATTCTCTGGGCTGGACTTTGAGCAGCTTGGGTGCATCGGGGGCCCTGTCCCCAGCCTACGAGATTCCCCTCGTCAAGTGGCCTGTAGGTGTTGATAGGCTTCCCCTCGACTGGCGTCGCAAACTCGTCCAGGACGATGCTGCTGAACTGGCAATGAATGCCGAGCATGTAAAGGACAGTGGTGTGCCATCCGTCCGTACGTCCTGTCGTCACTGCACGATTTAGGATCGAGGTGGTCATCTCGAGCATCTCGGTGATGACAGGGAGACGCTCTTCGGTGTATGTCTCGAGAAGAGACTTGTCGGCAAGTCCTTTTTCAACGAGGGCAAGTTTCCAACATAGACCAAACTAATGTACAGGGCAGTCAGTTGTGTCATACATGCCGCATTTATTCGACTCACGCTATCTTGCACACTTGAATTCAGTCCCTGTTCGGAATGAGATTAGCTGGTATTGACATTCGCTCTGAGTACCCCTACCTGACCACCGGTTGGACTGTGGATACTGAGCATCTGTGAGTAGCAGTTTGTAGGTCACCTAGAAGCGACTCACTGAGCAGCATCTATGAAGAGACTCCCATCAGCACAGGGATGTCTAAAACAGAATTACATACCACCCGCAAGAAAGACTCGGCCCTGGCTAAACTTGTTCACCATGCGGACATTCGCCCTGAAGGAAACCGATGAACTCGTACTGACACAGAGAAGAGACGCAAACGCACCGGTATTCGGACGAATAAACCAGCTTGTTGAATGTAATCTTCATAGGGCACATCGAGGCGATGGTCTCGAAAATAAGTTCCTCGTTATCCGCGAGACCTTCCAAGTCTATGCTGCGTCCCGAGATCAAAAAGTGCCAGCCATCCTCTCCAATTTCGTCTGTCGGTCGCAATGCGAGGCTGTAGGTTTTTCAATATGCATGTTCGAGGGCAGAAAGTACAACTACCATCTATTAGAAAAGTCTCCGATTCGGTGCCAATACTGACAAACTGAATAAGAAGCGCTTCCATTGAATGGCAAGACGGACACACCACTCTATCAAGACCGGGGCCTGTTAAACGAATATCTCCAGTGACGATCCGGAATTCGGCCATAGTCTCGCCCGGGAACACGAGTCCAAGTTGTTTGCGCACTATACCTGTAAATATAACATCAGTCTGCGTCATTCTGTTTCAACTGTGTCGCGCACTTTTGGGACCATCAGCACCGATCATCCACTTGGTATCGAATGTCTCCAATATTTCATTGTCACCTTGTTTCTTTGCGAGAACAGCGGTGACTCCCTCGTCAGACTGATTGAACGAGCGCAAGTTCAGTACCCATCTCGACAGAGCATGAGAATTTTTCCAGATGGCCCCGTAGAATCACATCCAGAAGCTGTTGACCTAACATCTTAGGGACGTTCTAGGAAAAATCTATCAGCATGATGACTCGAGCAGACAATATTTATCGGTGCACAAATGGTATGGCTGGGGTAGGTTCTGTATGCGGGAGCATCGATTCGATATGCGTAGGTTCCGTCTCTCCGAGCTTGTACGCACGGATAAGAGGAAATGGTTTCCCCAGATCATTGACTTCTGGAACATCCAGGAAGTTAAAGAGTTCGAAGGAGCGTGGCTGAACAGTATTCAATAAGACCACGGGGTGAACAAGTGGATGCAAAACAAACCCAGATCCCGGGACCGCGTTGTCCGATGCGATAGTTTATGTCTCGTTCGATGATGCGCACTGGGATGCCATTCTGGAGAAGCGTCAATGCGGCTACCAGACCGGCCGGACCACCGCCTACCTAAAAAATAAGAATCTCGATTGAGGCGCAAACATTCATCATAGGCAGGTCACTTACGATTAGCACAGGAGGATTCATAGTACTAGGTGCCCACAGGGGAGTTGATAGTAAGTCAGTTCCTGAGGGTTTTTTTGGTCGACATTGGAAACAATCGCGTCTTATACCTGGGTAAAGCTGTTGAACTTCGAATTGAATTTCAAAAGCTTTACCCCAACCATACCTTGCAACAGTTGAACTTGAAGCAACGTCTTTGATATAGGTTTGATTTCCAAAAACAGGTTATCGATCCCACGTCCAATCGGACAATCCCTCACGCCAGTAATGAGAGAAGCTCGTTGGCAATTGGCGCATGCGTACTAGTGCTGCAGTGAAGGTACAGTGTAACAACCGGTACCTTTCACACCAGACTCACACTTGTTGAATTAAGGAGTTTAATAAAATGTAAGTACATAGTATTACTTTTAGGCATCTAAATAGATAATACCTGTGCAAGGATTATTTGATTTCGCGATGTTGAACATGCTCGAAGCCTCAGAACTCACAGTGTTAGAATGTCACACAAATGTGGTACGTTTCACAGTGTGACACCGTGTGACTGACGCTTTCCACACATTGTCCTCGTCGGAGGACGCACTACTAGTCATCAGTAAACCGGTGAGACTCAGATATTAGTAGATTTTGTAGTATTTTCCATGCCCAATGCTTCTTTCCTGTAAATTACGATACAAAGTAATATATAGCAATCTAAAGCAATGTAATCACGCCAATTCACGCTCAGTTCAGACTCAGATATTGTTCTACATCACTTTATATTGCTTTATATTGTTTTATAACGTCATGTATAGGAAAGAGCATTTCGGCGTACAAAATATGGGAATATCGGTGGCTCACCGGTTTGCTGATGACTAGAGCTGTCACTCTCGCCGTCAATGCCAGCCACAGCCAGCCTTGCACCATCCCTTTCCTCGCCATCACCTCCAACTGTCTGCTGTGGTGCTCGCTTGGGCTTTAGAGGCCGTTTTTGTTTCTTCGGCTAGTCTTTTGCAACGTGACATTCAGTCCCAATCACTTCCTTCTGTAGAGAGACTTTGTACAGAATACCTTGCTGATCAAAATGATACCACATATCCTGACATTTGAATCTCACTCCAATATGAAATCATGCCTAGTAAGCCTTAAAAATAACACAAATAAGTACTTTACCATATTCATGATAAGTAGTTTAATTGAGAGTAACGCATTGCCATATCAGGCAATTATGTGACCTGCGTCAAGCAAAGTCCACCTCTAAGTCCGGCTTGAGTCTATGTAGCTGTGTGAGGTCGAGTCACTTCAAGAATATTATTTGCGAGCTCTGTCCCCATCAACCATAAGACCTCTCCATCTTGGCCCCAATTTACCTTGACACGCATCAGAAAAACTCTCAGCCATGACACAGAAAATCAGAGCGACAGACGATGTCCTACGATCTATTCCCGATCCTGGTCAAGCCGCCGTGTAAGACTATCAGATCGTACTTTGAATCTGTCATTTATTCTATCATTGGCTCAGACTACCAAAGGATGGCGAAACGAACATTCTCATCACGTCTGCCTTGCCTTACTGTAATAATGTACCCCATCTTGGTGTGTCGTCCAATCTACTATCTCGTCATAAAGTCTGATGACAATGATCGCCAGGAAATATCATAGGAAGTACCCTGAGTGCGGATGTTTTCAGCCGGTGAGTGTCCTTACTTACTGGTGACTTGTAATATGTGCTCAAAGCAACCTCGCTTGATAGATACAACCGTCTGTGTTGATCTCGTGCAGTCCTATATCTACATCTCATGGAATGTTTACAGGGACAAGAAATAGACGCACCCTTTATATTTGTGGAACTGATGAATACGGAACCGCCACGGAGACGGCGGCTCTTAAGGAGGGGATAACTCCTAGAGAACTATGCGACAAGTATCATGCCTTGCACAAAGAGACATATGAGTGGTTTGATATTGGGTGCGTATCCTCTACAAGAACGGTTTCATTCTACTGACCATCCTTAGTTTCGATCTCTTTGGACGCACTTCGACTGCTAAACATACCGAGTCAGTGTAATTACACAGCTTGTCATGACTCGTTAACACCGGGACACAGGATATGTCAATCAATCTACCTCAATCTCGGTCAGCACGGATATCTAGAAAAGCAGATTAAAGATCAGACCTATTGCGAAGGGTGCAAAAAGTGAGCATTTAGCAGAGGCTAATCGAACAGCTCTAACATTCTCCTCAGGTTTTTAGCTGATCGTTACGTAGAGGGCATCTGTCCTCACTGCAGTTATATCGTACGTCACGCAGCTGGTGGTCTGGAGACACGTATGCTCACTAGCTATTTCAGGATGCTCGCGGTGATCAATGTGATGGATGCAGCCGCACGCTAGATGCTATCGACCTGATCGAGCCTCGATGCTTGGTTGATAAGACTCACAATGTCGTTGCACGTTCTTCTTCGCATATGTACTTCAAGTTAGATTCCGCTCAGCCAGCCTTAGAAGAGTGGATTAAGAAGTCATGGAAGAAAGGAAAGTGGTCTCCCAATGCCACGATTAACGCCGATGGCGAGATTGTCGACGCACGCATGAAAAGTGGCCTTAAACCTACTCCGGTGACACGAGATCTTGCCTGGGGCGTCCCTATTCCACCTCTTGGTCGAGAAGATGACAAGGAGATGAGTGGAAAAGTATTGTGTAAGTGGCTAGTCCTTCTACGTCGTACCGATGTATTGACAGGCGACGACAGACGTTTGGGTTAGTTGACCACGCATCTGTGCTGCACCGTTTCATAACAGTTTTTCCTGCAGTTCGACGCAGTCATCGGCTATGTCAGTATCACGGGAGAATATACCCCGGAATGGAAACAATGGTGGCTCAACCCGGATAATGTTCAACTATACCAATTCATGGGTAAAGATAATGTATACTTTCACACTATATACTTCCCCTCCATGCTGCTCGCGGATGGCAGAAATTGGACGACACTCCATCACCTCTCAACTACCGGTGAGCGCCAAATTTTATCCCGAGTCACTTTTCTGACCAGCTGGCCTACAGAATACCTTAATTACGAGGGCGGAAAGTTCTCTAAGAGTAAAAACCGCGGCGTGTTTGGGCCCGCCGCTAAGGAGACTGGAATTCCTGCTTCAGTATGGCGATATTACCTTCTTTCCACTCGTCCAGAGACCGCGGATGCCATGTTCTCATGGGCGGATTGTGTAAGATGACCTTCGTTCATATCAGTCACTCGTTCTTGACCCTCTCCACTTTTCCATAGATCGCCGCCAACAACAACGTCCTCCTGAAAAAGTAATGTTAAAATAACCGTGTTGAGCTGACACTGATTGCTTGTTTGACAGCTTTGGCAACTTCGTCAACCGTGCCCTCAAGTTCCTCTCCTCCCAATACGATAGCGTTATCCCAGAAAGCGGCGATGCCCCTGGTCCTCTGTCCCCCAACGACCCCCTCGATGCTGAGTTCATCAACGATGTTAACGGGCTCCTGAAAGAATATATCGACGCGATGGAGAGCGTAAAAATTCGCCTTGGTCTGCAAATTATCATGCTCATCTCCAGCCGGGGTAACGGCTACCTACAAGCCTCGGGCTTGAACAAGGCGTTAATGACAGAGAACCCACAGCGATGCGCTCAGGTCATATCGCGCGCAGTCAACCTCATCTATGTCCTATCAGCCCTCATATATCCATTCATGCCCGCCACCTCAGATGCACTTCTAGTACAGCTGAACGCGCCAGCGCGCGTGGTCCCTGAGGTGCTCTCCACTGATATCCTTCGCGGGCCACCAGATCGGCCAGCCGGAGCACCTGTTCAAGAACATCGACGAGAAGATGGACCAGGTGTGGAAGGAGCGCTTTGGCGGTGACGAGTCATCCAAGAAAGAGGAGGAGGCACCTACTTCGAAACGCAAGGCAAAGAAAGCGGCCGCCGGTGTTAACGCTGCGCCGGATGCTGCCACAGCCAATGGCCCGAAATCGCCTGAGGTTATCTCTTTGGAAGCAAAGATTTTGGAGCAGGGACAAGTTGTACGTGGGCTGAAGGAGAGTAAGGAGCCGAAAGATGTTGTAGATGTTGCGGTGACGGAACTGAAGAGGCTAAAAGCTGAACTTGTCTTGCTGGAGAAGTCAAAAAACTAGGGTGCACAGTGAAGAAGTTATAATCAATGTTGTATCGTTGCTCGTGTAATTATTACGTGAGGTTTGCCCTAATTATCACAAGAAGGGCCAAGCAATAGACAATGGAAGGAAGTGATAGGAAGCATGCCAAAGACGATCTATGCAGCTATCATTTGCACCACTCCCCTTGTCAACTAGATGACTAAGTTGATATTGTACTCAACACCTCCGACAACAGAGTACGAGGACCCGTCTGTTACGTTTAGAACACTGGGCACCTACTGGAGACTGGAGAGGCTGCAGCGAAGAACGCAGTGATAGTAACAATTGCGGTTGAGAAGGAGAGCTTCATTTTTCCTGAAGTACAGAATAAAGCTTACTCAGGCTCGCCATGCTTTCATGCTGATTCAAGGAGGCAGTACTTACTAGTGTGCGTAGTGAGTTAATCATAATGACTGTCGGCAATTCCAATGGACTCGGGGTGCGACGGCATTATAAGCAGACCCGCTCCTATAAAAATCAGCGAGGCATATCTGGACCTCCACATGCGAAATATTGTGAGTATGATAAGGGGATGAGTTTTGCAGACGAGTTGTGACACCGGTTTGAACGTCGCAATGGGGAACTTCGAAATACTTACTGCAGGCTTTCAACCTGAAACAAAGTTCGAGGCTCTGCAGTACGCATGTCATACCACCCGCGAACTTCTGTCACCGGTGTCTGTGTGGATCGGAACTTGGAGCTGCAACTTGAAACTTGTGTGCCAGTTGTTGAGGACGGTTCGACTCCGTCGATGGTTATTAGATGGAACGATTATCTTCCTTCATCTACTTAGGGCTGGCTAGGGGAGACTAGTCGACGGTGGCGTCCGTGGAAGAAGATTGTTACTGCTGGCACTTATTCTAAAATCGTGACAGCACTCGGCCGCGCCAATCTCCGAGACTCCGACTACATAGTACTTCTTGCCTGTCATCCCTGTGTTTCAGTAGGCTTCCGTGCACTGTGCACGAGATAAGTTCAGAGGGAGGGAGGGGAAATGAGACAAAGGAAACAGAGCATTATGTATTAATTATCGAAATCGAGCTTGCCCATGAAACTGTATAGTTCCTGTCAAATAATTTACTGCGGTTCAGCGCCAGATACTTACACTCAACTTACACTAGTATAATATTTGACTATATAGTATTAATACTAGTACTGCTGCTTCTTCCATATATGACGGGGTGCTGCCAGCCTAGTTTCAACAACACCATATTATGATTTCAATGTTTCGAACTGCTTCTGATCAAAGCTTCGAATTCAACGGATGTTCAATTGTTCGTAAGCAAGAATCATTTTTTAACTTGCCGTCGGACGTCCATTACATTCTAGGAATGAAACAATAGATGTAACTCCTAAGGTGAAGGGGTGTTTCATTCCGAGTCTTCGATGGACATGCGCGAACCTTCGACCGTCCCTAGGGAATAAAGGTCAAAGGAAGACATCCAGAACACACGAACCAAATTATCTTGTGATACGTTTCAGCCTTTGGTGTCAATAATCACGAGGCATGACCGCAGAGAACTCAGAGACCGCGCTCCAGAGGATGGTCCGACGCGAGGCGATGCCGACCGTTTGATAAGTTTCTTCCTCCGTAAAGAGAAGGCGTTGCCAATTTCTGGAATGGGACAAAGTTGAGAGGCGGGCGAGAGGAAGACATAATGGTAGAATTGCAAGTAGAATGCAGAATCCCGTTCCGTTTCTACCTGGGAGATTCGGAAGGGCGGCACGTGTCAACCTCTGGAGTCTTCGGCTTCCTGCCCCTGACGGCCCACGGGCATTTTGGAAATACGCCCTCCATTGGAAGCGTAGACCTTCGTGCGAGCATTCCGCAGCTGACTGCGTATATGCGCCGCTCGGAGAGGAAATGAGTGTATCTTGCAGTTTCACGGAGCTCCACGGTCCAGGTCTTACGTTTGCGCAGCGGTTCAGGCACCTTCGCAATGACTTGATGAATAAATTGGTTCCGGATCCTGATTAGTAAATTAAGTTCTTATAAATTTCCGTAGAAAGCCTTACCTGGGCTGCGGTGGTGCTGCTGGCTGGAGTAAGGGTAACAATAGGGGGATGATGTCTTACGTGATGAGGAGGACACATGCTGCAAAGTTTTCGCGAATTGTCTCAAGCTTTGAAAGCAGATAGACACGTCCAACCCGCCCAATTGATGCAGGGGCTGTTAAAATCCTAGATACTCGAACACCTGTCGTCTACCAGCTTCACCGATCGTGGGCTGAAGGTAGAACAGTGATGTTGTGAATGTTGCAGTATCGCAACTGAAGAGGCTAGAAGGCTCCACTTGAAGAAGTTAAAAAAAATCGAATGCGCAATGAAGAGGTTACAGTCAATGTTATATCGTTGCTCGTGTAAGTATAATGTGACGTTTGCCACTAATTGTCACGAACAAGGTCCGAGTAATAGACAACGAAAGGTAGCAATTTTAGTCCATAGGAAGCGTGCCAAAACAGTCCATATAGCTCTCATTCACCAGCACTTCCCTTCATCATTTAGACGATTGCGATGTTGTGCTCAACACTTCCGACAACAGAGTACGTGGACCCGTTGGCTCCAGTCTCTGGATAGGTAGTGTCCAGCATGACTACATAACTGGCATTAAAGTAGTACGCATACGGGAGCTAGGTCCAGGATCAATTACCGCACACGAATCACATAACCGCTAAAACTAACCTGAACTGTGAACTCGTCGAAGAGAGGAGTTGGTGAACTCGCGTTGAGGGTGCGACGGGCAAGTAGAATAGGAGGCTCGTAGCCGTTGTTGTTCACAGGAACTTCAATGTAGTAGTCAGTGTACTGGGGGTGCACACCAAGTTGACCTGCGCAGGTAAAGTTTGCTGTCACAGTGAAGTTCTGAATGATGATAGACAATCAGACTCGGAAATAGGTAACATAAATCATGACGACTACTCACGTCACCAGGAGAGAGTGTCGAGGGAGTGACTGTGACAATTCCAAAGCGTTCAGCCTCGGAACACGACTGAGCAGCTGCTGGAGTGCCTGCAGCTAAGACAGCAGCAAAGGTAACAATTGCAGTTGAGAAGGAGAGCTTCATTTTGTCTGAGCACGAAATGAAGCTTGCTCAAGTGGGCCATGCTTTTATGCAGGCTCGAGGAGGCAGTACTAGTGTGCGTAAGCAAGTCATGCGCAATGACTGTCAGCGATTCCAATAGAGGAGTGGTTGCAATATTGCGAACGCATCACAACTTACAAGCGGACGGGGCAGAATTCCCGCTCCCCGAAAAATGGACAAAGACTGACAGAAAATCCGTGCCTCCATGCGGAACTTCACCAAAAGTCCACAAATCAGACATTGCCTGATTTGGGTTGACATGCTTCTCTGACGTGCCACGTCACGGTCATACACAAGCGCGTGTACTATGTCATTCTAATAATGTCCTAAGGTGTGCGGCAACCTAACAGCGAAGTTGCTAATGGTAACCTCGGTCTGCTATGATATCATCATCATCATATGTAACTGATATTAGCTTCGCTATTCCATGTGTAGTACATCACAGTGTTCTGCCGGTCAGTGTATGTTCATCAAAGTTAACGTACGTTCAGCTGCGAACTTTCCCATGGATGCAAGTGAACTGAACCCGTGCAGTGCCAGATGTCCTGCTTGGATATTAGATAATCATGTCTGATTGGACGATGAAGCAGGAGTGAACGTTCAAAGTGCAGTACACGGTGCGTCAACGGTCGCAGAATGGATAGTACTCGACTACTACTACTAAGGTAGCACTAATTTTCTGAATCTACTCTTCAAGAACATCGTCAGCTTGAGGAAAGTCTGGATCGTCGATTCCCTCTGCATCTAAGTCAAGAAGCTCGTACAACTCAAGCTCAGCGTCTAAACCTCGAATGGCGACTTTATAAAAAGATCCCAGCCATTCCTCTGCACGAGAATAGTCAAGTAAGTCATTGATAGCAATGCGGGAGAATGAACCACTGACAGCACTGACGGGGACTGAGTGCATTGATTCTGTGGCAGAAATCTCCTCCTCCTCCTGAACAGCTCGGATAAGGTCTGCGGCAACATCGCTTATCCCTCGCTTCTTGAAAGCAAGGCTGTGTGGCTCCTGTTCACTGCTTTCTCCTGATAGATCATCACCAACTGCATGAACTACTTGAGTAGGCTCTGCTTTGTCAGTGTCCTTGGTGTCACAGTACCGGTGCTGAAGCCGCTTCTTGACCACATCATTGTGTACATGCTCCTCATGAACATACATCTTGAGTTCTGCCAGAAGGGTGAGCGTCTCAGTTGAGAGCCGATTGCACCATTTCGTGAGAATCGCGCCAAACATGCTAAATAGGTGTTTGCAAGAGGCGGAATTCGGGCAAATCAAGAGAAGACGTTGAGCGATAGTATGAAGTGGTTGACGTGCTGAACCGGGATGTGACAGTCCTGTCCATATATCGATTGGATCGACTGAAACACCCTGAGGACTGTTAGCAATGTCTTCTGAACTTGAAACAATCAGTTTAATGAAGTATACCTCCTTTTCTGCGCGATATAACAGTGAAAGCTTGTAGTTGTCCATGTATGCAAAGTCATGGGAGCTATTCAAATAGTCATCCAAGTCCGTATAAAGATCGAGTGGTATATCATTAGTGTTGTAAAAATGGCACCAAAGACGTGCAAAAAGTGTTGCAAGCCCCGCATGCGTTGTGAGGGGTACATTCCGGAATGGAGAAACCTTATAGAAAGGATTCACAATGATGGCAGCAATAAAGACTTCCTGGTCGCACTGTTCCCAGCGGCGCTTGACACTTGCAAGAACAGCTGTACAAGCTGCCAGATCAGTGCTGTTGTTGATCTTGGAGTAGCGAAAGTGCAGAAAACCAAATGATATTGCAACGTTTTCGGGTCTTGCCTGGGCTGCTTGATGAACATTTGTCATGAGGGAAATTGGCTCCAGCAACATTTTCCATCTATAGAGAGCATTAGTTCCGATTTTTACATTTATTTTTGAACCGTACCGTGCCAATGCATGCCAAAACGTTGCATTTTTGATTGTCGCAATGGCTGTTTGAGTCTTTCTGCATGAGTGTGCATCTCCACCTGATATCAAATGAGCTTCGTGCTTCGTTACAAGCAATTCGAGTGCAGGATGAAGCTCAAGGAGGCAGCGATAGGCAAGATAATGGGACATCCAACGCGTCAGCACTGCCCTGAGAACTGCGAGCGTCTTTCTGATTGTCACCATCTGTATTTCGCGGAGAATGGCGAGCACATGTGTCTTGCTGCATAGCCATGTAATTAGTTCTTGTGCCATGTCTCCATAGATCCCGTAGTTGTCTTTGACCTTGAAAAGGTCACTGACGATGAGATTCCACTGTTGTTGTGTCATTCATAATCAGCGAGTGCGATGAATCACGAAAATCACCATACCTGATGAGCCAAGCAATTAGGAACAACAATGTGGGGTAGCTGCTCTTGAAGCAGACACCGAGCTTTTTGTGATTCACCAGACGCATCTGTGGTGCAAGTGATAACACTTGCCCCCCACTCGGACTCAATCCTGCTGATTGCATCTAACATTTGCTTGAGAAGTTCTTCGGCGGTGCGAGGGTCCATCAAAGCATCGTGAACTTTAATCGTGTGCAGCTAAATAGACAATTAGTAAAATGATTGACGGTCTCCGCAGTTAGATTTACCTTTTGGCGAGCAGTCATCATAAACCCCAGGAGGTGATGGTGATTTTCACCAGTCCAACCATCACATTGCAATGTTGCGTCAGCGCCTTGACATTCTTCTTTAGCGGTACCTTTGAGTATATTAAGGGCATGGGGTAGGACATGCCGCGTCAAGACTTTTGCAGAGGGAATTTTCGCTCTTGGGAGAAAACGGTTGCATAATACTTTCCATTTGTGGTTCTCAACCCACCGCAGTGGTAAACCAGTGCTTGCGGTGAGTCTTGCAAGCCCAATTTCCCAATCAGCTTGATCTGAAGTCGTCCAAGCTTGGTCGCCAAAGCTGTTAAGTTGGTTGCCCAGTGCTATGGGGGAGAGAGGCAGAAGTGAGCCAGAAGCAGAGTGGTATTGACCAGATTGGATTAGATGTTGGCGCTTTGGATGGGATGGTAATGAGACTTCCAAGAGGGCAGGACTTGGACTGACCGACAGAGAGTCACGGTAAAGGCTACTGGAAGAACTCGAGGCTGTGTCAGCCTCAGGAATTAGCAATGCGGGAAAACTCGGATGTGCAGACTGCATAGTTGATGACATTGAGATCTGGTGGGCTGGCGGCGAGAATGATTGGAGGTATAGCACTGAGATGTGCTGGAGTTAGGACCCAAGTGGCACCTTTTCGTGGTGAATATGATTGGTGGTATTCAAGCCATGCTTGCGAATGGATATCCTCAGAGTGCAATGTGCAATCACACAAGTGACATAATAGTGTCGTCGGCTGACTGATTAACCAGGTGTGTTGGGGATCATTCTGGCCACTGGCCCAAACTAGTACTCCAAGTTAGTAAAAGAAAGCTATAAAACAGGCTTGCGTACGAGTGCCTGCGATCGCCACTTCATCCCTCGGTGCATCTCGCTGGCCTGCGTGAACCTGCTGCTCGTCTATTGCCTGCTCATGCGCAACACATTGCTCATAGAGCCTTGCACACACCACCTTTGCCTTTCTGCTGACCATCGAAGCTGGGTCTTTGACAGCATAACCTGGGTGCTTCACGAAATGATCCCACCACCATCCTCGGTTTGACTTTGATCTCTTGCTGATCTTTGCCATCAAGTTAGCATGTCGAAAGTGGGGAGTCCATCTTCGAGTTATAAGCCTTGAAGTGTGCCCTTGAACCGAACACACGAAAACCATGCGTTTATGTGAGTAATGATATGTGAAGCGGCACAAAGATAATGTCTAATCAAAGATTCTAGCATTGACCAGATATAGTATAGTTCATTATAGTAGGACCAGGAAACTCCTCAAAGTTGTGTTCAGATGAACATCGATAAACTTCGCCAGCTTTCCCACGAAATCCGGTCAGTGACCGTGACCTTGGTTCACTGACCGGCAGAACACTGGTACATCAATACAACTACATAGTTAGAGTGCACCATACCCCTCCCGTTCGAGCACATCGTCGTCAAGCTCCTCATCCGAATCAGCATCCACCTTATATGGATCTTCCTCATCTGAATCCTCCTCTGCGTGGTTGTCGTCGTCTGAGTCCGAGTCTAATTCGCCTTCCTGGCGCAGCGAGAGAGAGAGACGCCAAGAAAGATTCTCGAGGCATTAGGACACTGCTTTTGTGCATACCTATGAAATGGGTTGGTGCAAGTGAAAAAAGATAGGAAGAGTTATATACCTTCTTCGGGTATAGTGCAAAATGAGAAACATCGAATCAAACGCAACTGAGTGAGAGCTGAGGGAGGCTAAGGTCCACGAAAAGAAGGATGAGCATGACAGTCAGACTATGAAACAGGTAAAGAGGGATGTGTCCTAGAACGAGGATGAGCAGGTGGCTTTGAGAAAGTGTAAGAGGAGGAATATGTAGCTGGAAAAAGAGCCGGGAGACATGAGCTTCACGATGCGCGGGACGTGTACTAAGAAATGTTATGACTGTGCAATTGTCCTGAAACACGTTAATAGAACCAAACAAAAGCTTGTAACAAAACACATTGACACATCTGTGTTTCTTCATCTTATCTATTGTCATCATGCCCCGCAGACACTGATCACTGTCCATGTCCAGTAGTTCATCATCCAGTAGCGATTTTGTTGATGCCTGGGGACTCTACTTCACTACCAACGACTTCACCAATACAAACTGAAGCACCAAAATTGAAGAAATCACTGCAAAAATGCAAGAGAGAATTGTCTGATAATGATACTAACAAGAAGAAACCTAACAAGCAAACAAAGTAAGCTGAATTCACGTTCTCAACATGCATATATGAGCATCTGATCCCTCCATCTTAGGAAACGAGAGAACAGGGACTCGGACTTGCCCAAACAAGTAAGTACAAATGACACCAATAAAATTTATGCACTAATAGTCAAATACAGGAGAGGAATGATGCCACAAGAACAATGTTGCACATTGGATCCCCCGTGGGGTCGATATGTTTTGCAAGTTAGCTGATGTCTTTCGTATTGCTCCTCTTGTCAAGCAGCGAGAAGCAGCTGAAAAGGCTGACTACATCGAGGATAAACAGAAGCAGCACGACTGTGAAGCCATCTTGCAGAATGTGTAAGTACATTGTAATTGTGTTCATTTTCGTTGACAACATCATTCTAAGCTCAAAGGATGTAGAGGCTCAGACAATCTGAACCTATAAGACAATCACTGCTGCTGCACCATACCTGCTCACACTGCTCAATTGCAACAAGAAAAAGTGGGAAGAACTCGAGGGGCTTCTCACTGAGGTGAGTACTATAGCTGCATATATGTGCTGGTTTATATACTGGTACCCTTTATAGATGCAAGTGATCATTGGCCAAGTCCTGATCAGAGGATGCCAGTCATCTGAAACTGGTCATTGGACAGTATGCAGTACCGGAACTTGACATAAAAGGTATGGATCCTCCTATATTTGCTGATAATCAGCAGTCACATGCGAAGATGGGTATCAATTACCCTCAGCTTGCTGTGATGCTCTGCCCTGTGAAGTACACTTGGAAGATTCCAAATGGTAAGTACTCTCCACCTCTAGAGGAGGCGGGTAATTCTATTGCTGACATGCTTTACAGCACATACAACCCCTCTGGAAAACTGCTGTATACTATTTCCAAGGATCCCACTGATTATCCCACACAACTGAGATTGTGAGTATTGACTATACTGAACAGTATGTACACTTGACCATTAGAGGCCACTTTTGATTGACTTCATGTTCTTTGCAGTTTGTTCATCAATTATCACCACTTTTATGGTGTGAGTATCCCGAATCTGCTTTGCATTTTCATGTCTTGAAAAAGGGAACTACAGGTGAATATTACACCGCACTTTGAGTTTGGCTTTGGCTTGAGCTACACCATGTTCTCGTGCTCTGACCTTTGTGTGACTCCTATTCAGTCATTAGATGTTGATCAGGCAGATTTGATCACTGCATGGGAGAATGGGGAGGTGTCGCCCATTGCTGAAGGGTCTTCTACTGCACTTTGGTGAGATTTTTGAGACTGGCAATGGATCTGCAGGCTGATATCACTACCAGGCTCCGTGAGCCTACATTTCACATCACTTTCGAGGTTACAAACACTGGACCCATGTCTGGGACTGAGGCTCACAAAATCCATTCATTTGATCATCCTTGTCATACTTACGCTTAAGTTACTCTAATAGATTTCTCAACTCTACAACCACCACCTGACATCTGCTAATGAACCTCCTTCAGTCCTAAAAGGGTTCACAAACATTGAAATTGCACTGTACAACACGGAGCAAGTCTCGATCATGCTCTCGTGCTATGCCTTGTCTATCTGGGACATTGTCACTCAGGGGTGGCGTAAACCTGATGGCCAGATCTTGTTTTCTGTTGGTGTGAGTAGTGTATTTGCTGATGGTTGCTGTTACATCAGGAAAAACTGTATCTCTATATAGAGGACCATCCTCTATATAGCCCCGATAGCACACCACAGCTCTATACAGTCTATCGCAAGCTATCACAGCGCTATAGACCAGTATAGACATCATGAAAGTCTATATTACCATAAAGTTTGGTAAGTGTATTTAGAAGTAAAACATTTCAACAACTATAGACCCCAGTAGACTGTGGGAACTTTTTTCGATGAAAACCAAAGTTGTAGTCCTTGTCAAGGGAAGTCTATCCATAGTCTAATGACTTCAATAGGTTAAGATCCTAGTGAGTTACAAGGAAAATACTCGAAATCGAAGGGTTCAAGAAAGCAACTTGACCGTGGGAACCTTTTTCGATTAAATCAAAGTTGTAGTCCTTGTCAAGGGAAGTCTATCCATAGTCTAATGACTTCAATAGGTCAAGATCTTAGTGAGTTATAAGGAAAATACTTGGAATTGAAGGGTTCAAAAGTGTTAAGGTACACCTTATTTATGTAAGCAAAAATGCGAAAATTCACCTTGTGTGTATTCAAAATCCTAATGCTAACAGTCAATTTCATTGTCTTTTTCTTACTGTCATAATCCTAGTCCTAATAAGCAAAAACTCGAAAATTCACCAAGTCTTGTGTTGTGGCTTTGTTTGGCACTGCTTATGTAAGCAAAAATGCGGTCAACCAACAAGTCTTTTCCCATTCTTTCCTTCCCCCCCACTGCCCCCTCATTAGATTATCTTCCATATTTCTCTTACAATTTTCGAGTTTTTGCCTCTCTTCTCTTCTTCTTGCTTCTCTATCCTTCTCTTGGTGTTGATGTTGTTGGTGCTGGTACTGGTGCTGGTGCTTTGAACTCTGGTAAGTCTCCCTCCATAATTTTCGCATTTTTGACTATTTGACTAATCTTTTTTCTAACCCTCTCCTTCTAGCTCTCTTCCCTCCTGCTCCTCCTCCCCCCAACTATTTTCGCATTTTTGACCATTTGGCAAGTCTTTTCTCTGACTCTCACTTCCTCCTGTCTAATCCTCTCCTTCTAGCTCCCTTCCCTCCTCTTCCCTCAAGAATTTTCGCAATTTTCACTATTTGGTAAGTTCTTTCCTCTCTGATTCTTCCTTCTAGTTCTCTTGCCTCTTCCTCCTGTAATTTTCGCATTTTTGCCTGTTTTGTAGTTATTAGTTTACATGTATTGTAGCAGTTGAAATATAATTTGGAATTTTCGCTTTTTTTAATTTTTAATTTTGAGAACACTATCATGGCAACAAACAGCTATTAAGAGAAATTTTTGCTTTGTGTTTTGAGCTATAAGAGCTACAATAGCTACAATAGTTGTGGTATGTTCCACCCAGCTATAGCAACTTTAATAGAGCTATATAGCACTATACACTGGTGTAGTAAGCCTGCACAATTGGGCACTTGGCTATATGAGCTATAGGGCTATGGAGTCTGTATAGCAGTCTATAGTGCTATGGGTGGCTATATAGCCTTACCACATTTTCCTGATGTAGGACATGTCAAAAGTTGCAAAATGGGGACATCAAGATGCACACATTGGTCTGGCCAGCCATGGTATACTCTGGTAAGAACTCAGGGGAAAATTTTAACCCCAAGTGTGTTCAGGATGGACTGCTCAAAGGATACCTCATTGAGCATGTGAGTTTTTTTTTTTTAAAAAAAATATTGATCCTACAATTGTTTATGTGAGTGATTCAGATGAAGAACCCCAGCCACCAAAGTTAAAAGCAAAGAGGGGGTGTGCTTGCAAGCCTGTTTTGGAGTCACCACTACCATTGCCAGCACCAAAGAAGAAGACAAACTTAAGGCGGCCCACAAGAGGAAATGAGTCTCCATACATCTGAGGCTGCTCTGTTTATGCTGTGCTGATTCTTATATTTCAGGTTGCATCACATAGTATCATTCTGCATCGCATATCATTCCACATCATGCCATGGCATTTCATTCAGATTCATCACTTTCATGCATTTCGCTATGTCTCACATCAACACTTTTGCAGTGCTTTCTGTCTCTTCATTTTCACACTTTCATGGTGCTATTGAGTCTCATCATCCAATTGTTGTACTATCAGGCTGACTCATTTCCACAATGCTGACACTGTGTTAGGTACTGTGCCGGCTCAGGAAGCAGAGGGGTCGGGGCTTGGCTTCAGCTCTTGTGCTGCGCCCTTAGCCGAGTATGTGCCCCGAATTTGGAGTGGGTCCGACATTATCCGACGATAGGACAAGTGGACTGCTTAGGTCCGCTTTGAGGGTCGGGAGGTAAGAGCTACTAGCAGTGGGCTGACTAGGAGCGGAGCGGAGAAGGCGGGGAGTGATGTGGAGGGTGGATAGGAGCAGGGGGAATGTTTGGTAGGAGCGGGGAAGGCAGAGGATGATGCAGAGGATGGAAAAGGGTCAGAGGGGAATATTGAAAGGGGCGGAGAAATAAGGGGGAGACTTGGAGCATGGCTCTAAGTCGGAGTGGAGGGTCAGAGGGTTGGAGGTGACAACAAGGTGAGACTTGTGTCCAGAAGGCAAGGTCCTACTGAGAATTCTCACAAGTAGTAACTGCAAGAAGACAAGTAATATTAAGACTGAGGAAAATATCTAAGTACAGGATATGTTATATACTTCTATGTATGAGGCAGTGATCAGGATAACTATGTTGTAAAGCTATGTACCAAGGATATAATTTGTAAGTACTTACACAGGTGAAGACATAAGTCGGGGCGGATATCAATATGTACATGTCGGATCAGTGATCGAGCGGTAAAAGGAATTACCGGTGATCTGGAAGTAAGGGTCTATGTACCAAAGGGGAAAGTATATATCTAAAAGGGGAAAGAGGTCCAGTTGAATGGAGATGTTATGGAAGGGGACTGGTTGAGCGGTTGAGCGGAAGTGTAGGAGCGGATGCAGACGATGATTGGACGGAGCGGAGGATGGATAAGGCGGAGGGGGTTGGAAAGTGGGGCAGATATTGATATCAGAGTGGTTGGATCAGGTATATGACACACTGTTTTACCCCACCCTGCCTTACGATACCATCAGTGCCCATAGTTGGTGTTGATGCCATGTATTATGATAGCAAATTGACATTTGTTTCACATGACATATCAGTGTGATAACTTGACAGTAGATTGAGAACTGCTTAGCATGAGATATCAGCATGATAACCGGCTAGCATCTGAGGGAGTACTGACAGTTGAGTAGTACATTAGCAAAAAAAATGAACCTAGGTATGACCAGATAAGTGGACCCTGGAGCCTGATATACCTGTGAGAACTTAGAGCCCTTCTAAGGGCCGATGTGACCTTAGCTTGCCATCACTGAACTGGGAAATTTTGGTGATGAAGGTTGTGAGCATAAGGGAAATTTGCAGATGAAGTGATTGCTGTTATTTTCAAAAGTATGACACTGGTTCACAAAGGCGCAAGCTGTGTGATGTAATGCATGACCTGTTAGGGCTGCTCAATTCTAAAAGTTTGAGTTCACTTGGATTCAAGCACCGCTAAGCATCACCAAACCTTGTCCTAAATGGGACTTGTACCTAAACCTTACGGTGCACAGCACCAACACTTGGTATATACAAGCAGTCTTAATGTTAAGACTGTGCTCAGGGGTAAAGTGGAGTCTGAGGGGCTTGGCTTCAGCTCGTATGCTGTGCCCCTTACCTGAGTATGTGCCCCTAATTTTGGAATATAGTCTGACACGAATTCTATGGGTTCCGACAGGACGTCGGAACGGGGGTCCTCTTAAGGAGGACCAACGGACTACTAGGTGAGTGCGGGAAGTCAGGCGGGGGTTGTTCCGCCTGACAGGAGGGAATCGGGAGACTACTGCGGTTGGAACCAACAGTAGAAGCGGAGTGGAAGGAACTGCTTGGACGAAGTCTGAAGCAGAGCGGAACGGAGGGGACGGATGCGAGAGTGCAGGGTCTAGTTCCGATGCACAGGAAGTTGGAGGAGTGGAGGGACAGAGGAATGGGGGAACGGGGGAACAGAGGAGCGGAGGATCGGAGGATGGCCAACCTAGGGAGTCAATCCCCTAGGCCGGCTTAACAGGAGTTGACTAGGATCAGGCCCAAGTCAAAGAACAGAAGAGCAGGGCTTAGAAAAGGTAATATTCAGACTGAGTATCTACAGACAAATGTACATATGTTTATATACTCTAAGTGGGACAGGGCATCAGGTGCAGCGAGTTTGGTACCAGGGATATGGTGGAATTCGAGGTCAAATGAGGTGAGCGTCAGCTGCCAACAGGCTTGTCGCCTTGTTAGTTTCTGTGCAGAACGGAAGTAGAGCAGGTTTTTGTGATCAGTGAAGATGATGACCGGATGTGGGTTTCCTTCAAGATAGTGTCTCCATCCTTGAAGTGTGCGAATGACTGCAAGGAGCTCTCGGTCATAAACCTGATAATTTCATTCGGCTGGGTTAAGTGATTGCGACAGATATCCGCATGGATGATAACTTCCGTTACTGTCTGTTTGCAGGAGGATTCCCCCGGTCGCGCATCCAGATGCGTCTGTGGCAAGGGCAAATTGCCTGGTCGGATCGGGGTTCCTGAGTACTGGCTGTGAAAGGAAGCATCGCTTCAGCTTTCGGAATGCTGCGTCACATAGTGGTGACCATTCAAATGTCCGAGCTTTCTGCGTCAGGTTGATCATAGGATGTGCAATATCGAAATAATGAGCGATGAAGTGGCAATAGAAGTTGCAAAATCCTAGGAAGGATCTGACTTCTTTAACCGATGTGGGGGTTTTCCAGTCGTTGATTCCAGCTAATTTGGCCGGGTCCATCGCTACTTGTCTGGGTCGGATGATCATTCCCAAGTATTCAACTTCTTGGGCGTCAAACGTGCATTTCTCTGGTTTGAGGAAGAGTGTCTCATTCCTGAGGATTTCCAGTATTCTCTTGGTTCGAGCTTAATGCTCATCAAGCGAGTCGGAAAATATCAGAATGTCGTCCATGTAGACGATCATCCATCCTTCGTTGATCTGTTGTCTGAACGTCTGATTCATGTAAGCTTGGAAGGTGGCGGGGGAGTTGCATAACCCAAAAAACATAACCTTTGGCTCAAAGAGCCCAAAGGAGGTTGAAAATGCTGCCTTCCAGCAGTCATCAGGGTGGATTAGGATATTATTGTATCCGGATCGGACGTCCATCTTGGTGAAGTATTTTGCATTGTGAAGTGCAGCGATTAGAGGTGGGATCAGGGGAAGTGGATAAGCATTTTTAACCGTCCATTCATTGAGGTACCTATAATCTTGACAGGGTTGAAGGGAACCTCCTTTCTTTCCTACAAAGAAGAAACCGCTTGCTTGGGGTGACTTTGATGGTTGTATGAAGTCTTTGGCGATATGTTCGTCAATAAATGTTTTGACGGCTTCGGTTTCTGCTGGCAAAAGGGGATAGGTTCTTGCAGACTTTGGTATGAAGCCTGGTTTTGTTTCGATTCTGTGATCAACTCCTGGTCTTGATGGGGGAAGTTGGTTAAGGCCATCTTTAGCAAAGATATCCGCATAGTCATGCAGATATTCAGGGACTAGTTCTTCGAAGGTTTTCTTCTTCTTTTCTTGGGCTTCTTTCATCACAAATTCTTGTGCTTTATTGCTTGTCTTCTGTAGTTCTTCTTCCTGTGATTCCGCCAGTACCCAGGCATTTCTGAGGGGTATGGCGAGGGCTGTTCGTTTGAGTTCTTTTTTTGATGTTCCATCTCGAGTGAGTGGGGAATCAAATGCGAGGTTTTCAATAAGGCGGACCGTGGTGCCATCTACAGCATATTCAACCAGGATTTCGTCGTCATTTAAGACGTATTCCATGGTATTAGAAACTGTTGGGGCGAGGTCAACCTGTCCAATCCATACATCTTCCACCTTGTTGAATTGTTCTTCAACTTTTTTGTCTTTCGGATGTTTTGTCTTTCGTTTTCTTCTGTCCTTCTTCTTTGCTCGACGGATTTCTTCAATGATATGCTGAGCGTCGAGGGGGAGGAAGTTCAGTGGCACAAAGTCATCATCGTCCATTTCATCTTCGACCGTTGCTCACCATTTCTTATGGTCCGGCGAGGGCATGAGTGGGGGAGCGAAATGATTTTCCAGATCAGCAGATGCCCTGTCTCGTTTTGGCATTCCTATGGCAGGTGGTAGTACGAGGGGCGCATCTTCGATTTCTTCCATGCTAGTTGGTTCTGGGGATACTGGTAGTGGTGTGGCGCATGAAGAGGGCGACGAAGCAGGCGTTGGTGAAGATGACGAGGTTGGTGTTTGCGTTGGGGTGATAGGTGGAAGCGGTACTTCAGGTTCTATGGTTTTCGGTTCTTCTTTGGGTTGCTTAGGCGCGGTAGTTTTTTCTACCTGGGCCTGGTCTTTCTTGACCTGTTTTCTTGTCTTCCTGAGGAATTGATAGGGTTTCTTCCCATTTTGTTTTCTTGCATCGTTAATATCGTCTTCAAGCTCCCATGAGCGCCAAGTGGCTGGGAGTTCAATTGTATTGAGGGCCCAATTGATGTCAGGGCGCATTGCGCTAAGCCATGGTTTGCCAAGAAGGAAGTCATCTTTCCATGAGAGTTTAGTGATGTTAAATTTTCCTTTCATGGTTCACTGGTCGATGTGGATGCCCAGGACACAGTAGTGTGTTACTTTCCCAGCTTTTGACGAGCTTCCGTCCACAGTGTTAATGTGGAAGGGGGTTGTATGTTTATGGGTAGTGATGCCATGTGTTTCAACGAATGCTTTACTGACGAATGATCCTCCTGCTCCAGAATCGATGATGGCAGTGGTTTTGATGAGGGGTCTGGTGCAGGATAGGAGTGTCATTGGGACATGGAATTCATTCTTTTTTCCTACCGTACTGGTTAGGAGGACAGGGGTTACGGCTTTCTTGCCTTTTTCTTCTTCAGAGCGCTTCTGGGCGTCTCTTACCTGATCTTTCCTGATCGGTTTCTTTCTTCCTCCTGTCTTGGAGTCTTTGGTCGTGAAGATGCCATACCGGTTGTGGTTGGTGGTGCTTTTTGTCTTGGAGCCCCCTGTCTTGGGCAGACCCTTCAGTCATTTTTCATGTAGAACCCCTGCCCCGGATGTGCCAAAAGGTCGTAGAATCATGGCTAGCCAGTCCCCGGCCGGTGCATGTAGGATAAGTGCTGGCCGGTGTACTATCTTATTATCACTTCAGTATCATTATTTCATGTAGGATTGGTGCTGGCCGAGGTATTATAGGCCAATCTCTTGTATGTAGTATCAGTGCCGGCCAGTCTATAATACTATAACCATCTCTTTTGTCTTGTATGTAGAATGAGTGCCGGCCGATATATCATATGACATATACTAGCCATAAGATCAAGCTGGCTGGTATATGTAGAATATATCTACTGCAGTCTGATTTCATTAGTAGACTGGCCAGCTTGTATCTACGTGGGTAGGAGCATGGCTGGCCAGTTCATAGTCCTTAAGTTAATATACTGGCCATTGAGTGTACTAACCATAGGATCAGGCTGGCTAGTATATGTAGTCATTGGTGAACCTGCCAGTCTGTATATACATATGTAGGAACATGGCTGGCCGGTTTGCTTATGTTTCACTAGCAGACCGGCCATCATGGTTCCACATGTGTAAGACCATGGCTGGCCAGTTTGCTTATATTTCACAAGCAAACCAGCCAGCCTGGTTCCACATATGTAAGACCATGGCTGGCCAGTTTGCTTATATTTCACTAGCAAACTGGCCAGCTTGGTCCTACATGTGTAAGAGCATGGCTGGCCAGTTTGCTAATATTTGACTAGCAAACCGGCCAGCACAGTTCCATGTGTGTAAGACCATGGCTGGCCAGTTTGCTAATATTTGACTAGCAAACCGGCCAGCATGGTTCCATGTGTGTAAGACCATGGCTGGCCAGTTTGCTTATATGTCACTAGCAAACTGGCCAGCCTGGTTCTACATGCGTAGGAACATGGCTGGCCAGTGTAGAGCTTTTAAATTATCACTTTTCATTAGTATACTGGCCTTTTTTCGTCTATGTATGTAGGAGCTAATGGTTCAATTCTCATCCAAGTCTTGACAAGTAGATATATTTGTTGTACAAAATTGATCAGCAATGAAGACAAAGGAGTATATAAGATCAGTTCTGGGCTCTCTTAGAAGGTTGCCTTGTCCTGCCTGATCTGCGGACTTCAGGCTCAATCCTAGGCTTCTTAGACTCACTGGTCGAAGCTTGGGGCATTCTTCTCTTCCTCCCTTTCTGCTGCTGCTGCTCCTGCTCCTGCTGCTGCTCCTGCTGCTGCTCCTCCTGCTCCTCATGCTCCTGCTGCTGCTGCTGCTGCTCCTCCTGTGTCTCCTTTGCCTTCTCCTTCTCCTTCCCCTTTATCAAAAAAACCTCCTCCCCTGGCACCTCACCAAGTCCCCCTTTTGCCAGCTTCTCTATGTGCTCAACAACTGTGGCCAAGACCTGCCGAACAACTTGATCAAGAGAAACCAAGACTTCTAGATCGAAAGCAGAACCAGGTAGGTAGAAAGGTGTATTGGGGTCAGCCTCATCTTCCTCATACTCTATGACGCATTTAGACTCCCTATAGAGGAGCCCAATTCCTAGAATCACTGGCATGGCAGATGCTGCCCCTGAGATTGGAGATGTTCGTAGCTTTTCCAAGCTAGCCTTCAAAGTGTCATAAGACACATGCACGTCCTCAGGAAGATAAGATTCTCCCCAAGACCAGTTAGCCCAGATAGGCAAATCTGGATTCTCCTCTGAAGTTGGCTATTGGACGAACTATGAGCTATGAGATTAAGATACACTCAAAGTTATACTGACCTTCTGCTTGGCAAACTTTGCCAGATCCCTAATGGCATCTATAAGCTCTAGGTAGTCCTCATTCTTCCTTAGAGATTCGAGGAATGCATATCGATCATCGATTGAAACATCATCTGGGGTTGTGTCGGCCGGCTGGGTTCTACGTTCTGTGAAATCAGAGCTGTTCAAGGAAGGAAGCCGGTCGCTGTCTTCTTCGTCTGAGTCAAGTAAGCTTACTCTTTTCTCCTTAGACTTTTTCTTTCTTTCTTCATTCCTTACATTTGCCCGCACATCACCATCCTTGGCTTTGACAAAAACGACTAGCTTCTTGTTTGCAGCCGAATTTTGTTCCCAATGGTTCCATAGACAATTTACCTCCTCAGTCTTCATATGAGAAGGGTCTTTGACCACAAATGCAGTGGGAACAGAACCATGTTCCAAATAATTGGACAAGGCAGCAGTTATCATACCCCAAGGCACAGGTCTAGAGCCCCCAGTGCAGACTTCTACAAACCAAAGCATCAATCAAATGCTAACAAATATGAAGACATAAGAACTTACTATACGAAGCATGAAATATACCCCTAATCAATTCATGTTGGCCCCTAAGGCCAATACCATCACGACTAGGAAGTTTGGCATATCCATCATCATCTAGGATAATTTCGGGTATAGCAGCTTCATTGCCAGCATCCTCATTGTCTGAACCCTCCAGGTCCTGATCATCTGAAGGATCTATTAGTTTGAGTGAATAATTAGTGTTAGTACACGCAAGATTCAAATTCCCATTAGCCACATACAAAACTCGGTCTTTGACCATTCTGCAAAGGATTCAAATCCAGTTGCAGTCCACTCCTTGATCCCATTGGAGCTGACAGAAAACCTCTTCTTGACATTTTGAGGGTCGGTTTCATGTCTGAGACATAGTGATTAGTTAGTCTAGTTAGCCTTGAGAATTATGAAAGTTCAATCACTTACAGACTGACAGACAATGTCTGACTAGCTTTTTTCTTGTGGCTAACAAACATCACCACTCGACAACCCATAGTACGTCGGATTTGCTCTGAAAAGTCTTCAAGTGTTTTCTTGAGGTTGTTCTTCCTATACCTTAAGGAAGATCTTAGACGAGATCAATGGTAAATCTTGAGTCAAACTTACACTACTTGACTTTCTTCTGGTGCCCCCTCCCTATTCCATTTGGTCATGGCAAACTTGACCTCCTCCTGTTGTGAAGGAGACATATTGTCAAACCATTCCCTGGCATGGCCAGTCCGATACTTGATTGAATGTTGGACACCTTTCCTTCTCTGCTCATCCTTGTCAAACTTATCTATTTCTTCCTTGAACAACCTCTGTGCAACATCCCATTCGGTAAGTGATTTCTTGTAGAAGGACGCTTCTCTTGGACGACTTGCGGCCTCTCGTTCCTCGGCCTCTTCCTTGTAGGCGATGATTTGGGAACAGTATTGTTTGATTTCCTATAATGTAGCATTCACACATCAATCAAATGTATCTACATACACAAATAAAATTTTGTTACCTTTTTCAAAGAAGTAGGCAATTGGGGCACATCTTCCTCTTCATCGTCTTCAAGTTCCTTTTGGGCTGCAAGTATAGCCTTACGAATTTTCTTCACCATGCGTTTGAGAGCCTGTGGTGAATCTGCAGTCACAATACCTTGATGATAATGATCAAGAATATATTTAAAGTGAGTTGTCCAGTCAGAAGGCATTGTAGTTCAGTCAAAAAAAAAGGCTGAAAATTTTGATAGAGCTGACAAGTACTTGCGGTAGGAGGGCGGCTGGCCGACAAACTGATTTGAATCCCATATTTAGGTAGTGTAACATTAATATGACCATATTAAGATTATATTCAACAATCAACAATCAGTTCACATGATCATATTCAACACGTTGATTTAATCATGTGACCGTGTGTTGCTAGCCATGCTAGTGAAACTGGCTAGCTATGCTAGTCAAATATAAGCAAACCGGCCGCCATGGTCATACATATGTAGAACCAGGCTGGCCGGTTTGCTAGTCAAATATAAGCAAACCGGCCAGCATGGTTTCACACATGTAAGGCCATGGCTGGCCGGTTTGCTTATATTTCACTAGCATAGCTAGCCAGTTTGCTTATATTTGACTAGCAAACCGGCCAGCATGGTTCCACGTGTGTAAGACCATGGCTGGCCAGTTTGCTTATATTTCACAAGCAAACCGGCCAGCCTGGTTCTACATGTGTAGGAACATGGCTGGCCACTTAATCATATGACCATATCAAGATGATTTTCAACAATCAACAATCAGTTCACATGATCGTATTCAACGAGTTGATTTAATCATGTGATTGTGTTTGAACCACTTAAATTTTGAAGTCTTCAAAGGCTAAGGCAAACAACTGATATTCAAGGGCATGAGAACAAGCAACTATTTGTAATCCAAAACATGTAAAAAAGCAAATCTAACAAGGGTAAAAGTAGTAGTAAAAAAAGAGATGAAATTCAATTGGCCTTCACACAAACTGCAATCCAGCAGGAACCACTCTTTCTGGCATGAGATAGGGTGACTGAGTTCTCTGGGGGGCTGAAGAGATACCCTTTCCTGCACTTTGAGTTCATGCATTCAAAGGAGTAGGTCTTCTTGTGGTTGGCTGAACGCCAAGAGTTAGCCCATCCACACTGAGGGCATTGGAGTGGAAGATGGTGGCCCCAAGGGCGTTCCTTGCAATGCGTCCATGCGAATCTAGTGATGTCCAAGGCATGACAAGCATTAGTCATCAATAAGAACACATCAGTGTGTCTGCCAAGTTTGTAGGACTGCATAAGCATGTCCGGAAAAACTTCGCGAATAGGCAGACACTCAGTCAGGACGAGTTCTGCAAATGATAGAAGAAGGGGAGCCGCAAAGTTTGGCTGGAAACGGATGGCGTTGAAGCAGATGGTAGCTGTAATATGATGACTGGCAGTATGTGTCAGGCTTTGCAGAAGTGCAGGATGATAGACTATGGTACTTACTGAAGGACGGCCTTTTGCAAGGACGAAAAGGACTCCTTGTTGTTAACCAGAGCGCCACAAGACAAAAACCATAGGTAAGAGTCTTTGGCAGCTCTGATGAGCGGCTGCCATGGCGTGAGGATGATGTCCAAAAACTGTAGGTAGAACGGTGAGCAAACAGCATGTCATAAAAGACACTACTCACACCGTCGACTCGGCCAGACACATACGATTTTTTCTTCCTCTCATAGCCCAGGAATGGATCTCCGAGATCGTCGTCAGTATGGTTGGAGATGGCGAACACAATGCGGGGCCAGTTACGTTGAGCCATTAGGCTACGGACCAATTCGCCCACCTTGACTTGGTACATGTCGCTCTTTACCTTGGAGCCGATGTCGAATACGAGCTCGTGGAAAGCGATACCTCCGCGTGGAAAGTAGGGGGAGAGGAAGCGGTACATGAGGTCGAAAGGTCTGCCGGAAGTTTCGAAGTCGACAAGCGTGAGGTGGATCAATACCACAGGCGTGGAAGAAATCTGCGATTGCAGAGATACTTCCAATGCACCGTGGATTGGGAGGAAGGTGGGCAAAACCGGTAAATTGTTCCTGTAAAATCCCTACATAGCGCGTTAAGACACAACTACAGAAGAAGAAAGGACTTACAAAGTAGGCAGCGCGTGTTTCTTCTGTGCGAGAGTCTTGTGCTGCCAAGTGGCAATATATGCACGTGAACATGACGTCGTCGCAGTTGACAGCGTCGGCATGAGTGACGGGAATGTCGACGCAGCGAGAGCACATTGTGCGGGGACAAAGGTCACACAAGTACAGAAACTCGTGGCCGCTTGAACCGTCCCGGCAGACAATGCACCACTGTAAAACACGCGGATTAGTTATTGACAAGGTATGGGGCAAGTACTCACCTCATTATGGCTTGACTGCACCTCACCAGCTCCCATCCCATCATCCATCCCATCCGCCTTGTCCACCTCTTCTCCTCCAGTCTCCTCATCCTTAACCGTCTCCTCCATCGCCAGATCGGAGTTGAGATCCGCGCCGATCGAAGAATCGAAGCCGAGATCAACGCCGATCGAAGAGAAGTCGAGCAAGGGTGCGTAGTTGACAGTTATACGCTTGGCGGTGCCTCCAGTCGACTTCTTGCAGGTTTGCTTGGTGCGCGTCATTGGATTGGTAAGCTGAGGAAAGAGGATGAGCGTCACAAGCGGGAACAGAGAAAGACTTACTATTGAATAAGCTAGATGAGCCTCGGAAGCAAAGACAGAGAAAAGACTTACACACATTTTCCGCATGTAGTACAAATAGACACAAACTGGTTGGTAAGCCAAATAAAGACACGGTTGAATTAACGCCAAGTGCCAAACAACCAAACAAGGACAAATGCACACGCGTCATATCAACAACAACTTCAATTCCCACGGTTCATTTTCTTCGCTCATTACCTTCATCATCATTTCTTTCTTTTCCCCCATTACTTCCTTCACTTCCACTCCCATATCATTCTAAAGGGCACCTTCTGGTGTACCCTTTAGGTCCTTGCAGACTGCAGCTGCAAGGATCTAAAGGCAATGCACTGGAGTCGCCTTACAGTAATGGTGAGTGCTCATTTTCTATTCACTCATTTACTAACTTTCTTTCTATGTTTATTTTCATCAAGGTGTTTTGGCGGCGCCTATGGTAAGTACTAGCACCATATACTTTTATGGCGGTTGTGTGGCTCCGCGCCCCCTGCTTCTTACTAACTTCTCTCCTTTTCAGCGCATGTCCTTTGGGTCTTGGGGGCTACTTTTATGGCGGTTGTGTGGCTCCGCGCCCCCTGCTTCTTACTGACTTTCTTTCCTTTTCAGCGCATGTCCTTTGGGTCTTGGGGGCTACTTTTATGGCGGTTGTGTGGCTCCGCGCCCCCTGCTTCTTACTAACTTCTCTCCTTTTCAGCGCATGTCCTTTGGGTCTTGGGGGCTACTTTTGTGGCGGTTGTGTGGCTCCGCGCCCCCTGCTTCTTACTAACTTATCTCCTTTTCAGCGCATGTTCTTTGGGTCTTGGGGGTTACTTTTATGGCGGTTGTGTGGCTCCACACCCCCTGCTTCTTACTGACTTTCTTTCCTTTTCAGCGCATGTCCTTTGGGTCTTGGGGGTTACTTTTGTGGCGGTTGTGTGGCTCCGCGCCCCCTGCTTCTGCTTCAATGTCTGTTGGGTCTGGGGGCTACTTTAGTGGCGGTTGTGTGGCTCCACACCCCCTGCTTCTGCTTCAATGTCTGTTGGGTCTGGGGGTTAATTTGTTGGCGGTTGTGTGGCACCGCGCCCCCTGCTTATCTTGGGTCTGGGGGTTTATCACTGACTCCGTCTTTTTTCAGCACTGGTCTTGGCTTGGCTTGGTGCGCCTCTTGCTTCTCTTGTATCACTGACTCCGTCTTTTTTCAGCACTGGTCTTGGCTTGGTTTGTGTGTGGTGCGCCTCTTGCTTCTCTTGTGTCTTGGGGTGGGTGTTTGTCACTGACTTCTTTTTTTCAGCGATTGTTCTTGGTTTGTTGGCAGTTGTGTTGTACTGCGCCCCCTGCTTCTTTGTGGTAAGTGTCATTTGTCTAATCAACGTCTGTCTAACACAGTTGTAGGATGTATATGGTACTGCGCCCCCTGCTTCTTTGTGGTAAGCATCGTTTTTCTAATCAACATCTGTCTAACACAGTTGTAGGATGTATATTACACATTTTACTACTTAGTATTCTCTTCGAGCGTGAGGCTTTGGTGAGGAGGGCTCCCTCATCAAAGTCTCACTGCTTGCCTTTGACTTCCACTTTCAATGTTCGCATTAAACTTGTAGTAAAATATTAGCTTGTGTACTTCGCACTATTTCTTTGAATAGTATGCCAAAATGACGCGAATTCTTGCTAGTGGAAAAAATCACGTGACCGTGTGCATTTTCTTGATACACCAGCTGTGCCGGTGGAAAATGAACTCAACACCAATGTTCTCAGTGAGAACTGCAAGTGTAAAATCTACAGAGATCATGTAAATAGCTTTAGAATCATATCAAATGGACAAAGCGACTGAAAAATCTAACGCAAAGAATCTAACACAAAGATGCTTTATGAAATCGAAGCTTGGTTGATTCAACTTGAAGCACACAAAATAAAAGTAACCAATGTGAAACACCATCGAAACACTTTGTTTTGCATGCAACACATAATTTCACTAGCAGTACCTGCCGCCTTCACTATTACTTACTACTACTCCAAGAAGGTAAGCTTTGACAACTCTCTGCCTTGTCAAGTGCGCCATTTGGTGTGCTGAAAGTGCCGATCAGTAACATTTGAGACTCGATGTTACTTCCAGTCCCGTTCTAACTAAACCCCCAATGTTGACTTTGACTTTGACTTTTCAGATCACTTTTCCCTTCACAACACCAAACTGCCCATTCCACTCATCACCCCATCATGGCTGCTGTGCATGGTCCACTTGCACCTACCCACCCACCCCCCTTTCAGAATGCCCGGAGCATTCCTCATTCGTGTATTGTTATCATCCTACACTGTTGGTGGGTCCACTCATCACCCTATCACAGCTGCTGTGCATGGTCCACTTGTACCCACCCACCTATCCCCCTTTCAGAATGCTCAGAGCATTCCTCATTCACGTATGGGTTATGATCCTGCACAGTTGGTGAGCCCACTCATCACCCTATCACTGCTGCTGTGCATGGTCCACTTGTACCTACCCCCCATCCCCCTTTCAGAATGCCCAGAGTGTTCCTCATTCACGTATTGTTATCATCCTACACTGTTGGTGAGTCAACTCATCACCCCATCATGGCTGCTGTGCATGGTCCACTTGTACCTACCCCCCCCCCCTCCCCCAACCCCCCTTTCAGAAAGTTCTTATTAGCCGCTCATCATTCCACACGTTCAACTTCGCATAAGCGCCACCCAAACCCCAACCAACTCAACCTTCCACGAGACACTCTGACCCATTTCATGGTCATGAGCAGCCTTCGTGGTTGTGCACAAGGTTCATAACCCATCTGTTTGCTTGTCCCAAATTACCTCCCCCCCATTGTCTTCTAACTCTCAAGTGAAGCTCCCACATTTCATCGCATATGCCCTCCACCGCACGAAGTATCATCCCACACCATTAGTGAGTTCTTATTAGCCGCTCATCATTCCACATGTTCAACTTCGAAAATCATAGAATACTTAGAGCGCGTTCCTTATTCAAAATTCAAGGGTAACAAGGCACTTGTCACTTGGAACCGAGCTGACCGGCCTTATGTGTGATGTAATCTATTAGAGTTCCGAATTCGTGGAACTGTTGATTTCATATATGTATACCATTTTAGTCAAATTAGCCACTACTGTTTTCTATCAGTTGCTTCCATCATTTCATAATCATCTACAATGTACCTAAATTGGGACAAATTGACAGTGTGGGAATTCAGACGGCTATTTTTGCTTTGTTTCAGTCGGTTCATATTTTCTCCCTCCCTCACATGGACAACTCAAGAAGTGAAACAACAAAGCTAAGGGCTGCACTGACTGGTCAGATCACTCAAATTATGAGGGATTCTGCAAACACAAGTGTTTTCAAGGAGGGGAAAGTACAATCTCACCTTCTACACAAGGCAAGGTATGACAGTTCATCATTTAACATTATGTTTTGACTTGCTAACCTGTTCAGGTTGAGAATTGGAGTGCAACTAAACAGTTGCTTGGCAACAGCTGATGCCCCATCAAAGTGTCCTTCCTCAATATCCGAATATGAAATAACTCGAGCAGCGCTCACAATTGCTTATGCAATGGTAAACCCTTGTGAGTTACTTATGTAATAACTGTATTACCAGGGTTTTGATCTGAGTGGCAGATCATGTAGACTGGGATGTTGAGAGATATGCCGAAATGGCAAAGTGCTCTCCACCCAAGGCAGACGGTTCACCCTCCCCAGAAATAGAACGATTACAGAAATACTTCCCCCCAGCAGCAATAGGCAAAATGTCTGCACCAGCAACCATTGTGGACAAACATGGTAAAATAATGATGGTGTACTTGCCTGGTATCTTGTCAAGATCTCGAGTTGTAAGTTTGTTATTTGATGGGGATTCCCTCTCGTAACATTATTTCATTTTGTAGGACTATGTGAACACAGCCACTAAGGGTTTGCGAAATATGCTTCTTAGAACTGTTCCGACTTCATCGGCCTCAAAACAATCTTGGTGATCTCAAGGCTTTGTTGTGCCTGAGGGAGGGGGAATTTTCGGAGCTGGAAGAGTTACAGTATCTCCGGCATATTTTATGCAAAGACATGAGGTATTTGTCTAATCAACAACATCTAGCCAGTTCTTGCTCATTTTTGCAGAGAATTCAAGACCCACTGGTCACATCTGCTTCATACTCATCTGCAGAAGTCCAAGAGTGGCTCGCCGCCTTATTGACTACTGAATATTTTTGGAACGCAATTACCGCTGCCTCGGCTCCTGGTCTGTTTGAAGCAGGTTCCACTGCTATTTCGGAAGTTGTACAGCAAGTCAGGAGGGCGAGTAAACCAGATGCAGTGCCTGTGTCTCAATAGCCCTCAATCTTTTCTGGATTGGAAGTAATTGCCAACTGTGTCACATTTTCTCATAGAGACCCTGGTGGGGCACCTTCACTCTTTGATCTTTTAGTGAGTTTGGGTAGTGGTCATGAGGCCAAGTTGACATTACGAGATATTGGAGCGGAGCTGGATTATCACCCTGGGACCATGGTCTTCATTTCAGGCAAGGTTCTGGAGCATTCTATCGGTCCATGGATTAAAGGAGAAAGGATTGTCATTGCCCATTTCATGAAAGATAAAGTTCATTCTAGAGTGGGGGTGCCAAGACCAGCATTTCCAACACAGGACTTTTTTTTGCAGATGGTGGGAAGGCAAACCAAAAGAGAGTGAAGTACGAAATGTCAGAGGGGGGTGGGGGGGTGAAGGGATAAGTCAGGTGTTTGAGCATACATACTAGATCTAAATGAGGTAGTAGTTTAGCCATTTCTATCAATGATTTTGTCAACTACAACCAAAATATTAAGGACATCCTCTTTTGCCTTAGTAACAGTATGTCTCCTCAAAAAAAAACTCGACTCAAGGCAGCTACATTTTCCTTCAAAGGAAGAGGTCGATTATCCAAAGGCAAGGACCTAGATGTCGATTACGTGTCTCACAAACAAGTCCTTGGAAAGAAAAGGAAGATGACCTGGGTGGAATCATGTGCCGATGCCTTCTATGACACTGCCCCAACATCATCTCCTTCCTCTAGCCCTCATAAATGGGTCAGAGAGGAAACTCAAGGGTTGCCAAGCATTCAGGAGGAATTTGATGGAGAAGTCCTCAGTGACTTTAATTCATATACAGAGAACCAATCAAGAAAAACAAAGGTGACCAGATTGATGCATAGCAATTTAATTCTATACTCAATCGAGATCAAATGAACTAGACTCAGAACGACTTTATCCAAGAATATCTGCCTTTCCGAGACTCATATCTCGATATCCTCCTTGACTTGGAGAAGCCCTCTGATGTCTTGGAGTGCCAGTCTTGTCAGATTGGTGAAGGGAAATTCCATTGTTTGACATGCAGTGGGGATCAGACATTTTGTCATCCTTGCATTGTCAAAACCCACCAACATTTGCCCTTTCACAAGGTTCAACAGTGGACTGGAAAATGCTTTGAAGACAAGTCGCTCGAAGAATTGGGTATTGTCTGGTATATGGGCCATGGGGGGCAACCATGTCCATTTTCTGAAGACCCACAGGCATGGGAGGATATGCCATTGGATGCAGAAGCTGGGTCTGTGCCAATGGAGACCTTTTCCAGTTCAACTACGACATCCACCCTGACCATCATACATTCAACTGGAGTGTTTTTGCACAATGTTGTTTGGTGTGGTTGTCCTGGGTCTAAGCATCAGCAGCATCTGCAGTTGCTGAAGGCCAGGTTATTTCCTGCAAGCGTCACTCGACCCCGAACTGCCTTCACTTTTGAAGTCTTAGATCATTTTCTAATTGATGCACTGGAGTGCAAGACTTCAGCATCAAGCTTCTTTGAGAAAATTCGATGAATGACCAATCACTCATTCCCTGGTACTGTTCCTGTGAGAGCATATAGTTATTCTTTTCAACAGTTGGACTGACCATATCAAATGTCTTTGCTGGCTAGAATCGATATCGAGAACTCATGAGGGTGTCTCGTCTATGGAGAGACTTGATGAGCCGAAAATGCTTCGGATTTGGCCATGACACTAGGGAGAAACCTGGCAAGGGTGATCTGGCTTGGTTTTGCCCTTCGTGTCCTCAGCCTGGCATCAACATACCTGATAACTGGCAAGACAAGTACGAAAGGCAAGTCATCTATTGTTGGTTCGGATTATAAGGAGGCTGGCTTTCTCTTCTATACAACATTCAAGAACATTATACTGACTGGCCAGCTGTGTGCTTCATGTTGTACAAAAACTCTGGCCTTGCTGGCTTAGTTTCCAACAAAGCTGGCCAGTACTGTATAGACAGGCTGTAGACCTGGGCCGGCCGGCCAAACTCTGATATTGTATTTGGCTGGCCAGGACTGTATAGACAGGACGTAGAACCATTCCGGCCGGCTAACCTCAGATAATACATTGTCAGTCAACACTGTACAGACACAAGTATGCAAGCCTTGGCTAGCTGTACCTTCTATTTATTTGACCTCATTCATTGAACTTATACTTATTCTTTACACAGTTGGCTCATTTCGCAAAGATTCGTTGTGGATGGAAACTTTACTGCTCAACATATGACTATGAAAAAGCCACAGTTAGACATTAGTCTTTCAGATGGTCTTGGTTATATGGTGAAAGAGAGAGAATATCAGACTCATCTCTCATTGGCTGTCGAAAGTAAGGAGGTGAGTTGACTTTTAGCAAGGGTATTTGACTTTGCTTGACAGCCTGTATAACGCTCTTCTTGTAGCAATCACCGAGCAATCAACACTGCAAATATCAGCAGGAGTAATCTTCGAGCAACAGGGGTAGGAGCAACTGCCTGTGCCTGACATGGATGCTTTGTTCCACACAGCATAGTTGATTTTCAGAAGGGCGAAAGGTCTGTACATCCTCCTAAACAGCATGTTAAGTGAGCTCATGAGATGTTTAGACACATGAACATTGACTATTCAATATGCAATGCTTTGAATTATCATTCGGCTGGTATAGACTCCTCTCTCATTATTTATGATGTGGGGTGTCAGTGGAGTATTAATTTTTTACAGAGAGTTGCTGAGAGCCAAGGCTTATCCGTACCAGAAAATATGCAGATCATCCCTGCGGTTGGAAAATTCCATCTCAGCGCTCACAAATTGGCTTGCTTTGCAAGGTACAGCCTCAACTTTGTTCAAGGCGCTGGACATGTTGATGGGGAGATTTTGGAGACCTTATGGGCACCATTCAATAAGATTTCCCCAACTGCTCGGTCAATGAGTCATGCTCATCGCCAAGAAGTTCTTGATGATCATATGAGAGACTCAAACTGGAAAAAAATAGTTGGAATAAGTAAGCACTTCAATCATGTATATCTAAAACTGTGCTTGACACTTAAAATTCTAGCGAAGACTCTCTTGACCAAGTATAAACGTGCTCTCAAAGGCGTTGATGAGACAAAATCTCCTTTTGATGAACTGGCCCAGTCTCTGAATCCTGGGAAGATTTTGATGTGGGAAATTGATGAGAAAAAGGCTGTGGAAGAATGTGGGGAGTATCTTGACATCTACCAGTTGCAGATCAACAAAGGTAAGTGAGCTCTGTCTGAGGCTTATAAGACATCTAATCTGGAACTGAGTTCAGCCCCAACTATGGCAGAGATTCGGCTCAAATTAACCGAGTTTGAGAACGTTGACGACAGACTTCCAGGAACAGTATCTTGGCTCATCACTGGTATCAATCTGGAGGATTTACAGTACGTAATCAATTTGATTGGAACAACAGAATCGCTTGACAAAGAGCTATTTTAGGGATGCATTGAGAGCGAATATACGACAACTTCCTAATGATGCAACCTCTGCTCAGAAAGCTTCTATAGAAGAAAAGAGACAGAGATTGGCAGCTAGGATTGCCAAATTTCATGAAACTGCCGATGCTATGACTGCTGGCATGGATCTTGATATTGGAACAGTGCATTCTGACGATCCTAGATTCTGTCGTACAGATAACGATGGTAATGAGTGGGTGGAGGTTTCAGATGAAGAGATCTCAGAGGATATAGATGAAGAAATCCTCACAGAAGAGATGGGTATCTGGATGCCATCTTCGACTTCTCGACACAACAGATTGACTCTTGGGCTGGGCCCCCTTCAAGCTGAAGAGTTGGAACTTCAAAAAGGCCAAGCCAACGACTGCCTAGAAAACCTTCGTATGGCTCTCGGTCACAAGGCCCTTATTTATCGTCAGTATTTTCGAAGTGCCGATTCTACGTGGGCTGGCACCAGGTCGAAGCAAGAAGCTCGTCGATGTCAGCTCAAAATTGACAAATATGTAAGAAGCTATCAGAGGGCAAGGTCAGCAATGCAACATCTAGGCATGGACGAAGCTACCTTGGGCAGTATTTATCGAGAAATATTGCCCACCGAACTGAGTATAGACAAAGAGGTGACAGAAGAAAATAGATTTGGTCAAGGGTCAGACAGACTGGCTTGGTTTTGGAGGGTGAATAATGCCAGCGAAGGTCAAGAAGATGCTTGGATGGATGAATGTAAGAACAAAATTTCATCTCAAGTGCAAGTCACTTCAACTCACTCTGATTTAGTCTATAGGGTCAACTGGTTGAAGGCAAAGGCTAGATGGAGTAGATGGCAGGAGGAGTTGAGTCTGGTAAGACATGAAATGGGTTGGACCATAAACTGGTTCAAGTATCACCAGAAAGAATGGAACAGAAGGTGGCAGCAAGCGACTAGACCTGGTCATCAAGCCTATGCTTATCAACAGGTCTTGATGTGGGGAAGGTTTGCTCAGGATGCTGAGAAGGCTTTCAATGGGTGTGGATTTGTACCTTGATATATTATACCCACACTCCTGCAAATTGCACATTGAATGAGATGCCCTAAGTCTACCTACTGGGCAGTATTAACTTAAGGACTGCGAACAGGCCAGCCATCCTCTTAAATATGTAGACCCAGGCTGGCCAGTTTCTTAGTGAAATATTACAAACTGGCCAGCCATGCTCTTATACACGTAGAACCAGGCTGGCCGGTTTGCTAGTCAAATATAAGCAAACTGGCCAGCCATGCTCTTACATATGTAGCACCAGGCCGGCCGGTTTGCTATTGAACTATTAGCAAACTGGCCAGCCATGCTCTTACACATGTAGGACCAAGCTGGCCAGTTTGCTAGTGAAATATAAGCAAATTGGCAGGCCATGCTAGTGACATATTAGCAAACTAGCCAGCCATGCTCTTACACATGTAGGACCAAGCTGGCCAGTTTGCTAGTGAAATATAAGCAAATTGGCTAGCCATGCTAGTGACATATTAGCAAACTGGCCAGCCATGTTCTTACATATGTAGAACCATGCTGGCCGGTTTGCTATTGAAATATAAGCAAACTGGCCAGCCATGCTTTTACACATGTAAAACCAAGCTGGCCAGTTTGCTAGTCAAATATAAGCAAATTGGCAGGTTTGCTAGTGAATTATAAGCAAACTTGCCAGCCATGCTAGTGAAATATTGGCAAATTGGCCAGCCATGTTCTTACACATGTAGGACCATGCTGGCCGGTCTGCTAGTGAAACATAAGCAAACCGGCCAGCCATGTTCTTACATATGTAGATACAGGCTGGCAGGTTCACCAATGACTACATATACTAGCCAGCCTGATCCCATGGTTAGTACACTCAATGGCCAGTATATTAACTTAAGGACTATGCACTGGCCAGCCATGCTCCTACCCACGTAGATACAAGCTGGCCAGTCTACTAATGAAATCAGACTGCAGTAGATATATTCTGCATATACCAGCCAGCTTGATCTTATGGCTAGTATATGTCATATGATATATCGGCCGGCACTCATTCTACATACAAGACAAAGAGATGGTTATAGTATTATAGACTGGCCAGCACTGATACTACATACAAGAGATTGGCCTATAATACCTCGGCCAGCACCAATCCTACATGAAATAATGATACACTGTACACCGGCCAGTACCTATCCTACATGAAATAATGATACTGAAGTGATAATAAGATAGTACACCGGCCAGCACTTATCCTACATGCACCGGCCGGGGACTGGCTAGCCATGATTCTACGACCTTTTGGCACATCCTGGGGCAGGGGTTCTACGTAAGGAAATGACTGAAGTATGTGTCTTGGGGTGGTACTTTTGATCATGGGCTCTATGGCCTTTCTGTCCGCAAGCGAAGCATAGTCCTTTCCTTATGCTATGAGCACGCTGGGTCTCAGTTAGTGCTGGTTTATTAGCGATGAGTTTGTTTCGGGAGTTTTTCGGGGATATGGCACCATTTGGCGTTGCTTGCTAGATCGGATCTGAGTTGGGTGGATGGATTCATAATGAATTATCCCAGCTGTCTGCTGTCCTAACTATCTTGTTAGTCTTCCGGTTGTTAGTCGGGGTTAGGCTCTACAGGTGGTAGAGTTTCAAAAGAGAACTTGAATCTTTTGTTACGCGTAACCTCTCGGATGAGATCTGGCGGCGCTAAACCCACAAGGGGTGTTCGAAGCGTGGCTTTCAGCGCTAGCCCAGCAAGGAGCTTGCCTGCGCTAAGTCTGAGTAAGGGTTGAGGCCCTTACTTGTGTAGAGTCGATTGGAGTTTCTCGAGGATACGATCCAAGAGATGGAAGTCAACTCAAGAGTATCGTCTCAAGAGTAGATGATTCTTTGTACAGAGGGGATTCTCTTAGGCAAGAGAAGTTCAGTCCCAGTGACAAGATCAGATGAGAACTGAGTAGATTCAAGTTAGAGAATCTATCTACTGTACAAGTGATATATATATGTAAGGGTGAGATACCGGTTGAGCGGTAAGGGCGAAGGGCATGGGGAATCCCCATCAATGAGAGAACTGAAACAAAGGGAAGGGCATAGGGTTCAGTAGAAGCCGTGGCTTCTGTGATCTAGGGGAAGAAGCGAGAGCTTCTCGCGTTTCAGAACAACAGGATCAAAAAGAAGAGATGAAAATAGAATAATCGTAACCATGGTCCAGGTCTAGACGAGTCCAAAGAATGAAATGACGTGTAACGCTCATGTTACTGTAACACTGGATCCGAGCACCTCCAATAACACCCGTGAACATCCCTACTGCTGGTCCGACCCCCTGTTTCCCTGTCCACTCCATCCCTCCTACTCCGACAATGCACAAAGTGCACCTCAGCAGAACTAGCCCTGCTACATCTGCCCAACTCCGCTCCACTCCTCTGACACTATATCCCTACCATCCGACCCTACCTGGAGCTCTGCTCCTCTGCCCTATCAGTCTGCCCGATCCTACTCCTATTCCCTCCACCATCTCCACTTTTCCAACCCACTCAGTTCCTCCATTTTCTCTCATATCAGTCTGCCCAACTATTAGTCCGCCCGACCGCCTCCCCTTGAGCACAACCTTAACACATATCCTTGAGGTAACAACGAAGCTCGACTGCCCATCCAGTGTTGTGCTCATAGACTGCCTGCTGAACTAACATGCGGTGATGGTGATTGTATTTGGACCCCACGGTTTTGACAGTCGAGACTGTTGAGTTGTAGTCGATGGTGTTGGCGGTGGCATGTCCTGAGTCTACAAGTGCTTTTTGTGTGGTCAAATACTCCTCCATAGTCTTTTCAGCTACCTTGAGAGCTTCATCATACCAATTTTTGGTGTTCAGATTCCCAGCAGCTCATTCCTTGGCTTGTTCTTCAGGACCGCCCCATGCCATTGTGATGTACGTGAGTTTGTAGTATGGGTGTATTACTGCACATTTAATTAGTCAAAAATACAATACAATATGATAGACATACCAAGTACAAGAATATAGACAGGTTTGTCGTCAAATTTGCTATAATACTTTCCAATCTTTGCAAGACCCCACTGGATAGCCTCCTTGTACAGTGTGAACCGTATATTCTCACTCTTTGATTCCCAAGCCGTCTGTAGCTCCTCCATAGCTCCATAGCAGGTATTGCACACCATAGTGTTGGTTGTCATTTGGAGAAGTATTGTTGAATATCATTAGCATCCTAAAAATGTTGGTCAAAATTGCTGAAGAGAGACTAGTTGTGACCTACTGAGATTATGATTTGTGTATTGTTCACATGCTCCCAGTCCAATGCCTTGAGTGCAAATGCAGTCCATGGGATGTGCTTCATGACCTGTCCATGGCGTCGAATGGATGTGATTGGCCCAAAAAGCTCATCAGTGGAGGAGATGAAGAGATAAATAGCCTGTTGTAGGCGATAGGCGTGTCCGAGCATCCCATGAGCAGTTCCCCAGTGCTGTCATATACCTGATCCAACTGCTCCGATATTGATATCCTGTTAAGGTCGTGCTCAAGGGAGAGGTTACTCAAAGGGCTTTGGCTTCAGCTTGTGCGCTGCGCCCCTTACCTGAGTACGTGCCCTTTAATTTCCAGGGGACAGAGGGGAAGTCTGATGGAAGTCCAGGGAGTTCCGGAGGACTTAGTGTTGGTGGAGTTCGGCAGAACTCCGGAAGGTTTATACTGGGATGGAGTAAGGCTACTATGGAAGTCCGGAGTAGAAACTGAACAGAGGTTAGACTACCCTAAGGTAGAGCCAGAGAAGTAGTCCTAAGGTTTAACCCCTAAGACTCGGAGGTGGACAAGAGGTGAGACTCAAGTCTGGAGATTGCAGGAATGAGCAGAACTAAGATGATATTCAAACTGAGGAGTTCCGGAGTATTACAGGGGTTTATATACTGTAGGTAACATGTAAGTGAATCAGTCAGCAAAGGTAAGGGCTATGTACGAAGCATGTGGAAAGTCTATTACTAAGTATAACGGATCAAAGCAGTGAGGTCGGAAATGAAGTAGGAATGGACAGATCAATAAGCATAGCAGAAAGGACATAACCGGTAACCGGAGCAATAGCTAATCTAAAAGGAGTTAGGGGTGAGTGCAGAGATGAAGGCGGAGCACCGGGTGGAATAGTAAGACGGAGGACCAGACTTTAATGAAGTAGATCCGGAATTCTGGATCCGGAGGTACGGGATATGACATATCCGCTCCGCTTTCCGACCCCTCCGCCCCATTCATCCTCCACTCCATCCTATCACAAGTCCGCATTCCGCCCTACGCTTCTGCTCAACCGCTCAACCAGTCCCCTTCCATAACCTCTCCATTCAACTGGAGCTCTTTCCCCTTTTAGATATATGCCTTCCCTATTGGTACATAGACCCTTACTTCTGGATGACCGGTAATTCCTATTACCGCTCGATCGCTGATCCGACGCGTACATATTGATATCCGCCCCGACTTATGTCTTTGCCTATGTAAAATACTTACAAACTATATCCTTGGTACATAGCCTTACTGCATAGTTATCCTGATCACTGCCTCATACATAGTAGTATATAACATATCATGTACTTAGATATTTTTCCTCAGTCTTAATATTACTTGTCTTCTCGCAGTTATATCCTGTGAGAATTCTCAGTAGAACCTTGCCTCCTCTGGACACAAGTCTCAACTTGTTGTCACCTCCGACCCTCCGACCCTCCGCTCTGACTTAGAGCCATGCTCTAAGTCTTCCCCTTATTACTCCGCCCCTATCAAAATATCATCCTTCACCCCTCCGCATTATCCTCCACCTTTCCTGCCCCTACCAACATTCCCCTGCTCCTATTCCCTCTCCGCATCACTCCCCACCTTCTCCGCTCCACTCCTAGTCGGCCCACCGCTAGTAGCTCTTACTCCCCGACCCCCAGAGCGGACCAAAGCGGTCCAATTGTCCTACCGTCGGACAACGTCGGACCCGCTCCAAATTCAGGGCACATACTCAGCTAAGGGTGCAGCGCAAGAGCTGAAGCCAAGCCCCGACCCCTCTGCTTCCTGAGTCGGCACAGTATCTAACAAGTGTACATTACTGTGGAGAGGGATTTTCAGTGGTGTCGGGATCCTGCACTTGACTTGCAAGGTCTCAAAATATTTGATGTGTTGACCTGAGGACTGAATCTGTAAGATATGTTAGATGATAGAACTTATGGGCAGCAGTGAAAATGTACCTTAATGGCAAGTGTACACACTGCAGCTATGACATCAAGTGAGTCTCTGAGAACGCAGTTATTCCATATTGTGGTTGTAGTCTCAACATTGGTGATGCGTGTGATAACTGACATAACATCAGTGATGGCAAGGTTGACCATGTGGGCAAGACAGGGGAGACGCTGTCGAGTGGCATCAAAGTTGTATATATGGTGGCGGTGAAGTAGTGTTTCGATGATGTCACAAGTGGTGTCGTTGTTGCTAGTATTGTCAGCAGTAATACAGAAAAGCTATTGCAGAACTCAGCACACAAAAATTGAGACCTGGATGGTAGAGTACATACCTTGCTTGATTGCCCTTTGATAATTCCTGCACGCTCATACAATCCAAAAAGATACTGTGCAAGATTGTTCACACTGTGTGCTCCAGATATACCTCCAAAAGTGATGACTTGTGAAGCAAGTGTCCATATACTGGAGGCATCATTAGCCTCAATCCAGTGAGCCATTAAGCCTAAAAATGCGGCCTTTGTTTGATCAACAGACCACAAGTCTGTAGTTGTTGAAATAAGGCCGGTTGTTGTAGCCTGTAAACATTTTGTAAGATATTTCAGAGGAATATGGAGCAGTACTAGTACTCACCTGCATTCAGACCTTGAGACCCTCAATGAATTCAATGGATGCATTGTGAATGTAAGCTGACACATCATGAGTTGAAGGTATGTCAAACAATTTCTAAATGCGGGTTTGTCGGCCACTACAAGGCTCGGCACAACAATGCTGTTTCAGCATTTTCCCAATCTTATGTATCATTGATATCATCACTCACCTGGTCGTCGCAGACCACAAATTCAGCAACTGTGCGCAGCACATCCTCCCTTGAATACTCTTTGTTTTGCGACTTCTGGAACATCTGGCCTAGATTTTGTTGGATGTCCTTCCCTTGTTTCTTCCTATTCTCTTGTGTTGCCAACACAAAGAATTACTTCCAACATGGAATGCCTTGCATTTTCCATACTTTGCAACAAAAGCTGTATCATCTCTACAGGTGCAATGTAAGTACTTGTCAATATTAGTATTCAATCTGATATACTGACTTGCATGCATTGCACCAACACCCCTTCAATGTTTCTACATTTCCATTAGTCTGGCAAAACTTCACTGTTCAATGATCTGAGAACACAGTGAGTAAATCAGCTGTACTTTGTTTGTTCATTTTCAGCACATTGGGTAGAGTAGTGTGGTGCTGTTCCTGCAAGCCATCGCTGTCCTGCTATCCAGTGATGTTGAGCTGACATCCAATACACAGATGTCAATGATACAAGTCACGATTACCTCTTTGTCTTCAGCATCCTCAATGAGAGGCTCAATTTCTATTACTTCTTCACTGGCCTTGCTCTCATGGACAACCTCGTCAATAGTGTTTCAACGTGCACACTTAGATTTTGCAGGACCTAGAGGTTTCTTTTTTGAAGTACATTTTGGTTCAGCCTCACTCTCACTGGTTTCTGATTTGCTGTTGCTTGATACAGCTTTCTGTTTGCGATTCTTCCCTTTTGGTGACACTTGCTTCATCTTTGGAGGCCGTGAGTGCTTGGCTTTGGCAGATGTCATTGCAACAACCTTTTCCGTGGGTCGTCGCACATGGGTTGACTTCATGGTCAGGTTGAAGAGAAGATCAAGGCAGTGGGGAGATACAAAGTATTGATTAGTTGGTAGTGTCTTACAGAATTATTAAAATACAACAACATGTAGAACATGCTCCTCTATGATGAAGTCTAGTCCAGTTACAATTAGTCCTGGACTGGTTTTTGAAAGACCGGTTGCAACCTACTGTAGTGTGGTCCAGCAACTGAAGGCAACCGGTTTTTGAGAGTTCAGTCCAGTCTTGTGGAACTACAATTAAAATTAGGACCAGTCCAGGTCCAGTTGTGCCAAAAATGGCCAAAAAAACCAGACCAAACTGAACTTTAAAACACTACTTGTTTCTGTTCTGCTTCGGACTTCATCCGAGCAGTCTCCTCCACTCCACTTCTACTGTTAGCTCCGACTGCAGTAGTCCTCCGACTCTCTCCTGTCGGGCGGACTAACCTCCGCCCAATGTTCCCATGCTCATCTAGTAGTCCGTCAGAGCTCATAGTGTGAAAGTTATAGAAATCTCGCGTGGATCTATATAGAATAGATACTCTCAGATCATGCACACGAAGGCAAACGTCTGAGTGATATTCACCTATATTGAATAGATACTCTAAGGCAAGTTAGCATAGGTGAATGTAAGTAAAGTAGATATCATACCTCAGATCGTGCATGCGAAGGCAAATGTCTGAGGTATCGGCTCAAAGTAGCAGTGGCTAAATAGCTCGAGTGATCTTGTAAGTATATGAGACCGTAACAATAGGTAAAACGGCACTGGCCAAAGTGATCAAAAGATTCAGCAAGTACAATCAGTGAAACATATCATAAGAGCGCACAATCAAAGAAGCATACGTGTCGCTGGACAATAATGAGACAGATAACAAGATCATACAATGATGCACTCAGCTGCAGGCACACTTGTTATTCCAACACATAGAGCTCGTGTCGGACTACAATCCAAAATTAGGGGCATGTACTCGGGTAAGGGGCGCAGCACACGAGCTGAAGCCAAGCCCCTCAGACTCCGCCTTACCCCTGAGCACAGTCTTAACAACATCCCTATAAGGTGTCCATTATGCTCTAGGTAATTTTTTACAAATGCCTTTGCAGGATATTTGGGATCTGGGTGATTTGTGTTGTGCAAGTGTTTCAAATTACCACTATTTCATCTCTCACAGCTGCAACATCCCAAAATCTTTTATTCTACTTGTACAAAACATCATTTCTAGGTACTCTGCATATGCTTGAATTTTTTCGATGCGAGTTGAGCACCATGTTGAAGTGCTATGAACTTTTTGTATATTAGCAACCATTGACATATTATAGGGAATGATAGTACTTGGGCTGCGGTGGTGCTGCTAGCTGGAGTAAGGGGGATGATGTCTTACGTGATGAGGAGGACACATGCTGCAAAGCTTTCGCGAGTTGTCTCCTTTGAAAGCAGATAGACACGTCCAACCCGCCCAATTGATGCAGGGGCTGTTAAAATCCTAGATACTCGAACACCTGTCGTCTACCACTTCCGGATCGTGGGCTGAAGGAGAACAGTGATGTTGTGAATGTTGCAGTATCGCAACTGAAGAGGCTAGAAGGCTCCACTTGAAGAAGTCAAAAAAAAATCGGGTGCGCAATGAAGAGGTTATAATCAATGTTATATCGTTGCTCGTGTAAGCATAATGTGACGTTTGCCACTAATTGTCACGAACAAGGTCCGAGTAATAGACAACGAAAGGTAGTAATTTTAGTCCATAGGAAGCGTGCCAAAACAGTCCATATAGCTCTCATTCACCAGCACTTCCCTTCATAATTTAGACGATTGCGATGTTGTGCTCGATACCTCCGACAACAAAGTACGTGGACCCGTTAGCTCCAGTCTGTGGAAAGGTAGTCTCCAGCATGACTACATAACTGGCATTAAAGTAGTCCGCATACGGGAGCTAGGTCACAGGATCAATTACCGCACACGAATCACATAACCGCTAAAACTAACCTGAACTGTGAACTCGTCGAAGAGAGGAGTTGGTGAGCTCGCGTTGAGGGTACGACGGGCAAGTAGAATAGGAGGCTCGTAGCCGTTGTTGTTCACAGGAACTTCAATGTAGTAGTCAGTGTACTTGGGGCGCACACCAAGTTGAGCTGCGCAGGTAAAGTTCGCTGTCACAGTGAAGTTCTAAATAATGATAGACAATCAGACTCGGAAAGAGGTAACATAAATCATGACGACTACTCACGTCACCAGGAGAGAGTGTCGAGGGAGTGACTGTGATAATTCCAAAGCGTGAAGCCTGGAAACACAACTGAGCAGCTGCTGGAGTGGCTGCAGCTAAGACAGCAGCAAAGGTAGCAATTGCAGTTGAGAAGGATAGCTTCATTTTGTCTGAGCACGAAATGAATCTTGCTCAAGTTAGCCATGCTTTTATGCAGGCTCAAGGAGGCAGTACTAGTGTGCGTAAGCAAGTCATGCGCAACGACTGTCAGCGATTCCAATAGAGGAGTGGTGATTGCAATATTGCGACCGCATCACAACTTACAAGCGGACGGGGCAGAATTCCCGCTCCCCGAAAAATGGGCAAAGACTGACAGAAAATCCGTGCCTCCATGCGGAAGGTTGTGAGTACAAGGGAATTTTGCAGATGAAGTGATTGCCCTTATTTTCAAAAGTATGACACCGGTTCGCAAAGGCGCAAGCTGTGCGATGTAACGCATGACCTGTTTGCGGACATCTGTCACCTATGTGAGCTACATGTGCCAAACTAAATTCAAAACTCTTGACAGCGCCACATTATTCACTGCGGGGCGCCGGTTGTTGAGGACGTGCGTGTCGATGGTCGGGAGGAAGTTGAATTAATGATGGTGGCTGTGCTCAGTTGCTGCTGCTTCTCCTTGGCTACAGTGTACACGCTGCAGCCTGTCTCCAACAACGCATTGTATCATTATTTTGAAAACCAAGTCAACGACAGTATGGCTTCTGGTCAAACCTCTGAAATAGACGTTGAATACGTTGTAAGTAAGAATCCTTTTTGCATTGCCTTCAGACATCCATTACATCCCAAAAGATGACAAGAAAACGAAAGAGACCAGCTTATAACTCCCAAGGCGAAGGGGCACTCGATTTGCTTCATTCCAAGTCTTCGATAAACATGTGTGAACCATTCCCAAGTCTCATCCCCCCTATTGCTACCCTTACTCCAGCTAGGAACACCACCGCAGCACAGGTAGGCTTTTTACAGAAATTATAAAAGTTTAATCCACATCAATATCCAGAATGCTGTGACTGTGGAAAGATTTATTCGCCAAGTTATGACGAAGGTGCCTGAACCACCACGCAAACGGAAACTTTTGACCGTAAAGCTGCAAGATACATCCATTTCCTCTCCGGACGGCGCATATATCCAGCAGCAAGCCACTCCACCTGCTCGCAATGGAGGGCTCACTCGAAATGGATTGCGCTTTTCTAAAATGCCCGTCAGGGACAGGAAGCCGATGACTCTGACTCAGAGGCTGACTCGTGCAGCCATTCTCTCCCATGTAGAAACGGACAACATTCTGCAGTCTGACGCTATATCGTCCTCTCGCCCGCCTCTCGACTTTGTTCCATTCCGGAGATTCGAGACGCCTCCCTCTTCGCCGAGGAAGGACCGTGTTAAACGATCGGCATATTCTCGTGATAATCGACACCGGAGGCGGAAACGTATCCCCGGACAACCTGATTTGGAGCGTTCTGGTTGTCTTCCTTTAACCTTCATTCCCTTACGTGAAGCGGAAGACGCATACGCCGCAAAGTTTTCGTGAGTTGTCCCTTTGAACCATATAGGGACATTTGGTACACAGGCCCAACAGAGGCTCGTGATGCTTAAATCCAGAACACGTCCTCCGCCTCTGAACACTTCAGAATTGCTCATTCCGGACCGAACCGAACCCTTGACACTCCACAAGCGCAACAGAAACAAGTCGCAACTTCTTGGCAAAAAGGCATTTGCAACTCGTCGGACTACTGCGCTGCACTTTGTAATAGCACACTCTTCGACACCCAGGTCTCACCGTCTCGCAAAAAAGATACAGTTTGTATTCAACTTCCATGTAGCTCATACTTCCATCTGTTCGCATGCGGTTATGTTAAACATTCCGACCAGTTGTTGTACTTTGAATTCAGAATCGGTATTATGAAAAGGCAGTTGAAATGAAATGCAATGATATCAAATCAAATGTGCGTAAAATAATCACTACTAACAAGGAGAAGCTGGAATCATAGCGATCTCAATAGCCTAGCTCCTCATAATACCAATCCGGCTCCTCGTCTGTATTCAGCAACATCTTCACTTTCTGCACCAGTGTCTCAAGGTTCGAGAACTCCGGCGCCTTGCGAAGATTTCGGGTGAGTGCGATGCAATAGCCACATCCACCGACCTGGCAAAAAGTACTAGAATCATTCGGAAGACCAGTCTCTTCGCAGAGCGTCCTGCAAAATTCTCGAAACGGCTCAGTGAGAGCGCCTTCGCCAGGTTTTTCATCTCCATGTGTTAATTTGTATATCCGATGGGACGTTACGTAGTAGCCGTACACGGAACGCCGCTGGACTTTCCGGCGATATCTTTTTTGCAGGTAAGGACAATTGGACGGGGCTCGAGGTGATGTAATAGCTTGGGGATTAGTCGTGATGGTGGCCTCGTCGCAACGGATTCGAATTCTTGCTATAGTAGACGGCATGATGTTGATATGTGTTCTTGAGCCGAACAGATTGCTTAGTATAAGATAGGGGGAAAACCTTGTGGCAGCGAGATTTGCGGCACTCGTCAGTTGCTGTGATGGGTGGTCGGGATCTGGTAGATAGGATATAATCAGAATATATCATTAGGTAGGGGGCTAAAGCTTAAAGACTAACATCACGGGCTGATAAGATGAGTGATATTAGTGGAGAAGTGTACGAAGTAAGTAGAAGAGAGAGTGTGAAAGCTCAGGGGTTGCACTAATCCAGTGTTTGTTTGGTGTTGTTTAGGTAGGTCACGTGAATACGGATGTCCGTGAACAAGAAAGTAATTAGACTGGGCCAAAGGTTGAATATCTGACCTTCTCTCATTCGAAAACCCATTCTAGCCCACCATGCAAGCATACCTCGCAGAAAAATACATGTCCGGGCCCAAGGCAGACGCTATCTTGTCTCGCACGACCCAAAAGAAGAAGAAGCGCAAAGCCGATGACGCAACCACAGCATCCTCCATCTTGGTAGACGATGACGCTGGGTGGGGAGGCGAAAGTTCCAGGCGCAACGACGAAGACGAAGACATCGCTGAGGCTGCTGTCGCGAAGGACCGTAGTTTTAAGAAGCGCCGTGTTGAAGAAGGTTCTGGGTGGTCGACTATTCGTGGTGGTGTGAAGGAGGACAGTCCGCCGATACCCGCGGATGAACAACCTACCGTCGTCGCGGAGGAGGAGTCCGATCAACCATTCACTGGTGGGCTGTTGACTACAGCACAACTCCGGAAGGCTCTTCCTAAGCCTCAGCAGAGACAAGAGGCGTTGACTAAAGAAGAGGAAGAGGCTGCTCAAGAGACCATTTATCGTGATGCGTCTGGCCGGAAGATTGATACTAAGGCCGCCCGTGCAGAAGCTGCTAGGAAGAAAAGAGAAAGGGAGGAAAAGGATGCAAAGAAGATGGAGTGGGGGAAAGGCCTGGTCCAAAAAGAGGAAGAAGAAGCGCGAAAACGTCAACTTGAGAAGAACAAATCACTTCCATTCGCCAGACGTGCAGATGATAAGGAGCTAAACGAAGAGCTGAAGGCTAAAGAACGTTGGAATGATCCAGCTGCCGCGTTCTTGACAGTAAGTGCCTGTACACCTTCAACCTTTCCTTGCTGATAGCGTATGATTTACTAGAAAAGTAAATCCAAAGGTCCCCGCAAACCTGAATACACGGGACCACTGCCTCAACCAAACCGATTTGGCATAAAGCCAGGCTATAGATGGGATGGTGTAGGTACGTTTTCATAGCCTCTTCCACCCTTCCAGCAATTTCTTACGTTCCGTGCAGATCGTGGCAATGGCTTCGAGAAGAAGTACTTCCAGCGACATAATGAGAGAAAGCGGAACACAGCAGCAAGTTATGAATGGAGCGTGGATGACATGTAATGCGGTGCGTTTTTGCAGCCGCAGCTATCATTGTACGCTCGACTTCTAGTTCAGGGAGTTATTTTTGACCTCCATGGGGTGTCTTAGATAAGGTTACCGATCATTCGTCTTGGTCAAGACACCACGAGACATTGATTACCGCACTTTGACACCACGCGAACTGCCTGGTGGTAAGTCATTGGCAGATAATCCTTCAGTGTGGTCCATCAGTTGGATGGCACCCCCGACCTGCCCGATAACATCTGGTTTGCCCAATTGGCATTTGTTACTATTCCAAGTGGTACGAACAGGTGAAATGATTTCACATAGTGAGTAATCGTACAACGTGGCAAACGTGGATGCGGTATGTATACAGTGTATCGACAGCAAAGCAACAGGGACATAAAATAAAACTCCGTAGTCATGATATGTGCGTCTAACTAATATTCATATACATCTGAGACTTCGATCTCCGTGGGCTCTATGCGACGAGGCTCAACCTGACGGGAGCCGATCTGTCGAGGCTCCACTCGTACCGACCGCATGTTGGGGTACGTCAGGATCAAATAACGATCGTCCATACGTGCACCCACTTCTTCAAACTGCCGAGGGAAAATGTTACGAGATTAGCCAATCACAACCTTCGCCTATGCTCCCCAGAAGCAACAGGATGTAGGGGCTAGGGGCTCACCTTGGTTCCATCTGGAAGAGGAATAGTCCTCGAGAACTCCTTTTTCTCTCGTTCCCTTACAAGTGTTCCTCCCTCATCGATCTCAGTGATTTTCACTGTTTCCCAGGTCACAGTCAGATGACTGCCACGATAACTAACATGGGCGTTATGTTTTTTAATGCCCGGTAGGTCAAAGGTCGCTGTGACCTGTGTGCGGAGGTAAGGCGTGTGCAACGAATACAGGGATCATACGTACCGTACGACCATCGCGGGACTCTCGAAACGAGACGCTATCGACGAATATCATCGGTGATCAATACATTAGGTAGAAAAAATAATAGCATACTTTGACTTTCGCCTCTTGATGGGTTGAGGGGTTGTCACTTTCCTCACTCCTACTAGAGGATCTGGGGTTCGTGATGGAGCAGGCGAATGTGAAGGCGTTGGCGCCTTCAAGGAGTTCACTTTTGGAGTCTCCTTGGCCATCTTGCGTTGCTTCTGTTGCCGAAGGGTATCCCAAAGTTGATTGAGAGAAGTAATGTCTTCAGTAGTAGCAGCACCCGAATCCTCAGACGAGCGTCTGGGCATGGGCGGAGCTTTGGTGGCAGTTGTGTGACGATCAAGAAGTGTCGAGGACGATGAGTGCCTAGTGCGTATTGGACGGGACTGATTCTGCTGATAGACCCAGTCAACGCCGTCATAACTGCAGAATGAGTCCATCGCAGTGGACTGATCTCGGGCGTCAAACTTGGTCATCAGTGGATGGTAGACGTAAGAAAAAATGTGGGGGTTGCTGTGTAAAGGCTGGGAAGCAAATATGTACTGAACGGTTGAAGAGGGGAAGTGAGTCGATGTGTGTTCCGAGATTATTATCAGGAAGACGTGCGGATAGCAGCTGGCAGATTAACACGAGGTTGCTAAAAGCAGCGGACCTTGATCTGATTGCGGCCGATACTTTACACCCAAATTGAAGGAAAAAGAACGGCTGGTTGGATCCAAAACAAGAAGTCTCACCTCAAGTTGTCCTGATGGAACCCGCCAGATAAGTTGGCCAGATGAGTGGCTACGGTGGTCTTTTAAGTACTTGGCCAATGCCACAGCCCTACTGTCCAAGGGTCATGGCAGTGATTACAGCACGCGGCTGCACTGGCTTCATCCTGTTCGCTTGGCGCCTTCACCAGTTCCATGCTGCAAAAAGCGGTTCATTTGTGAAGAAATGAGGTTGCCTCGTGTTACAAGTTCGCAGGATGGAGCAGGTGACCATTCGACTGCCAGTACTACTAGTAGTATCTGGATTCTTATGATGGCACATCTGCCTGACACTGTCCTCTGGTCACCTGCCATCCATCCATAACCGACTGGGCTTGAATTAAACCTTGACCATCATGCTAAGCGAGTAGGTAGGTCCCAACTCTTTCATCGATGGTATTCCACCTCACAAGCCACGTTCTTCAAGCGCCGTGATAACTCAAAAGTTGATAACGGGGAGTCTCCAATTGGGAGAGATGAATCAGATGATCACGGAAAAGTAGTGAAAACGCGGAGTATTGAACGGGGCCCCAACGTTATCGGGATGGTCATTTGAAAACCGCGTACAAACAGTCACGATGTGATCCAAATACTAGGGCAATCATTCAATTCGTAGACTTCAAACAAGGCAAGACTGCTGCTGTCGGTGATATGTTCAATGTTTATAGTCAACAGGCATCATTTTCCAGTCATGGATGGTATGTGGACAATCGATTTAATGCCTACGAGACGTTTCTCGTAACGCGTTGCCGCCGCAGGAGTGAAGACCGATCATCGATGTAAGTTAATAGACTATGATCCCGCGGACATCACGGTGCTGTAGGGACTTTGAACCTCTTATTAGAATACCCACCGGTCGCAGCTCGACCCATTCCTAATCTTCGCTTGGTTCCAGCCTTAATGGGTTCGGTGGCTTCCGTTGACACTAGTACACACTGTGGGCGATCTGATCGAGGGTGTACATCCGGTTGGGCAGGAGATTCCACCTCGGCTGGAGGGTGAAATGCGGAGAACGAAGCTGTTTGGTTGACGAAACCGTCCTTCAGTTCTCCTGGCGTCAACTCGGGTGGCTTGACATGCGGCCCGGTCATAGCTCGACCCATTTCCAATATCCCCCTGGTTTGGGTCATAGCTACTTCAGTGGCTTTCGTCGACACCGGTGTAAATAACTGTAGAGGACTAGATCGAGGGTTTACAACTGGTTTGGACGCAGATTGCACCTTGGCTTGGTGATGGACCGCAGGGGATAGAACTCGCGGGTTGACGAAGCCGGCTGTCAATTCTCCTACCATCAACTTGGGTGGCCTGACTGACGGCGCTGGACAGGGAACCTTGACAGCAGTTTGAGTTTCATCCCCGCGCAAGCCAGCTCGTACGCCTAGAAAACACGACGTGAGCTCTAACCACATAGTCATGCAAGAGACTGACTCTGAAATGTGGGCACGTAACTAGGTGGAATGTCTGTCCCAATAAGAGGATGAGTAGGTTGGTCCTCAATATTCCCGCCAATATTAGTGTCGCCCAGATGAATCTGTCTTGCGGTCATATTGCTAAGATGGAATTAGTTAAAGCAATTTTGGAGTCGTGTCAAACAGAAGACAACGCACAACATTGTCATTCGTCGCTTCACCTCCAATTCATCGGGCAAGCGCTTCTCTCTATCCAGGATTCTTGCAATAAGACCGAGGTCCTGAGTGGAGTGAGTATGAGGCATGTCGGCGAACAACGGCTGAAAAGAAAGAGACCAGCTTGAGACACGATGCCTGTTTAATTGCTTCACGGATAAATCTTACCGGACACTGGGAACGGATTTTAGAAATGAATTCAGACAAGTCTCTGGTTTTGGAAACGCCAGCGACCTTGCGCATTAAGGCGTGCGTTAGATAAAGCGATGTCTGCGCTCGAGTGCATGCAACGTATAGAAGGCGTCTGGATGATCCCGTCAGAATAGATGAATGTATACAATGACATCCTTGCCTTTCTTCTTGGATGTCCTCCGCTCGGTAAAAAGGAAAGGTCCCATGCTCCACTGATGATATGGTTATAAATGTTCACAAGAAGAAATAGTAGAAGGGGATGCAAACCTGCAGGGACGAAGACGACTGGCCATTCAAGGCCTTTCGCAGAGTGGCAAGTCGCAATAGACACCTTCTGTTACAAATAATGAGCGATCGTAAATTTGACCTCAAAAGACAAACCTCGGCATCGTTCTCATTCGACTGATCACCTTCAGATGACAACATCGATGCTTGCAAGAACTGCCTTAGGGGAGTATCTCTGTGCAGTTGGTTAATAATTATGATCAACAATAAGTGAAACGAGATAAATCACTGCAACGATGACTCGTTTCCACCAATGACAGGGATGTTTGAGGCGTCAACCGCGGCGTCACTCGCAAAGTTAATCAGTTCTTGGACGTTCTCCCATCGTGTGTCCCAGTCAGATTGCGACTTCTTCAGATGTTCTTGGTAATCGATGAGCTCGACTAACTTCCCAATCAATTGAGCTGGTTCCATCCCGTCAGCGGCAAACGATCTCAGCGACCGTATCGCATTCACAAAGGATTGGACCTTGCGTTTCACAGGGGGTTCCAGATCGGGACTTTTGGAGTCGTGGATGTGTTCGATAAGAGTTAGCGGTGAGATGCTGAGTTTCTGTGATCGTGCAAGAATTTCTCCGAGGGACTATCAGGAGTGCATAAGCCGCTACGACAACAATTGACAATAATCCGCCCTCACCTTGTCTCCAATTCCCCGGGAGGGAATGTTGATAGCTCGAGAAAATGCTGGCTCAAATTGTGGATTGTCCACGAGCTGGAGGTACGCCAAGATATCTTTAATCTAAGTGAAACCAGGTTACTGTCTGATAGACCAAAGGAACACATAACTGTGAACTCACTTCTGTCCGTTCGAAGAACCGATGTCCACCTAGTATTCGATGAGGGATACCTTCCTTTTGAAGCGCACTCTCAATTGTTCTGGATATGGCGTGTAAACGCACTGCGAACTGTTCGTAACTAATTCGAGTTTCGAGAAGGAGAGACGTACGAAGCACCGCGAAGTCTCCGAATCCTAACATCCCTCCTGATTGTGCGATCATGCGGTTGATCTCCCACGCAATGAAAGCAGCTTCGTCGTGTTCTGTAGGGAACGACCGGAGCATTGGACGGGGCCCGGGAGGATGGGATGTATGCAGGGTTTTTGCAACCCGCGATGGATCTTGGAAAGTGTTGGTAGAAAACATTTCATGCGCCTGCACAACTTACCTTGGGAGATGATGGCGACACTTGCCGCAAGGATAGATCCTGCTGAACGGTAATTTTGCTCAAGCATGATCTGCGATACGTTAGGGAAGTCTGCAAGTCCGGACGAATTTATTCAATGCGTGTGTATATGCGTTGACTCTGGCTTACCGTTTTGCATCTTGACGAGGTTCGTAATGTCCGCAGATCGCCAACCATAAACTAGGATTGTGAATGAGATTATGTCAGGCAGCATTGATCAGAGCGTACTTGATTGGTCTGGATCCCCAACAATCGTTACGCAGCGACTAGCAGCAGCGATGCAACACATGAGCTCGTATTGGACTATATTTGTGTCTTGGCTAGTGTGATTTGGGTGAGCCTTGAGCATCAATGAGAACAAAAACTCACAATTCGTCGACAAGTACGTGCTGACACCAAGCAGCATACGTTGGATGTCGTGAGAAAAGTCTTACGCCAAAGAGCAGGAGGTCATCGAAGTCTAAACTGTTGCTTTTTCGCAAAGACGTCTCATAGACGCGGTATATTTCTGCAAAGATACGCTGGATATCCTCGTTGACTGGGTTGTGAGGAGCAGCTCTGCTTCCTGACGGACGTTTTTTACGTGGCATAACATCTTCTGGAGTTTGTCCCTTGGATTTGGCTCGAGAAATCATTGAACAGATAGTGGCTGGTTTCACTATGATGTCTTTGGATGCAAGTAAATCGCTGTAAGGCTTCAACAATCCCGACACAATTTTCTTGCTGAAATAGAGTTCAGCATGACATAGTTGTTTTGTTTCGGGAACATACGACTCTTCAGAATCACATATAGTGAAGTTCGCGTCAAGGCCGACTGCACTCCCATATTTCCGCAGAAAGAGAACGCAGATCGCATGGAAAGTACCCATCTTGACTTTATTGGCCCTATCTTTACCAATGAGTTTTGCTAGACGTGCTCGCATTTCGTTGGCCGCCTTGTTGGTGAATGTGACAGCGCATATAGACGATGGGTCCATGTCATGGTGCACTATCATGTAGGCAATTCTTGATGTAAGAACTTTAGTCTTCCCACTTCCAGGGCCTGCTAATATTTGGAGAGCTGAGTCTGGAGGATGAGTTACGCCTGTTCGAAGCAGACAGTTCAATCAGGAGATAATCATTAGCACAAACTTAAGAAGCGAACATACATCTAGTCTGAGCAGAATTGAGACATTTCAAGAGGTCCTCCGACATCGTTGGTTTACTGAAGAATGTACGACAGTGTTGAAAGTTATTTGAGGTTGATCTGGAGAAAGGTGCATTGAAGTGTGCAATTAAAACGCGTGCGGAGTGGACCAAGCCTGTCCACGCGACGCGTCTACGGTGGTCACGTGTTCGCTTGAGGTATAATGTTGTAATCTTCCTCGTCGTCGTCGTCTCCCACCATGTCGTACTCACCTTATACGTCGTGTGCGCCAACATGAGAATATCCTTGACCACGCCAATATATTGTTAGGATTCCCCAGGCGAGGCTCCTCGTGGCTGCCACTCCCATTGCTTAGTCAGCGGGTAAGTATACCGCCACCTTCATCGACTTTGGTTTGTCTATTTCCATACCATGTACGTCGATCCAGAAGGAACGACCACTTTCTACCCACAGGAGACCAATAGCGCACATATACAGACAAAAACTAAAGCACTTCAATTTGTGGCTGTTATGTGCCCTAACCAGACTCTTGTCGTGTACGACTCATCTCTCATTTCCTTTGTTTCTAAGTAGTAGGGAAGACCTTCGTAGGAAGAAGTATTCATTGCCTCGCAAACTTCACAACTTTTTGACACGCGTCCTTGAAAGCATTCGCAAGAACCTCGAAATCCGAAATCTTTGTATCCGTAAGAACCAAGTCGATATCTTCACGAATAGGTTATTCTCACCTCATTCCATACCTGCGCGCTACACCTTGTCCACCATTTTCCATTATGATAATAGTGAGCGGCATACGTGTTCCACTTCGATCAACAACGTATTTTGCAGCAGGGCATTGATTTCATCCGAATATTTGATCTCCCCAGGAATGGGCAGTTCCACATTGACCTGACCAAGGACTGTGAAATGCGGCATAAAAGCAGAAAACTGCATCTACGCACCATGTTCAGCGTCAAATCACCGTCAGGGTCCATTACGCTGGTTCCTAGGAGACTTGCGAGATGCTTTCCACCTGCGATTGCAAGATTGTGAGTAATTCGTTTATCTTTTGCTCGCCACCGAGCCACTGTCTAAAGTCTAAGGCTGGTTACAAGTCAGAACACTGATGTCAACTGACGACTTCGCACCAACCTGCATTGATGCTCAGGAGGGGTACATAATCTATGGTTCCTGTCCCTAGCAATCGATGAGACATGAGCGTTCGAAGTTATATGGTTCAGTTTATCCAGGAAAGCTAACATTCAAAAAGCCTCACGAATTTTTGTGGGCCGTTGTAGTCCTCATCTTGAGGTGAGAGATAATTGTGTGGAGTGGATATAGGGGACTTGATAATATGCTGGTTCCTGGTGCATTCCATTAGATATCGATAGTTGTGAAATGTTGGAACATACCGCTTGGGGACGTAAAGGACTGCGCAGCCTCTCTTTGCAAAGAGCCATTTGTGGCAATTCTGTTTAGCTTTGGTCAAGAACAAGATGCCATGTGTCGGGATTGACGGACTGACCGATACCCAAAAATCAGGCTTTGCCTCCGACAAGTTGATGTCTACTTCCTGGCCAATTGAATGCGCGGCATCGACTACTGTCAAAACGCCTGCATCCCTGCAAATGGTCACCATTTCTTTCCAAGGAAGACGTACACCAGGGTTCGACACGATGGCGTCTACTACGGCAACGACCTTGCGGGTCTGCTGGAGGTCATTCCCTTCGGAAGTCACTCGGCGGATGTGTTTTCGCCAGCTTTCCAGTATCTCTGCATGTGTGGTAGGAAATTGAAGATTGAAAGTGGACACCTGTGGATGTGGTGGCATATCTCCAAGATACATGATCCCTCGGGACACAGCACCATACGTTGTAGTCACTGGGGATAACATAAGTCTGGGGGAAATCAAACGTAATGATTCTCGACCTACTGCCAATAATGACATCTCCTTCATGCCACTCGAAGTTGCGGAGAACCGTGGCTATACCGTGCGTTGTATTATTCACCAAAACGCACTCATCAGTCTCTGCACCTATCAGCTTGGCGACTCGAGTACGAGCCTCGTTCCAGTGGTGAATGCATTCGATACGTATGAATTTGTCTGGGTTGGCTTCGATGCGAGTGGCGAGTTTATCGCATGCAATTCTAACTGGCATGGGTAATGAACCATATGAACCTTCAATGCGTCAGCCATGAAACAGGGTGCGAATGAATGACACCCGGTAGAACTCACCATGATTGAGGTTCACGTAAGATGGATCAAACTCAAAGAGCTTGTGCATCGAGTGCCCGAATGGGGGTGGTGCCTGCTTGTCTAACTCATTCACTGTGCTCGGGGCTGACTCAGAGGACACTGGGGTCTTCGTGGCGGCCATGGCGTTCATAGGTACAGACTCAGTGCAGTATGCAACCAAGATCAAAGCTTAACGATCAATTAAAACCTATAGCAAGCGACTCAAGGTGACTCAGCGTGGGAGCGCATGAGCAACTATGAACAACGGTGATCAATGAGCAGATATCACGGTGAGCCAACCACGAGCCACGGAACTTGATATAGTAGCAGGCCACGGTCGGTGATGCGGTCACGATTCAGGCCTCAGGCCTCAGGGTTTGCTCATGCTAGCTTCGTGGATTGTGTAGCATACAGATTGAACGTTAACAGAATGATGCAGGAGCGTGCAGAGCGGTGCAGGATTAGCATACAAAATACAATACAAATGACAGGCAGAACAGTGCAGCAGTGGTATGGAAAACAGTATGAGTGCAGGTATCATGATAACTAAGTAGTTGGAACCAAGTTGGGGCAACCACAAGCAACAACCATATACGAAAGCGTGCGAGAGGAGACAGGGCAAGCAGAGACTCGGAAGCAAGTTGTCGAGCAGGAGAGTCATGAGCTGGGATCATTCAAGCTGGCTATGAATTCGATAACGTTCGCCTTGGCCTGCGATTCAGATGAGCACGTCATGTATCACGACGGCAAACAAAAAATTACAGCATCGACAAGCTTCGAGCGAAAGGCATAGGACTCCCTCTGTTGGGCCGTAAGGCTGTTCCAGTACGCCGCGAACTCGGCAATAGTACCTGTATTGTGTTCGGCCTGCCATTCAATACCACAGAGGTTACGTGCTGTCGTCGAGTCCGAACTGGGCTTGAAAAGGTCATTGGGGTTCGTCGAAGCTCTCTTCTTCTTGCCAGTGTGGGCGGGAACTCCTGTAGACGTAGAAAGCGGATGGTATCATGCTTGAAGCTGGATCACTGGCAGCGATGTTGGTATTGCTGGCAGGTAGAATCCCCCGTATTGCCCTCGGACAGTGTGCTATTGAGTGTGGGCCTGCGATTGGGAGTAGAATCTAGACCGTGAAGAAATTTAGAATGAAGCCCAATATGCAGGTAGACCGTAGGCTCGAGACTAGCCTAGCTTATACGACGGACAAGTAGAATCAAACCCAGCCGAGTCTCTGTCAAGGACGTAATCAGGTCACAAGTTGCATAACATCAACAAACTAAGTCGATCAGATGCCATTGCTATCTGATTCTTTTTTTGATGCTGCAGGCGCCCTGCAGCTGCAGCGTTGAACAGTCTTGCATGCACAGTATATATACCACTTGGCCAGATTCGAGCCGCGTTTCAAATTTCATCCTGAGTCGTCGCGCCTTGCACGTTTTACAATTTATCAGCATGCTCAGTCACCGGGGTTTTCATCACTGGGCGACTCGTTGGACGGTTCGCGCAACTTCCTTGGCCTACTATCGGCTACATAGTCTCCCCCAATACTAAATAGACAGATCAAATAGAAGGAAGATAGTCGTTTCTTCCTAGCCATACGCCATGGCGGCCGGCACTCACCCGTGCATATAGCTTCTACCTAAGTATATCTTATCTTATCAGCGACGTTAGGCTATGGTAAATTGTTTCTTCATCTTCCAACAAACTTTGCTTCTTACTTATCAGTTGAGCCTCACAGGTGGTCTTCGATCCAGTCCTTATTGACTGATCTGCTGGAATTCCCTTTTAACGTGAAGATCCTTTAACCTCTATTCCTCTGAGAATGGTATCCGCGTTTTTCTATGGCACGTTGATGCATCCAGAAATATTGAAGCGAGTCATCGGAAACGATGGTAATCAGCTTCAGATGTGTTCCGCTCTGTTACTGGTTAGTCTGCTCGGAGAGTCTTATGGCCCACCAAACTGACAGCAGCCCCGTTCCAGGACTACACTAGACACCAGGTTAAGGTGAATGATACCGTTTACTCCACTGGCGTCTTGATATATCATATAGAAAGGATGAGGATTATCCTGCGATCTTACCATACTCGCAAAGTCGAACGATGTTCGATCATGACCTCGATTTCGAAGAGAAATCGGTACGAGGTTCTCTGGTGACTGGTCTATCAGAGGAAGATATCCGACTCCTTGACGTCTTTGAAGGCAACGTGAGTGCGAAACACTTTAGGAACCATCGACACCAAGAAACCCTTCATCGTAGCAATATACAAGAGAGGTGGTGTCTGTATACCCACTAGCGCCGCTGGCCAACATACGGGATATACCACCAATTGAAGTGAAGTCTCTGGTGCCCGCCACGTCTCCCCCGATCCCTATTCTGTCCAGTTTGGCGAACACTGTAGAGGCAGATACCTACGTATGGTGCCTTTCTTCTTCGGAGCTCTGGGCACAGTTGTGGTCGTTTGAAGAGTTCGTGAAGCATAACGCGTGGAAGTGGGTCGGCTCAAGTTCTGCCAACAACAAGGACTATGACGAAGTGGATAGAAGGAGGGGTATGGAGGGTATTATTGTCCAGGCGGGACTGACTTGATCGAACCACTTTGCGGTTACATAATAAGCATCACAATATCACTTGAATTGAAGGAACTCTCACGGTTGCACCTAGGCCCCGCAACTTGTCCATGATTTGACAAGATGCCATGGTTAGGGGATAATTTCAGGCCTTATTTTTCATTCGTAGTTCTCGCCTTCTTTCTCACTTTCATCTTTATCACCGGAGTCCTCGACGATATCAAAGGACGTCGCGTTCTATCCACTCAATATTGTATGTTTTTGATCTGACCGACCTCGTACGTCGTAGACTCACCTTATTGAAGCCTTCCCGGACTTTAGCTACTATGCTGGAAATTTTGTAAAGAATATTTCCAACAGTTTTCTTCCCATAGGTCTCTACTTGCGTCATGGTACCAACTGTAAGAGACTGACAGTCGTATTCAGATGATAGAGGGAAACGTATAATCGCAATCGGCGACATACATGGCATGAACAGCTCATTGACGTGCGTTCTGGCTGTCTACTTATTGGGTGTCTTGCGAACTCATCGTGTGTAACTGTGACAGGGATCTACTCAACGAGATACACTACGATTCGCAAAGAGATACACTCGTTCACCTTGGGGACCTGGGAACGAGGGCGACTGTTCGCGAGTCCATTGACACATTGTCTTTCATGTCATCCAACAGAATCTTAGGCGTCAGAGGAAACAATGACCAAAAAGTGATTGAATGGCACGCTTGGATGGACTGGATACTATCTCGTCCAGGAGGTCGGGAATGGCTCATCACTATGGACAAGCGATGGCCCAACCTCGATGGAGACATACAAGGAGCAGAGCTTGACAACTGGATCCAGAAAAGCAAGTACTCAGACTGGGGAAAGATGGTACCTCGTGGATGGAGTCCATTGGGCAAACATTACAGGGTCGCTCGTGCCATGTCTCGCAAACACTTCGATTATCTACGTTCATTACCCCTTGTGCTCCATTCTCCAGCTGGCCATATGGTCTTCGTCCACGCGGGTCTGTTACCTTCCCACCCGAAGCTCCAGGCTTCCGACCCCAGACAGCCACTTTCTCATTGGCCTACCGTGGATGACCAACATGACACTGCAAAGCTGCGTAATCTGCAGGAGTTTGCTATTCTCGCAGAGATCCCCGAAAACAAAGACCCATGGACCGTGATGAACATCAAAAGTGTCACGAATAAAGGACGTGCGTCTTCAGGATCCAAGGGAACTCCTTGGTCGCAAGTTGTGGAACGGCACGATGTCAGATTGTTCGGGTTTGAATGCGGCAGACGCATACCGGCCAACCTCACTTTCATGTTATCCGTTTACTGTCATCTATGGACATGCTGCAAGTCGTGGGTTGGATATCAAGCGGTGGTCAATTGGTTTGGACAGTGGTTGTGTGAGTGAAATTATATTCCTGCGCTCATGATTTCGATACTGAAATCTTGCAGTCGCACGGCCGCAAGTTATCAGCTCTTGTCCTCGACGAAAGCTCCTTTTCTCCTGCTATATACCAATCTGGAGACACCACTCACGCGCGAGCCCCTCATTCGCAACAGATTGATTTCGGAGACAACGGACGAGCGAGCGTTGTTAGTGTAACATGTGCATAATTGCCTTCCACCATCAGTTTATTTCCTATAATTATGTAAACACGAACTAGAATCCAAATATAGCAAAATCGCATTATGTAATACTTCTCTACTTATCCTTATCTTCATTTCCCCTCAGGTCCAGGGCTCGTTACGCAAGGGTGCCATGGCCAGGCAGCGATGGCAACTATGGTTTCCTATTGGTCTTAGTGGTCGTCATTCTCGTCCTTTGCATATTCGTACCAGATGACCTGCGGAACCCAGTCAGCTTCTGGACACGTTCTATCTCCAGTAAGTCCAGACTGCTAGTCCTATAGATAAGCTCACATAAACCTCCAGAATTCCCCGATTTCAGTCATTATGATAATTTCACGCAAACGCTATCTAATGTAGAGTTCCCGACTAGTGAGTCGGTGACTTTTTCTCTATATCGAACACGAGCGCCGATCTTCGATGAATGTTAGATGATAAAGATAGGAGAATTATTGTGATAGGCGACATACATGGCATGAATGCATCTTTGACGTACGCCCTCTCACGAAAAGGCCATCCTCGATGCTCATGGTGCACTCGTTTTTAGCACTTTACTAAACAAAATATCCTATGACACACGGAGGGATATTTTGATACACCTCGGCGACCTCGTGACTAAGGCACCTGTTGAAGATTCACTAGCAGTTTTATCGTTCATGGAGAGCAATCAGATTCTGGGGGTTCGCGGAAATAACGACCAGGAAGTCCTTGAATGGCGCGCTTGGATGGACTGGATTGTTTCTCAACCTGGAGGCAGAGAGTGGCTGAGAGAAGTTGACGAACATTGGTCTGATTATGAAACCGCACTAGAGAAAGCCGACACGTCTTCGTCCGACTCGCGGCCTTCCTTAATGAAGAAGCCTGACTGGGGAAGCAAGGTTCCTAATGGTTGGAAGCCTTTAGGGGACCACTACAAGGTTGCGCGAGCGATGTCTCGCGAGCACTACGATTACTTGTGTTCTCTCCCTCTCGTCCTTTACGCACCGGCGGGCCATATGTTCTTCGTTCATGCTGGCTTACTCGCAGCCGACCCAAATCGAAAACCCACTCATCCTAAGCAACCGCTGTCGCACTGGCCATACACAAGAAAGCGCAAGCATGACATACATGCTATCCGGAAGGCACAGGAACTCGCGTTGCTTTCAGAGATCCCGCAGAACCGAGATCCCTGGGTCGTTCAGAATATCAGGAGCGTGCGGAAGAATGGTAAGGTCACACGCAGCAGCAATAAGGGGACCCCGTTCTCCGACCTCTGGAATGAGATCATGGGCCAGTGCTCTAGTTTTTATGCTTCCAATGCTCAGCTCGAGTCTGTTTCACGGCTCACAGGCTACCAGGAGAGTCAACTCGCTCGTCTCCCTTGTTATCCGTCGACTGTCGTGTATGGCCACTCAGCAGGTCGTGGTCTGGATGTCAAGAGGTGGTCCGTCGGATTAGATACCGGCTGCGTATGTTATATATTGAACATTCAGACATGCGCTGATCATTTTTGCACAGAGTTACGGTCGAAGGACTTTCAGCGCTAGTCCTTGGCGCAAGGTCTTTCTCCCCAGGTGCTTTAGAGGAACTCACGCTCGACTTTCTTCCCCGAAGCCGAGCCTCGAATCAAGTTTGACCAGGCAGGAGAAGTCTCCATAGTCAGCGTCAAGTGTCATTGACACGCTTCATTCACATTTGCTATCGTTTCTCGCGTATTCGCCGGCGCGGGTACAGTGTCACCTACATTTTTTCTTATTGCTCGCATATATTATCTTGGCATATTCAGGCCTCACAAACCGCACTTGTATTTTCATCAAATCGCAATACTATTGTAATCTCCTTCCATACCATGCAACGTACTACAGCATGTACTGGACAGGTCAATCTTGTTTTCAATCAATTATACGAAACATACATAATACAGACATCGTTCGATATTCAGGCTTGATTTAGGCAATGAAAAGGAGATTCATGTCCAATAAGGGGAGTGAGGTTGAAGAGAATGAGGAGCGCGCATAAAAACATACTGACCATCGGGGTGACAACTACACAGCGATTCAAAAATAGTCAGACGAGCGCAACATCACGCGTAGGTATAGACGAACCTGTGGTCTGACTGTCAAAAAGTTCAAATCAGAAAGGCGACGAAGCACACCGGAGGGAATCAAGAAGCTGTTAATAATTATGACTTTGCTGTGGGTTTTCGACTGCGGAAAGTGTGCCTCGACGATTAATTACATAAAAGCCTGGATTTTGAAGATGCATAAGAAGCTGGAATGAGGAGTGAAGCCCAGTAGAAGTCCGCTGTTCTCAGAATAGCTCTTAGTCTAGCAAAAATTGTACGAAGCTAGAGCATAGTCACATAGTTACTAGGTCTATACAAGCATGAATTTACTGGCACTACATCGAATTGAATCATCTTACGCAGGGCAGAACGACACTCGTAGAAGCAGTTTAGGGCAAACCAGGTCCTCCAACTCAATGCTCAGAGGACCCGAGAGGAGTCGTGACATTGCAGCGGCTCGTAAAACGGCATCGTATCGTACACAGTGAACAAATAAAAAGTGAGAGGCTAAGAGTCGAAGGCGAGCAAAGTTGGTGGGTATTGCCTACCACTAGAGAACGATCACATTTTTACTATGATCTCATCATATTCTGATCATGTTCTGGAGGACATTCTCAGTTGTCGTAATCTCGAAGTCTGTTTGACCACGGTGGGTGCACGCGCATATACATGCATTCATAGCTTTATTACAGTGGGATGAGACCACGGCCAGAACATAGCAAAGAGAATGCTATTGATCATGATATATATTTCTACAAAATGGAGAGCGCTCGACCATGCTGCAAGACTAACAGCCAGAGTTTGCAGCCCATGTTCGCCTCGATGAACGCTTCTACATCCACAAGCTCACCGATATTGCTCCGACCTCGATCATACTCCTATATGATATATAGAACCTCTTTGAAACCATCGGAAGGCCAATGCCATGCGCGACACGTCGTAGAAGTCCCAACTTGAAGGCCGTGGCTATCATGCGGCAACTACTACGTAGCTAGCTACACCCATAATCGACGACGTCGACATTAACATTGTGGTGTGAAGACAAGAGCGGGTGCGTAGTGGGGCAGAGGGTTTTAAATTTTGCAAAGTTCAAGTCCAGCTCTGTCAGAATACGGTGGAAATGACATAAGGAATGTGAGAATATGCACCATATTATCATTTCGCGGTTCTGTAGTCAAAATACAGTGATAATGTTGATAGAATCTAAGGTTCGTGCGACATTCCCACCGGTCCATAATCTCTTTTTTTCCCCAGTGGTCGTACGCGGCGTGCGGACTAGAATGCAGAGCTCCAAGGCTTGGAGCTCTACATTCAAAAGATTATTCAATGATGTGATCTAACCGTGTCACTGGGCGCAGAGGCTGCACCTTCTCGTAAGGCGCGATGTCCTCCTCATGAATTGTGTTGTGGGGGGCACTAGTCTAGGCGATCTAGTGAGCTTCTCGGTGAAGCACGGTCGCCTGGAGGTCTTGGTTATTTGGGCGGGTGGAGAGTGGAGTTAGCTCACACGATGATGCAGACCGACTTGGGGTCCGGCTGGGCATAGAGAATTCAGATGGTAGTGGAATGAATTGAATGAGTTGCCCTCGCCTTTATAAGCAGTGGTTATCTAGATGCTGTACCAACCTGTACAATTGCTGTATAAGTATACAATAATATCGTGAACTGGCATGCACTGCACAATTCAGAGACTCCGGTTATCATACCTAAGTGCATCATGGGTTCGCCGGTTGACAATTCTAAGGAGATTTCCATTGCGTTCGATTGGTACTACCTCGCCGAAGCGTTCCCACACTTGGACAGCTTCCTGTGCTGAAGGTAGAACGGGCTTGTCAATGGACTAGTACAGCTGTATAGAGCAATTGTACAACGTGGTTTTATCGTAACTTACCCCATCACTAAAAGATCTAAGTTACGGCTTAGACCTTCAGACTTGGATTGATGTCTTCGTACGTCGGCCTTCAAGATAATCATCAGTGACATGATCGCTGGCCGTACTGTCGAACGAAACTAGTATTGCTCAGATTTATTCCATTCCATCTCACAACCTGCGCCACGCTTTGTCAATGACTCAGGATCAATGTCAGTATTTCTATCTATCGTCCCCTCTTATGCTCTCTGACCTCATCCACAGCTTTTGGTGATCCTGAAGGTCCTTGGGAGGGCCTATCCCAAGTCGTTAACAAGGGTACTGAGCATGACTCCCTGAACGCCAGACTCGTCCGAAATGTTTGGGAGTGACCTTTTCAACTACATCCACGTCATTAGACAATCGGGAGAAGAGTCCACTCATTTGTCTGCATGACACGGCAGGAGCCTGCTGTAGCCTCCACTGTAGGATGAAATGTCAGCAAGTCACACAGCGGAGAACTGTAGATAAGCGGCTCGCGGATACATTATTTTGCTCCCGCAAGCACATCAAGCGCTCTACGACTGTCTATTTTTCCGCGACGCTTGCCTAGGAGACTCCTGCCCTTCTGCCAATAGTTATATTGTGCTCTGGAGTCCTTAGAAGCACACATAGCTGCCACCGTCTCGTCAAACGACGCAGACATGGACAACGTCGTTTCTTGCATCACTCCTTTAGACGGTTTCAGGTTTTCCATCTCAATTTCCGACGCGTGGGCGTTGTGTTGCGTGGCCGATGGGCCGAACGGGCAGACGCTTCATCGTGATAGACCGCGATGTCGTTGAACTTCCTGTCGAGCATCGCTCTCCACCCTCTTCGAGCACCACGACAATGGTCAGGACCTTAGCGAGCCGGTCGCGCTTCCAAGAAAAGCGCTGGATTTACGCACACCTTGTCACCCACGCCAGTCCTCATCCACATCATCATATACGACTGCACCTCATACCCAACGACAAAGGCCTTGATGAGGCGGTCACGCTTCTCAGAGAAGTGCTCTGTGCCCAGCCGGTTGCCCACATTCCTCCACCATCCTTGTAATACGCTCCAACGGCCAAGACTTCTGTAAGCGTTCACGGAAAAGCGCTGGGTTTGTGCCCACTAGTGGCTCGAGTGCCTTGTGGCACGGGGTTATGTCCAAGATTTGGGCGGGGGGTGTTGCCTCTGCGACCGAGTTGGTCAGCCGGATCTGTTCACGTTCATGGAACCTTACGACTGCACATAACCAAGACCTCGATGAAGCAGTCGCGCTTCATGGTGGAGCGCTGACTCCGCGCACAGCCAGCAGTCATAACTTTCCTCGTCGGGGGAAAGCTACTATCATTCGCCGGCTTTATGCTCTGTCGGTTGCCCAGAACGATCCCCGTCATTGAATAACCTTACAAATCAACTCTCTACCCGCCTTGAGCACCGAGGCAATGATGGAGACTCGGATGAGGCTATCATGCTTCAGGGGGAAGCCCTGGAATTGCGCACTGTCGGTCACCCATATCGGTCCCCATCGTTGAATAACCTGCAAATCAACTCTCCATCCGCTTGGAGCACCGAAGCGATGACCAAGACCTGCATGAGGCTATACCGCTTCAGAGGGAAGCAATGACCAAGACTTAGATGAGGTTATCTGATCACAGGGCGCATCTGCGTGATATTGACCTTCTAGTCCAATGTACATCGCAACATGACCAGATCTTCTTCTACTGTAAGTAAACTCTTGCGACACTGAAAGAAGTGTTCATTCTTTGGGGCGCTAATGTTCCGTCAGACACTGGTCATGGAGATCAAGTTACTTGCAAACATAACTCTGAACCCAACAAGGATGAAGATAGCGTACATGTGATGTAACTATTCTCAGAATTGTTGTCTGGTTCATGGCACTCAATGACCCCCAAGGTTTTGAAAGTACACCCCTTTGATCCATTTCCTCAAGGCGCCAAGCTTTTCGTGGGTGTTTCGATGTGATTTCTAAAAGTTCCACTAATGATGTCGTCTTGTAAACAGGCACTCTGGGATTGTTGAAACAATGTTGGGTACGTAGGTCTATCGTTCGTATTCATTTTCGCACTCATACGGTTGTTAAAAGATTTGGAGCATTTCAACTATGGAGGGCATCCTGACAGGTGAGAATTATGTTGCTATCGTATCTAAGTCAATACTGATGATTTCAGGTTTGGTGAAAAAAAAACCGAAAGCCTAGGTCAAGGCCTAGGTGGATGTTTTGACGCTCTATTCCATCACTTGAATGTACACCACGGAGGCTCGGCGCCAACATCTTGGTCTTCGTCAAAGGATCCAATCATCAAAGCACTTCACGTGCTGGCTCTATCCCCAAACGGTCACACACGTCGGTCTGCATCATTGTGAGCCACCTGCACTCCCCACTCACCCCAATGACTAAGACTTCCATAGGCGACCGTGCTTCGCGGCGAAGCGCTGGTTTCATGCCCACTAGGTCACCTAGATTAGTTTGGGTCTGGGGCAATCTCCAAGTTTTGGTGAGGGGTTTCGCACGAAAGCGCTGCCTCTGCACACATTTGGTCAGTCAGATCTGTTGCGTCATTGAATACCCTTTCGAATGGAGAGAGCCCTACTCCTTTACGCTCGGAACATTGTCGCTTACATTGAGCCCGTCCGTCGCGCGCACTTACAGGTGGAAGGAGCTCTAGGTAGAAGGAGTAGAGCTCCTTTCACATGGGATGTCGTTGGATACATTCTTTTTCTCGCATGCATTTGTTCTTTTTCATTCTTACTTTACGAGGCATGGCAGCATCCGGTTGTCATCGACATTTTGCTGCACTATACATCATTTCAGCGCCGATAGTACTAACAGTTTGACTTTCACATCTCCACATGTCGATTTGACTAGAATAATAAATATCCTCGCATATCAGTTTTTTGAAAATCACCCCAATCTCAGATCTCAAAAGTCATTCGGAATTCACTAGCACTACTCTACTCGAACTCGTATCATTTGCTGCATCACACTAGTAACATCTCTGCGCCAACATACTCTCCTTCCGTTGCTCTTGGCCTACTTGATCGCATATCGTCCCAGCATTTTATCGTTCGAGTTGGAGGGTATATAATAATCACAGTCACGCCTGTGTTGTCCATCCGATGACCTGGAAGCATAGAGGTCGCTGGAACCAGGGAAAAATATGACTACCTTGCACGCGACACGAGTACTGTAAATACCAAACGTGACAAAATGAGATCAATGTGCGATAACAATACAGTTGATGTTGCATAAAATCGACAGCTTCTGACTGATGTGACTAAGATGACCCTGGAGCTTGGAGATATTCCTATATGTGCATGTCAAGTGCTGAGTCGCGAGAATTATCAGAAGTACACGCACCTTTGCAAGTTTATGCCCGTCGGATAGAACAATGAGGCAAAACCGCAGACCCTTCAAGCACCACTGCCTTTCGAGCCAGGACAGGAGATGACCATTCCAAAAAGCCTTGAATCTGTGGTTGAGCATGCCGTCCCGTGGATTCAGAGCCTGCGAGAGATGGACGGCCCAATTTTGGCAGGCGTATTTGACAGCGTCGGAAGCTGAGTGACTTCGTAGCCATGCTTCTTTTGCGAAATCCACAAAGGTCTGCATAGCATGGGTTATCTCCATGTCTGGCGTAAAACAATCTTGCGATAAGGCAGATGTGGAAGGTTCGTAGGGTCTTAATGCCAGGAAAGCCGGAAACATCAAGAAATCCGGCAGGCTCTCGAAATGCTGGATTGCTTGCACAGCTGGCATGAAAGGTAAATCTGGGATGATTGTGCACTCCCTGATTGCTTCCAATGTGCTCAAGAATTCCTCGACTGTCACCCAGACAGACGTCGCAGAAGTCGACTGCCATGCTTGACCATGGGGGCTCTGCAGCCAGTTTCGGCCGCTCTGGGTCTGCAACCAGCCTCTCCCGCTCTGGGTCCGCACCCAGCCTCTCCCGCTCTGAGTTTGCAACCACTTTTGCCCATCCGGGGTCTCCAGCCAGTCTTGCGCGCTTTCGGTCTGCAGCCATTCTTCGTCGCTCTCAGCCTGCAGCCATTTTTGCCCGTTTCGGGTCCGCAGCCAGGCGCGCCCACTCGAGGTCTGCAGCCAGGCCCGCTCTGTCCTGGGCAGCCACTCTCGCCCGCTAGGTTTATGCAGCCAGTCTTGGCCGCTCCGAGTCTGCAGCCATTGTTGCCCGTCCTGGAACTCCAGCCACTCTCCCCCGTTCGGGGTATGCAGCCACTCTCGCGCGCTTTGAGTCTGAAGCCACTCTCGCCCGCCCAGTGTCTGCAACCACTCTCGCAGCCACTCTCGTCCGCCCAGGGTCTGCAGCCAGTCTTGGCCGCTCCAGGTCCGCAGCCAGTCTTTCCCGTCCTGGATTTGTAGCCAGTTTTCCCCACTGGGGGACTGCAGCCAGCGTCGCGCGCTCCAGGTCTGCAGCCACTCGCGAGCGCTGGGGGTCTGCAACCACTCTCGCCCGCTCCACGTCTGTAGCCAGTCGCCCCCCTTCTGGGTCTGCAGCCAGTCTCCCCCCCTCCGTGTCTGCAGCCACTCTTGCCCGCCCGCTAGCTGCTGCGGCCGGCGCCAAGTCCGCTGCCAATCTTGACCGCTTGAGGTTTTCAACCACTCTCGCCCGCGTTTTCTCTTCAGCCACTCTCGCCCGCTCCTTGTCTGCAGCCACTCCCGCCCGTTTCTTGTCTGCAGCCAGGTTATTCCGCTCCTTACCCGCAGCCAGTCTATTGCGCGCGGGGTCTGCAGCCAGTCTTTCCCGCTCTAAGTCTCCAGCTAGCTATGCCCGTTCCGGGTCTGTAGCCAGCCTCGCCCGCGCCGGGTTTGCAACCAGCCTTTCCCGCTCTTAGTATGTAGCCATGCTATCCCGCTCCCGGTCTGTAGCCAGCCTCGCCCGTCCGGAGCCTGCAACCACTGTCGCCCGACCGAGGTCGGCAGCCACACTAGCAGCAACTCTTGCCCGTCCAGGGTCTGCAGCCACTCTTCCCCGATCGAGGTCTGCAGCCACTCTTTCCCGCTCGAGCTCTGTAGCCAGTTGTGCCCAGTCCTAGTCCGTAGCCACTCTTGCCCGCTCTGAGTTCGCAACCACTCTTGCTCGCTGCAGGCGTGCAGCCAGTCTCGTCCTCTTTGGGTCTGCGACCAGTCCCGTCCTCTCTGGGTACGCGGCCACTCTTGCCCCCTGCGAGTCTGCAGCCACTTTCGTCCACTCTGGGTTTGCAGCCATTCTCGCCAATTCCACGTCTCCAACCAGTCCTTCCCCTCCTGCGTCTCCAACCAATATTTCCCCTCTCGGGTTTGCAGCCAGGCATGACCATCCATGGTCTCTAGCCAGGATTGTAATTCTGGGCCGCTATCTCCCTGAAGCCATAACAGACCTCTCAGAACTTGCATTGGCTCCGGTGGCTCGACAATGAAGGATAATGAATGTGCTAAGGCTTGGGGATTGTGGGATTGTATAGCCTGGCTCTGCCTCTTCAACTCTGAGAGTGCATCCAGGAGGGCCGTGCTTTGTGCCATGTCTTGTATCATCAAGTGGAAACATGAATGCGCGAGTAGCGAGTGGGGTGGCGTAATATTCCGTACTTGAGGGAGGTTGTAGTTTGAGGGATCGGAAACATAATCACGAATCGACGAGTGACAGATGTTCACGGGGAGACTGTTGTCGGTAGGAATATCCACGATAGACCGTAGCTGCACCAGTGCCGTCTCGACATCCCTTCCCTCACCAGGGCCAAGAAGTGTTGAGATTTGTGAAATCGGCAGAGGGTCTGCAAGGGCAGCAACAACGGACAAGTGCAGGTATGCCCGCTCGGGATCGGTACATGTAGAGAGGATAAGGTCGTATAACTTGTACACCTCCGTTCCTGATGGCAGGTCGCTCGTGAACTTGAGCATCAGCTGAAGACGGTTCCGGGGGTCATTGTATCCATCATCAATAAACTTCATTATCGTAGTCGCCACGATAAAACGTCTGCCTGCTCGCGTCGCTAGCTGGTCAAGTTGATGCCCGGATGGCCGTGGGAAGTTGGGATGGCGACTTTCCAGGTCTCTAAAGGAATGCTGCAAGAAAATATAAATGTCTTTGTCAACATCTGTGCCGTCTAATGAGATGGTGGGAGCAACACCCTCCCCAGAAGTCTTCACCGGTATCTCGCACACCAGCGGGCGCATCTCTCCTCTCTGAATGGCTTTACGGATATGCTCTTCCGAGCGACTCGTGAGCAGAATGTGGGTCACTGGCAGATCGGGTTCACGAAGAGCTTCGCCAAGCAGAGAGATTAAATTAGAAAGTTCGCTTTCGGAGGTGCATTCATCAAGGGCATCAACAACGAACGCCAAAGGCGGACATCCGCGCAGTCTGGGTTCAAGGCTCCGGAGAGGTTCGAGAAACAACGCCTCCATCTGATCGCGAAGAGACATGTCGTGATCTAGCAGCGCGGGGTTCTCGAGGAGAATTTTGTTCACCTCCTGCCGGATGTTGGGAAAGTTGTTGGCGAGCTGCCAGGCAAGCGTAGCAAAGAAATAACCAGTCGTACGGCGATTCGTATGTTCGCGCGAGAAAAAGAATGTTCCTGCGAGCCGCTTTGCCTTGCTTCTTTCTTCCACTTTCTGACCCCGCATACTTTCAGCTACAGTGAAGGCGACAGCAGACTTTCCGACGCCCGCCGTGCCATGCAGCCAAACGAGTTGACTCTTCTCTCGGTTGTCTAATAATCCGTGAACGTATTTGAGAAGCTCCACCCGGGTCCCTTCTAAACATTTCGGATGGGGCTGACGTTCGGGGGAGTCATATACAGCACCCTTGACCACAACCTGGGACAGCTTCTCGCAAGCTTCATCGCCAGAAATTGTTCATTAGGTCAGAGAGCGAGAGAGAAAATAAGAGATGGAAATACTGACATTGGTTCAGACTCATTGAGAAAGGCAATAAATCACAATAAAATTTCAGAGAATTACTAGTTGGATTCAACAGCGTGGTTAGCAATCATGTGGGGAAATGGTCATCTCGAATCTCGATGGACAACGTACGAAGATGTTAATCGATATTCAACGGACCAAAGGTTTAAGCTGTAACTTGGATAATCCGGGGTCAGGGGAAGTTGTGAAAAGGCTTTAGTTTAGCGTGATAATAGGCCTCTTCAATCGTGGGCGGCGAAACTATGGAGTGATCGAGATTGCGGGCGTAAGGACTGTTCTTTCTGCCCTTTAAGAAGACTCGGACAGTCGTTCCTTGAGAGCTGTTTAAGATCGAGTGTTTCACTGGGTTCCAGTGTGTAGAAACTCGTTGGATCTTGGTGAAATAAGTCTAAGGACGACTCGCAAGCGCTTGTCTGGTTACCATTGATGCTGTATATACGTAATATTCATTGCACCAGGCAAGAGACGCTTGAGCGTGGGTGTTTGTTAGTATGAACGCTTGAACGCGGAACGGCCTTGACAAACCCTCATGTGGAGTGCCGGAGGTCCGTGGTTGGAGTCCTGGCTGAGCCAGGCGGCCTCCGTATGTCCACTGAAGTCACAATGCTTGCTCGTTGCAACAATAAGGAGACCGTTTTGCGACTTCTGGGATGCAATCGTGGGCCAGTGCTCTGGTTTTCGTGCTTCCAATGTTCAGCTTATGTCCGTTCCTGACAGGCTCACAGGCTAACAGGATAATCAACTCGCTCATCTCCTTTGTTATCTGTCGTCTATGGCCACGCAGTAGGCTGCAGCAGGTCGTGGCCTGGATATCAAGATGTGGTCCGTCCGCGCACCGATCATCTTTGTGCAGAGTTACGGCCGAAGGCTTTCAACACTAGTGCTTGGTGCAAGGACTTTCTCTGCAGGGACTTCAGAGGACTACACGTTTGACTTCCCGCGCGAACCAACCGATTGGATTGATGCAGGGCCTTTTTTCCAGGGACTCCAGAGTATCATACGTTTGACGTCCTGTCCGACGCAACCGATCCTCGAATCACATTTGACCACGCAGGGGAAGCCCGCATATGTCGTCAGCGTCAAGCGACATTGATATGCTTCATTCTCGTTCCTCGTATATTCAGCTGGCGTGGGCAGTGTCGTCCACATTGTTTGTTGCTTGTTATCTTTGAAATGTTCAGGCCTCACAAAACCCGCACTTGTATCTTCATCAAATCGCAATCGTATTGTAATCTTTGTCTCCGCCATGCAAATGTACAACAGCATGCACCTTGACAAGACTGGGCAATCTTCTATCGTACATAATTATACTGCATTTACGAAACATACATGATACAAACATCATTTAGGCAATGAAGAGTAGATTCGTGTCCTGTAAGGGGAGTGGGGTAAGAGAATGAGGAGTTCGCAAAAAAAGATACTGACCATCGGGTGAGAACTAGACAGCTATTCAAAAATAATTAGAACATCAGAACATCACGCGCAGGTATAGACGAACCTGTGGTTTCTGGCTGTACTTTGCTTTCAAAATAGCTCTGCCAGCCAGTTCATTATTAGAGGCCGGACTGTCAATGCTGAATGCTGAAGCACTCACCGGAGGGAATTAAGAAGCTGTTGATAACTTTGCTGTGGGTTTTCGCCTGTGGGAAGTGTGTCGAATTAAGAGCCAATCATGATGCTCCAATCCAATATTACTTACTGAGAGCCTTGATGAAAGCCTGGGTTTGAGAGATCCATGAGAAGCTGGAATGAGGGGTGCAGATAAAGGAACTTACGTAGCTCATTGCGCCTGTGGCTCTTCCAGCTTCTTGCGTGTCCGCGCTGGTCTGTGAATCTTTACAACCACTCCAAGAGATCTAATTGAAGGTGAGTTGGGTATAAAATATCCAAAGGTTTCACGAACGCAGTCGGCGGGGCTCGTCCTCGTAGCCTTAGAGATTTTGTCGGCTTTCTGTCCATTTCCGCTCGCAGTCTTGATCAGTCCTGTAACGGAATTGAACATGCCGCCGAGATCTCCGCGAGCATACGAAGTCACGGCGGTCAGTAACCCTTGGCCAGCCTCCGCCGCGAGATTTGGCTCTTTGATTTTGCCTTCCGTGGAATACTGGTGCACAAAAGTGAGATTACGACGGGGGTATCCGGAACAGAGGCAACGCACAACGTATGGGAGATCTAAAAATAGTGCGGACAAATTAAATTGGAATTAGCATGAGTGCTGAAAGGCGACAACAAGATGATTTATACCTAGAGCTGAGCCAGAGTGGCAAGACTGCGAGAATTTTAGTATGCGAATGTCACTGCAGGTTCTTAACGAAGAGAGCTTACGTCGAAGATAGCAGTGAGACGACAACCCGCAGGAAGTGGCTTCACCATGATTTGGTGCATCAACTAAAACGACGGTCATTAGTGGAACGTAGCGTGAGATGGGATAGAACGAGAACACACATCATCGACAATGTGACCATTCTGTTTGAAGTCAACTGGGTAGATGACTATGCAAACAAATCAACACATGTGGCTCCGTGTAATCAACGGCACGTAATCGTCACCTTCGTCAAATCCATCTTCTTCATCGCCATCGAGGTCCTTCGTCTGTCCTCCATGTCCGGAATCTATTTCGGTGTGAGATACAACCAGGTAGGTATGACCGCAAAAGATGCGCATACAATGGAAGAACAGGGAGTCATTGGGACGTGCGTCACGAGCGAGCCACTCCATTGCACGAAGCTATCGGCGCTCATTTATAAGCACCAGTGCAATTCCGTAAGTAGCCTACTCACTATATTTTGCTGAGTGGGAACTTGGCGTGGGTCCCGTGCATCGTCGGTGAGTATCACCATGTCCTCTTCCTTATACCCAAACTGAACTGAAAACAGTCCATGATCCACTGTGCGCACTCTGCAGTGACTAGACTTACCCATCAGGAAGCGCTTCATACTGTTTGCATCATTGATGCAACCACGCAACTCTCCTTGCTGACCGGTATAATTGATCCCGATCTAAATTTCAGGGTGATTAGATGTGGAGCATCAGTCCATGCACACAACATACGCATAAGGCTTTCTTCTTGCCGTTACACTGAGAATATTGGAAAAAGGGCTGCTGCATCTGGTGGTTGGGACCTTGCATTTGAGGTCCGTAAAGCTGCTGTTGATTGGGTGGCCTCTGCGGGGGTCCGCCTGTTTAAATTATTAAGATGACGAGCGATTGTTTAGGTTCTCGATCAACCCACTTGGAGGAGCATAACCATAGCCGCCGCTCGTTCTGAAGACTATTAAGGTATGTATCAGCGATGATCTTACGAATAACGTACGGGGAAGGACGTGCACCATAACCACCAGGGGGTCCCGGTGGTGGTGGATAATTTCCAGGAGCACCTGGGGGTGGTGGGTACTGTGAAGGAGGGCCTGGCCCTGCCCGGAGGGGGGCCAGGGGGTGCGCCGTATGACGAGGATGGAGGGCCAGGGGGCGGTGCGTAAGAGGTAGGAGAACCTTGAGGGGGTGCGTAATTGCCAGCAAACTGACCTGGGTAGCCACTGTTCTGGTGGTGATGGTGCTGTCCAGGATAGTTATCTCTTGATACCGGGGGTGGAAACCCAAAGCTGTAGCGCGATAAAGGGATCGACACAGGCGTAGTTTGGTAGTATATACGTACCCTCTGGGTGCTGGGGGACTGTTCGAAGGAAACACTGGTGCGGGAGCGTATGCAGGGTTGTACGCAGGTGGATTGGGAGAAGGAGCATAACCACCGCTGAAGTAATCATATCAGCTCGATTATCCCGTTCACGACTGGTCACATACGGGTTTGGGAATCTAAAACAGGTGATAACGCGATGGTACGATCATGAATTGAATTCAGTTGATGATGATATCAAAGCACTTACTGAGGTGGGGCACCACCGCCAGTGCCACCTTGATTGTTACTGGTGGGATAACCAGAGGTTCCTGACCACATACTGGACGAATATTAATTTGATAGGTGAATTGTGAAGGCTCAAAGAAACTTGGTGTAATGGGCGACTTTAGAGAGTCAAAGTTCAAGCTAAGCGCTGCGCCAGACTCCACAGCAATCTCGTGCACCGCCACTCACTACTCCAGCCACCGCTATCAAGAGCGCTTCTTGAGCATATCACTCATGAATGTCTGAACCGCGAAACATGTAATTCGACCAAGTCGCATCGCCGTACAGGTTGCGCATCTGATTTTTGGAGACTCACAATGGTGCTAAGCTGACGTGCTCGGCTGTAATTTTAGCCGTCCAGGCGGCTTAGCGATTCCGCTTGGAGTACAAGATTCAAGCAATCACTCATAACGACCGCGGCTTTCAAATTTCTGTGAGTAATATGATACTGTCCAGAAAGTCACCGATAACTATCATTCCTCAATCAGGGCAGGGTTCAATCTTTCTGACTGAGTGGGCTTTATCGAGGTATCTCTAGTATCTACTGATCAATCTGTGTTTTCCTTTTGCAGTATAACTTCTGAAGAAACTACGCACTGTCGCTCAATTTATATATCAGGGCACCGCACCGCGTGTAACCCTGTGTGACGACTCCATCGTTAAGCCGGTATACGTGTTGGCCTCCCTCGGACTCCTCTAAACAACTATCGAATCGAGTATGATGCAACTTGTTCGTCACACACAACATAATTATGACACAAGCTTCTCATTTGCTCCCGTCTTTTTCATTCAACACTTCGTCGGCTTTGTCACAAGATCCGTCTCAGCTTCTCCGGACCGCTGTCGACAAGTTCGCGATAATTATTATGTGTCGGACTTGTAACGATCGGTGTTCTTCGGTGTTGTCCTACCATCTCGGAAGGATATCCACGCCATTTATTAATGTTGTTCCGGACCTACCTCCGGGTTTTTAGGATTGTTGCGTGAACGGCTGTGGACGGCTAAGGATCTCCCCGCACCAGCCCGCACCCCGCACAGATTCTCCGTTTCGATCAGGCCTTGCTCCATCGAGTTTTTTTTCGGAGTCTATCCTGATTTATCCTGTGACATGAGAAATCGCGACAGAATCATAATGGGGATGTGCCAGACAGTATAAAGACAAGCTGCATCTGTCATTGAGCCGAGTGAGCAACTCTTCTTCATCAATTACAATGGGTGGAGGCCACGCTGGAGGTGCAAGCCCTTACGCTGCAAAATTCCGCCAAGGTCTGCAAGGCCAGTCAGGATGGGTAATTTCTTTAGAATGATCATGTCTAGTGCTGCGTGCTCAACACACTACGCAGGCTGGGCTTGTCCATAATCGCAAAATTTTCGCTAATGCAGTCTTCGCTTCTCTTGGTGGTTTGCTATATGGTATGACCCTACCGCCATGTTTCCTTTCAAGGTCATACTGACACGGTGAAGGTTATAATCAGGGCGTGTTTTCCGGCGTCCTGAGGTGAGCTCTCATGCTAGCTTGTTTTTATCCATTATTCTAAAACTATTTCAGTATGTATTCGTTCGACCAGCGTATGGCGGCCGCCGTCGGCAGTCCAGGAACGAAGGGTTGGCTTGTGTCTATCCTCGAACTTGGAGCTTGGTTCGGTGTTCTGTCTACCGGGTACTTGGCTGACAAACTCTCTCGCAAATACTCCATTGTGCTTGGTTAGTGTACTTCTCTTTCGCGACGGGAGGAAGCTGATTTATCCATGCAGCCGTATGTGTATTCTGCGTTGGTGTCATCGTCCAAACTGCGGCATTCCAGGCCTCGTCAATATATGGCGGTACGCTCTTTGAGTCTTTTCAAAGCCCCGCGCCTGAACGTTATCTCAGGGCGTTTCATCACTGGTCTTGGTGTCGGATCGCTCAGTATGGCGGTGCCTCTGTACAAGTATGCCATAGCAGTCCCCCTTTATGTTCTTACTAACCGTTTACCAGCGCCGAAATTTCCCCTCCTGAAGTTCGCGGTAGTCTGGTCGCTCTTCAGCAACTTGCTATCACCCTCGGGATTTTGGTCTCGTTCTGGATTGACTACGGTACCAACTATATTGGTGGTACGGGAAGCGGGCAGAGCGAGATTGCATGGCGCGTTCCATTGGGCATGCAGCTCGTTCCTGCTATCATTCTAGGTGTTGGTATTCTTTTCATGCCTTTCTCCCCAAGGCATGTCTCTACTCCTGTCTACGACACGTTACAAATCTTATGGTGTACAGGTGGCTTGTGAACCAAGGTCGCGATGAAGAGGCTGTTGCCGTGCTTAGTAAGGTTCGCCGCCTCCCTGCGAACTCTGACATCGTCCAAATCGAGTTCTTGTGGGTCACAAGGTCATTGATGCTTTGGTATTTCTGACTCATAGTCTTCTACAGAGAAATCAAGGCTCAATACCTCTTTGAAAAGGAAGTAAATGCTTTGCAGTTCCCTCAATTCCAGGATGGGTCGTTCTCGTCGAATTTCAAGCTCGGTCTTCACGCCTATATGAGTCTATTTACCTCACGCAGTATGACCCTCCACAGTAGGATCGAAATTTGAACGCTAACATTGCCCTCGCCAGCTCTCTTTTACCGTGTCATTGTTGGCTCAGGGTGAGTGACTGTTTCTACCGCAAGGACTCAGCCTAACAAGATCCCAGGACCATGTTCTTCCAGCAATGGACAGGCGTTAACGCCATCTTGTACTATGCGCCCAGCATCTTTGGTGACCTGGGCTTGACGGGTAACGCAACTAGCCTTCTTGCTACGGGTGTTGTCGGCATTGTGTATGCTTCGCCCCCTATATCCATGCACATAACTGACATAACTCAATCAGCATGTTCCTTGCTACTATCCCCGCCGTTATATGGATCGATAAGGTCGGCCGTAAGCCGGTCTTGATCTCCGGTGCTCTCATCATGGCCGCGTTAGTGTTACGTTCTTGCACATGAAACCCGTTGTTCTGAACGTTCCATACGCATGATTAGGTGCCATCTCGTTGTTGCAGTACTGACCGCGTTGTACCACGATTCTTGGGCATCGTGCGTCTCATCAATATTCTGGTTATGGTACTCTAACTAAAACAACTCACCAGGCACGCTACCGCTGGTTGGGTGGCTTGCGCTTGCGTCTGGGTCTTTTCCGTCGCCTTTGGTTACAGTTGGGGTCCGTGCAGCTGGATCCTCGTTGCTGAGGTTTGGCCCCTGAGTATACGTGGCAAGGGTGTTTCTATTGCCGCATCGTCCAATTGGGTTCGTTCTTCTGATATCTCTAGGACTTGTGCTGATCATCATTTGGAAACAGATGAACAATTTCATTGTCGGCCAAGTAACGCCATCAATGCTAACTCATATCGGCTTTGGAACGTTTGTGTTCTTCGGCGTGAGTCCTCTATTCATTTACTTATTTCAAGGTCTCATGGAAATTGACGCAGTCGTTCGCCTTCGCCGGCGCCTTTTTCATCATGTTCTTTGTACCTGAGACCAAGGGCCTCACGTTGGAAGAAATGGACGACGTGTTTGGAGACCGTGAAGGTCTTGCTGTTGCGGATCAACAACGCCAGAACGCTATCGCTGACCGCATTGGCTTGACCGCATTTGGCCGGGGCCAGCCCGCATCTGACATCGAAAAGAGCAGCCACGAGCTCTTTCACGATGAGGGAAAGGCTTAATAATGTCTTGCACACATGTTTCTATGTTCTCCGAAATATCTGATACACTGTATTATATTGTTCCGCAATCACCCTAGTGGTGAACATGGCGATGGAATAGTAGATTGAATTATAATCTCGTTGAGCATTCCTAAGCATCCCTTAGTCGTTGCAATGATGCCGTGTCTCGTAGCGAAGTGAGATACCTGGTGTCCGCAAGGCCAACCGTGCTCCTTTGAGAAGTTGAACATCCAAAAACATCCCCATTTCGTAATCTTTCCGTCGATGTTAAGTTTTAACGTTCTGGGGAGCCCCAGTAGATCTCTAGGGCTACCCTGGGGTATTTGGATCCATTGCCTGGCGATTCCCCGCGTACCTTCCATAACAAGGAAGAATCAGTCTCTCTTCAGATCTATTCCCTATGGGAGACTCGGATCACACTCAGACTACGTATGTTTGGCCACTGATAAAAATCGATGCTTGCCAGCCTTTGCTACCTGGCAGCGCTTCACTGGCCAAGTCAATTTTCTCACCATGATCTTATCGCGATGAGCTTGAGTCTGAAGCAGCGAATGCACGCATATGACAGTCGATGTGTCGCGTAGACTGAAAATATTCCTTCGTCTCCCAGTATTAATTTGAACCTGGACCCTCAGATATCAGCCTTCAATGGACGGCATGCGTAACGAGACATATTGACTGTCATATGTCTGCAGGTATGCGCTGGTACGCGTTGTCACTTGTGATGACGTGGATCGAATCGTTTCATCAACCTCATCGGATAGTCCTCGTTGAGCAACCAGTGCGCTGAGTACACGCATTCGGAACGACCCTTTGAATTGGATACGAAGTTTCCTAGACAAGGTCCCATCCCAGCGGTGGAATCCGAGCAACTGGCACCCTTGGTACTTGGTGACTTTCCGTAAGGATTTACAGACAAATTTCTCTTAGCCGAATAGCTACGCTAGACTTGGAATGCTCTCGCAGTCTCGCACCTGTCTGTAATTTTACAAATAGGCTGTTGAGGGGTAGCTACATACCTCCGCAGATGTCCCCCAGTTTCCCCGAAGTTTCCCCCTCCACAAACTTTCACAGATCGGGTGGCCTCCTGTAATTTCCCGTAAGAATCGTAGCGCGGTAGTAAATGTCTGACACGGGCCTATTTTTGTCGTAAATGAGCCGATGGTAAATTCTTGAGGGAAGTCACCCAATGTGATTAGATTAGTCGACGCGAGTCGGGCCTAGTCGGGCTCGTCATCACGCGCTGGCGGGATGACACCATCGGATATTTGTTCTTATTCGAGCCGTGTGTGTGCGACAGAGTTGGTCAAGCGCATCTCGCGGCTCGCCTAGTTGGGCAGATGATGAGGTGGTAGTATGTGCAGGGACCTAGATCGCTAATGATAATCAGGACGCCTCGTTGTCTGGCCTTGTCTGGGCACGCTAACAGAATGTCGTCGCTCCTCGGACCTCGCATTGGTTTATCCAATCTGAGATGCGTGACGCGGTGACTTTGCCAACGGGAAATTGCCATCGAGTTGCTACAAGCGTTATTCGAGAATCAATCAGAAGAGGAAAACAAATTTCTTGTCGTCCACTTGCGCAGTCTCAGCCTTCGAGCGCAAGCAGCTCGAAGTTTTTCGGAGCACCGTTGACAATGAAGGTCACTCAGCTTAAGGTAGTCTGCATGCAGAACCAACCCAGACCGTCGTCGAAGGTTGGTTCGGTTGTGAGATTTTTGCTCTGGAGTCTGCACAAATTAAACTAGAATTCACTTTATTGTTTTACGCAGCTTGGACGGAGTACAGTGTAAAGGTGCCAGTGCGATGAGTCCCCCGTACTCATGAAGCAGGAGCATGAGTATACTGGCTTAGCACTTAAGTCTTAGAAGAAGGAAAGATGCCGACTGCCTGAGGTCAGTAAAGTGGAACCTTGCCCGGGAAAACGACAAGGAACACTAAACGAGTCAGACGAAAGTAACAGGACGAAACTGTGGATTCTTTAAGCGTTGTACTAATGGATATGTGATGGTAGGTAGGAGACTCGAGTCTGGATGAATGGCACGAGAATGGGGGAATATATGGGGAAGGGTCACATGACATATGATAGGGTAAGCGCGTAGTAAGCGTTCAGCTTACATAAAGCTAGGTAAAGCTTGGTTCTTGAGTGCCTTCCTATTTAGGAACAGCGATTTTCAATTGCTGATTAGGCTTGTCGTGGTCCGATGATCACCTCCATGATACTCACCTTTGCCCAGTGCACAACCGACCACCTATGTACATAGATCAACTTTTGAGGCATACGTGGTGAAATTTAATCTTTAGGATCTGCATTTAAATCACATTACCATGTCATCTTGTGGAAACCCAGCCGCAGACGAGGAAGCCCTCATGCCTCGTAAGTTCTTTCAACTTCAACTGTCTCTACGAGTCTCTCATCCGCTTGGGAAGGGCGCCTGAAGTTCGGCAAATCAAGGGACTGCGTCAGATGCAGGTTAAAATCAGGTAACATCGTGATCCGCCATGCGGTGTATTGCAAGTGAGCGTTCGTTCATTTCAGCGAGTAGCGTATCTGACTATATGTCTTACAAGAGAATGCTTCACTCCAATGGTAGAAATGAAATTTAGAAAAGCCCTGGAACCTTCGGTCAATGCTAGGGCAGGAACTTCGAAGCGACCGAAACTCAAGGCATCGGGAAACCTATGCTTGGCATTCTCTGGCGGCCTAGGATCGTCGATTTTGCTGGATATCGTGCATAATACATATTTCTCCAGTCGACCACCCTTGGACGATTCAGGGAAACCAAGAGGTGGCACACATCATCCGCGCAACGCCAGCGTATGGTCGTCATGTAATGTTTGTTATGTAGAGGTATGCGGAGCTTTTGCTGGGGTGAGTCACAGCTGTATCTCCGACCGTGATTCAGTCACATATGTGCAGCTAGATGCCAGACAGAACCGAAGATATTCGATCTGTAATCGAGCGATATCCATCATTTGATTTCGTGCCTCTGCGAATAGAAGATGCATTCGATGGCTCTTGGTGGACCAAAGTTTCTGGATCAAGTAATATCCCCCAGATATCATTGGAACTCAACAAAGAAGGGCTAATTGCAGACGGTAGGGTTACAACAAGGCATCTATTCTGTATATACTGAACTCTGTGTTGTCAGGGCTTCATGTCACTTCCCAATTGACTGGTCTAACGCCAATCGAGGCTTTGCGGTCGTATCTATCATCTCTGCCTACCCAGACTGCAATTTCTAGTGCCATACAGAATCTCACCCGAGTACTTATCTTGCATACCGCCCACTCCAACGGTTCCTCGCATTTGCTCTTTGGATCATCTCTTACGTCGCTGTCTATTTCTCTCTTATCATCTATATCTCAAGGTGGAGGGTACACGACCCGCGAGGAACTTCAGGAGGAATGGACACCGGTTGCTACTTCTGGTTCGAAGCCTAATGGTGTGCTCAGGGTTATCCGACCTCTTCGAGACGTCACTGCGAAAGAATGTGCTGTCTATGCGTGGTGGAACGGCGTGACAGTCATTGGTCGAGACAAGCAGAGGCGTGCGATATTAGGAATAGCAGCCTTGACCAAGAGTAAGAGACGAGTTTTTGCGTGCATGACACAGGACTAACGCATTGCACAGATTTTGTAGTTGGGCTCGAGAAAGACTATCCTTCGACTGTTTCGGCCATCGCCCGGACCTGTGAAAAACTGGAACCAAAGGATGCGCCGAGCGGGCAATGCAGGCTGTGTAAGCGGTGAGGTTTCTTGACTACATTTAACTCGGTTCAGGTGACTAAGACAAGATCTGTCAGACCGATGCAGTCTGGCATCCAAGAGTGGAAGGGTCGTATATCAATAAGATCTTATTCAGATGACAAACTGGCTGCGGACTTGACCCACATCCCGCCCTCGTGCAGAGGCAATCTTGACACGACTACCTCATCGCAATTGCCACCGCCACATGCACTGACCAATTTCCTTTGCTATTCTTGTCACACGACCCTGACCAGCAGGAGTAGTCGAGGAGTTAAGCAGTCGGCTCCTGGTGTATCCTCAGCTGCGCCATTACCTATCTGGATGGCAGATCGTGGCCTTCACGAGGATGGACTAATAGGCGATGGAGCTCGGCGCAAGGTTCCGGAGGAAGAGATGCTCAATACCGTGGCAGAGTTTCTCATCGACAATCAGGATTGCGAGGAATGAGGTGCTGATAACACTTCTTGTAGCCGTTAGAACGTGTATCGTTAGCGACTTTACCTGATGGGGACCAAGCTTCAAGGGTGTGTTGTTGTACTGAATAGGTCCAACGCAGAATCATCACACGTGAACTTGATTTCGGCTGGTAAGCCCCCTCAAGCGCGATTCGCTCAATTGTCTAGTTATCCCCCTCGGTTCTTTTCGCCCTCGTCGTCTATTCACTGGTCTCATGGCCTGCTGACTGTTATCTAATGATTAATTCATGGATTATTCCCTCGCTCGCAAAATCATCGAGTGACTCGGCATTGACGTCAAGGTCTTGTTGACTAGAATCACGAGCACATGGACTCGTGGCCTATCAAATAATGGTATTCAAAGGAAAGTTCTGAACGTTCTGAAACCACCCTGAAACAAGTCTTTGAACGCCACTAAATAATTAAATGATTATCGGGCATCTCAACGCCAAGGCAGGAAGTGATATCGTGGCCGTAAAAACACTAGTCCTGATGTGTTCTTTCCCAAATATTGAGAGCAATAACCCCGGCTCATGCGATGTAGTAATACCACAGCTCACCGATTATGACGTCTGTAGGGTGCGGTCAGTAAGGTCAACTCGTTGGATCTCCCTGATGCCGAGTCCACGATTTTAGGCAACCTAGTAAAAAGATCAAGATTTCCTCTGGAAGAGTCTAGAGATACGCGACACCGTGGCAGAGTTTCTCATCGACAATCAGCAATCTGGAATGTCATGAGGCCTAGTGAGGTACTGATATAACGCTTCTTCGCAATCGCGGGCTGCAGTTAGAACGTGTATCATTAGCAAATTTTGCCATTCGGACTACATATGCTAATCTTCTATAATATCTTAGCCTAGGTATTTTTTTTCAAGTAAGTCACCTCAAGTGAACGGTCCTCAATTGGCCTTGGCCTAGACCTTCATCAGGTACAGTAACGTTCAACGGAACCATTAACATCACGTACTAGTATCACGTCTAGTCGTAATTCATCGATCCACCCTACATAGCCGAGGGCTTTAAATACATCCAGCTTCCTGCTTCTAGCTGCTTCAGATCTACAACTTGTTCTCGGGCGCTGCGATGCTTGCAGAAGATCATTCTCCATGAGTTTTTCGGTGATGAAGTCCAGCGAGACTTGTCGGAATCATACCAGTCCAAGAAGAACACCATCTTGAAATCTCATGGAAGACCACCCTGGTAGTTTCGCACTGGTTTTTTGTAGCCCTTCAACTCCTAACGTTTGCGTGCGACCAGGTACGGGGAGGATGGACTGCCCATTTGCGATGCGTTCGTGGTCGGGATAGCTGGTGAGTGACTAAGTATTGTACAGTCTTGCATTTTGTCAACGTCACGGTGGGTTCAGGCGGATCGGCAAGTGGGAAGGTGAGACTGCAAGTTGAGAGAAGCTCAGAGAGATGAATTTGGGTGATGGCAGACTCATGTTGCTCGGCAAATCGTTCGTTCATTGGGCTCAGTACCTACTGTCGTTATCCTATCCCAGGTCAGTGTCGCAGAAGTCATCAGGAGAGTGACAGAGGTGACATGGGATCCCCTGTTTAGGACAGCTTTTACAAGCGACATACCCCAGAAGAGGTTGCGCTGGCGCATGCGAATCGAATCGACTTTGACCACCCGGATGCCATTGACATGCCAATGTTTGCTGCTGTCCGTATGTTTATTTATGTTCAAATTCTTCACTAAATTACTTCTAGTGTCTCGCGGAATTGAAGGCTTGCCGGCAGACCAATATTCCCGTTTACTCGTTTGCCGAACACCAGCGGCTAGATGAGGTCAAGTATTTGTATGGTGCGGCTATCATAATAAGTCAGTGAAGCCACTTCCTGTTACGAATGCTGAGGCAAAACCATGTCTTCAGCGGAAGGTATAATGGCTCTACATGATCCGGAATTACGATCTTTATATGATCTTAAGGTATCCTATCGCTCAGCAAGTCGTACATCGAGGACTCACCGTTGCACAGGTGTTTGTGCAATGTGACTCGGATTTGATGCTCGCTCGGAGAATACAACGGGACGTCAAGGAACGCGGAAGAAACGTCGAGGGGGTTCTCGAGCAGTATGTGTTCTTCTCTGCTGGGGATCCTATCTCTTTGTAACCATAGCCGCCTAGATATCTTCGTTATGTCAAGCCTGCATTCGATCATTTCGTTTTGCCAACCGCTCGCCATGCAGACATCGTGAGTGTACATATTATTTCAATTGCTTTGATGTACTATTGTTTTCAGGTTGTTCCAGGGTCGAATAACTCTGTTGCCATTGACTTGATATCGACACACATTCGACGTCAAATGACGGAACGCTGCGAGACACTTCCGGAAACACATAGCTTCTCAATCAATTGATTCTTGCTTGAGTACGTCGGACGGTAGCCCGGTGTCCAAGAACCTTATAGTACTGCCGCAAACACCACAATTGAAGGTCTGTCATTCCGTCCTCAACGAGAGTCGTTGCTTATGCTTCTGGGTGGGTGAAGGGCATGTATACCGTTCTTCGCGATGGGGCATCGAACCGCCAGGATTTTATATTCTTCGTAGACCGATTGGCAACGTTCTTGATCGAGAAGGCGATGGAACATCTTCCTTACAGGCCTAAGACGGTCACGACCCCAACAGGAGTAGATTGCGCCGGCAAGGAACTTGATGTCAAGGTATGTTATCCCGCTGATGGTTTCAGTATCTGGCCTTTAAAAGTCGTCTTAGAACATCTGCGGTGTTTCAATCATACGCTCGTACGTCTCAATGACCCAGCCAACTTTTAAACTAACCCGTTCGTCCAGAGGCGGACCTCTAACAAGGGGACTACAGCGCGTTCTCAGTGACGTTGCAATTGGCTCTCTTCTGGTGCAATCCGATTCCAAAACTGGAGAGCCACTACTCCTACATGTGATGCTCCCAAAGTGCTTGCGAGAGCGACATCTAGCCGTCGATACTTGGGTTTTTTTGCTAGATGCTCAAGTCAGCACTGCTGCCTCGGCCTTCATGGCGATTCGCACACTATTAGATCATGGAGTCCAGCAAGATCACATTATCTTCGTAACATTTCTAATTGCCCGCACTGGTGGTCTCACTGTTCTTCAGCGGGCCTTCCCGAAGGTCAAGATTGTTACTGGTGCGGTGGATGAAGTTCTCCGTGAGGCTTGGCTTGAAAGTTACAATGAAAAGGGCGAGGGCCAGAGCGAAGGCGACGGGAAGAAAGTCTGGGTTGTAGAGCCCGGGATGGGCCACATCGGTAGGAAATTGCACCTGTTCACAGCATGCATCCCTTATGCATCCTTTTCACAGGCGACAGATACTACCTCTGAATTTGGAATGCCTGCCCTACTAAGTGTGTAGCGGATCTTGAATGGGGTCTAGTTGGGATGTACATGCTCTAGAACCTGCTACCACTAATTCACCACTAATTGTCAGAGTGCATCATCATAATCATTGTGATGTTTGACTCTCCGGCGGCCTGGCTTGCAAATATTGAACTCTGTCAAATCGGAATCCTCTTCGCCAACACCGGCTGCATGGGCTCGCTGATGCATATATGTTCTCATCATCAAGAACGCGTGCATTATTGTGCAACGCTATTACTGGCGTTATGTTTGAAATTTGAGGTTCGAACTTCGCATCAATTGAGTCAACACAGGATCAGGACAGAGAGTTGAATCCCCTTCGGCGCTCGTACAGTCTTCGAGTTCATCCCCCACCCGGTCGCGCTGCAGCTGCCGACCTAATTTTGCTGTACACGAGTCGGACTTGCATATGCGGTGTAGCTAAGTAAGGCCTCACTAGATAATTGACTTGCGCTCCGGTGTCTTCGCGGAGGTTCAATGTTACACAGCTCTTTGCTTGTTTTTGGGACATTGAATACTTGTGATTAGCTAACGAGAACGCACGCACCAGCGCCGCTGCCTTTATTGAATATGGCGCGTGGTCGACGGGTGCGACCACATTGAGCTTTTGGTCTCCTGTAGAGAGCTCGTGCTCGTTATTTGAGGGACATCGACCTCCTTAGAAATTCCGTCGGTTGGTGCAGCAACGAAGTCTGGGTTGAAATGAGATAGGAGCTGCTGCAAAGTGTATGATTGCGAATGTTTTGGTGGCTGTGCGATTATACCACTTTTTCTATTGACTGAATGGACGTACGTTGCACGATTGAGACTCATTGAACAAGTTGTAACCATAAATAATCAGACAGGGTTCAAATGCTTTGAACAAGTCCATGCAAAGCCTGTGGTCTACTCACAGGAAGGCGAAACTCAATTTAAATGCTGCTCCGCTTACGCCTGTCGAGACGCCTCCTCTAGAAGATACAAATAAACTACCTCTACCCGCGTCAGAAAACCTAGTTGATTCAGGACCCTCAATATCTCCTCCATCTTCCATAATACCTGCTACGAATGATGTAACCGCACCCGACGCTCGTCCCCCTCCTTCAAAGCGAAAATTGCGCTCAGCTCGTTCAGCAGTGGAAGACAGCAGTAGTAAACGACCGAAGCTTTCTAGCAATGCCATAGCGAAGGATCACACTCCCCCTGCCACTCGGTTGTCTGATTTAGGTGGTGTGGAGGCATGTGTGGAAAAGATGCTCGAGCTGGTCGCGATGCCTCTTTGTCATCCGGAGATCTATCTGCACACTGGTGTGCAGCCTCCACGAGGAGTTTTATTACATGGCCCTCCTGGGTGCGGGAAGACCCTTCTAGCGAACGCCATAGCTGGGGTGAGTACGCCCACGCCATTGTGAGCAAGTTGACTGATAGGGTTTAGGAATTGGGTGTTCCATTCATCAACATATCTGCTCCTTCAATCGTGTCTGGCATGTCTGGAGAGTCCGAAAAAACGCTACGAGATACATTTGAGGAGGCTAAGGTATATCTCATTCTATATGAAAAATTTCCTTCACCCTGATCATTACGGACAGCGCGTCGCGCCGTGCCTACTGTTCATCGACGAGATCGATGCTATCACACCAAAACGAGAGAGTGCCCAAAGGGAGATGGAACGACGCATAGTGGCACAGTTCCTAACGTGCATGGATGGTAATTTTGGTCTCATTTTCTTCGACACCATCTTCTAACCTGACCCGTGCAGATATGTCCTGGGAGAAGACCGAAAACAAACCTGTCATTGTCATTGGCGCCACCAACCGACCAGACTCATTAGACGCTGCTCTCCGTCGCGCAGGTCGATTCGATCACGAGATTAGCATGGGCGTCCCGGACGAGGAAGCCCGCAACAAGTAAGTCCATAGTGTCACACCATCCGTTTTGATTCCATTTGATGTTATTTGCAGAATATTGCGTGTACTCTGTGCAAAACTTCAATTAGATGGTGACTTCAACTTCGCTGCCTTTGCTAAAGCCACGCCTGGTTATGTAGGCGCAGACCTATCAGCATTGACAGGTGCAGCGGGCATCATCGCCGTCAAACGCATATTCAAGCAACTCACAGACGGCACGCTCGTCCTTCCAGAGGTGCCAGAAACCATCGATCAGGATACCTCTATGGCTGTCGATCCACCACCGACGCCCCCAGCCGAAGCCTCCCCAAGCATCACCCCTTTTGTCTCTCTAGCATCCCAACTCTCTACTTCTTCTATCGCACACTTCCTCAGTGCACATCCCTCTCCCCTCACACCCGCTCAGCTTGCCCCTCTATGCATTACTTCCGACGATTTTTACGCCGCCCTACGTGAAGTCCAGCCTTCCTCCAAGCGCGAGGGTTTTGCAACCGTGCCAGACGTGACGTGGGCTGATATCGGCGCACTGCATGGTACGCGTGAAGAACTACATATGGCGATCGTGCAGCCTATCAGACGCCCTGAGCTGTTCAGTGCTGTGGGCATCGAGGCAGCGTGCGGCGTGCTACTGTGGGGCCCGCCGGGGTGCGGAAAGACCTTACTGGCGAAAGCTGTCGCAAATGAGTCCAGGGCAAATTTCATTAGCGTCAAGGGCCCTGAGCTTCTAAATAAGGTGGGTCCAGCTGTGTTTTCCTCCTAAGATTGCGGGATTGCTGATGAAAGTGCAGTACGTCGGCGAAAGCGAGAGAGCTGTGAGGCAGGTCTTCTCTCGTGCCCGTGCCTCATCTCCCTGCGTGATCTTCTTCGACGAGTTAGATGCTCTCGTTCCTCGGAGAGACGAAAGCATGGTATGCACCCCTCCATTTTCTACTCCAATATCTATTTCACATGCCTATTCTACAGTCAGAATCTTCCGCGCGTGTCGTGAACACACTCCTAACAGAGCTAGACGGCCTAGACTCCCGCAAATCCGTCTACGTTATCGCTGCAACAAATCGCCCCGACATGATCGACCCAGCTATGGTCCGCCCAGGGCGCCTCGACAAGCTCCTCTATGTTGACTTACCAAGCCCAGACGAGCGCGTCGAGATCGTGCGCACGCTCGTGCGCAAGGTGCCATTCGCACCCACAGAACAAGGCGCAGAAACGATCCTGCAGGGCGCAGAGTGCATCGTACGGGAAAAGTGCGATGGGTACAGCGGTGCGGATCTGGCAGCTGTCGTTAGGGAGGCAGGCGTCATTGCGCTTAAACGCGTCCTTGGTGCACTTGATCAGATGGATGAGAGTGGGGGTTTAGTGGAGGATAGACCGCAAGTGCTGGTCGTCTTGGAGGATTTTGTGCGTGCTCAGGATAAGGTCGGTCCTAGTGTGTCTGCGGTACAGCGGAGGAAGTATGAAGCGCTGCGAGCCAAGTTTGCTGGCCTTCCTGTGCGGACGGGAAAGGATGTTGATTAGAAATGGGTTGTTCTCGATATGAGTGCGATAATAACGAGACGCAGCTGGGAAACATCAACCTGCAACGCATGCGTGATTCGTTTGGCCGAGTACTGACATGAACCTTGAGACCTTATATTTGCTACTAGGTACCGCTCCCGTATACTTGGGTAGGCGAAAACACTGCTATTGAGAGTGGAGAAGGTGTGCATGGATGAATAATTGAAGATTCGGATAATGTCGATTTCATTGTCGTGTGGCTCATTAGGTGAGCTCCAGCCATCCATCAATATTCAATCTTATCTACACAGATCTACAGTCGCAATGCACACAGCTGTAATACAATCACTGCCATATTGCGATGATCCTGCAATCCTGTGCAAGCAAAATCGATTTCTTATAGCGTTCCCGGCAGGCATCCCAGCGGCCTTACTGTCTCACCTAGCAGATACCTAGTTCATTAACAGGTATGCGTACAGTACAAAGGTCGTCGCTATCCTGACATACGCCCTTCTAGCATTGCCGTGTCCATGTGAGATACCGTAAAGATGAGGCGATCTTCCAATGACAATGCACACCCACGGTGATGCCACCCCGAGTTTGATCGCCGTTGGTTATCTTGGCGAAATATTGCACACTTGATTCGCGCCCATGATGCGTTGATCATATAGTGACTACCTTCTCCGCCTCTCTCATGGCAGCTTCTTTCGAACTGGCAGAACAAAATAGGAATCCATCTAGTCTGATGCCCTATGATGCCCTCCCGAATCGCCAGGATGGAATCGACTCGATAATGTCTAACACAAAGGCCACTGTCGGGACTGGAGCCAATTTCAACTACGACCGCAGTCTGACGTCGTAGATATGCCTTTGTTGGAGTGGCATCATCAGCTCAATACTTGTCTTCCAGCCGACGTTACATCGTACGTACGAAGTTCCACCTCGCACGCTGCCACCTCTGTCCGAAGATGAGATTCGGATAGTAGTCCCCTTTCTGTGGGGTACTGGCGCTGTAGAGTTTGCTTTGAGATTGTACACCATACTTAACAACCTGAGCGCTCCCCATTTCTCCCACCGCCGGCTGCATCTTCCTTGTATTACATCTCCCGTCATAGACGTCAGACAGAGACACGATAAAGGCCAAGAGACGCGACCTACGTATGAAACCAAAGCAAACGGACTTGGTGACCTGTCGATCACCACGGAAGACAAGCTGATTCCGTTCTCGCCTGCAAGACCGCTGCCCCTTTGGCAGACATTCTTGCTTGTCCACCCGTGGAATCGTTGCCTCCTTGAGCTACCCGACCCTACAGACGATATGCAGAGCAATGGAGATTAGGCCGTTCTTGGGTCTCCGTTACACGATCCGCTAGGCTGATCTCCTGGAGAAAATGAGCCGGATGATACAGGGTCTCACTCGCGAGTATTGTGATTGATTGTTCCCCTCGGACAGCCTTCCAGCGCATTTTTGCTAGCGCGACAGCATAGTAGAGAATACAAGAGAATCACGTCGGATCGTGATATTATTGCACAAGTTAAAACACAGCTTCTGTTCACGACATGAGCGGTTTTTATTTCTATGTTGACAGTACCTTACAACTCACAAGTAATCCAGTTCAGTGTACACAAATACCCCCGCGGTATGTTGGTGCTCGTTATCGTGGTCCATGAATTCTTTTCTATAGAATATGAAATACGTTCTGTACATTTTGAAGGGGATCGATGGAACCGGACTATGCCAGGTTCTAGGGTTTCCAACTCCATCACCGTTCGGGAAAATAGACGGTCCAAATTGACACCAATCCATAATAATTAACAGACATTCCCCGAGAGCTGTAGCTCTTCTTTCTACACATCACGTCCGACTAAATGATCTGTTTCCTCTATGATGGGGACAGTCATGGATTCGCATTCCCCTCGCAAGAAGCTATTGATTTAGTGGGTCGGGGGGTTGCTCCTATGTGCAAGTGTACTTGCAGGATGATGAGACAGAATACGATCCCCTGAAGAAAAGTTCTATGAACAGCTGCGTCTTAGCTAAGTTGAAATTCAATTTACCACAATAGGAGGGGCAATATCCATTGCAGGGTATTGGCCGTTTGATCCCGTCACGAATGCTAGAAGGAGCGCAAGGACACTTGTGGCATATAAAGCGCCACTTTCAACGATGACGATGAAAACGGGTGAAAGAGCAACAAGGCCGTCTGGCGTAGAACGGCGAGCACGATAGATGCGCCAGGCAATCAAAGCTGTTTATATCCTGATCGTCATGAGCCTGTCGATCGGATACAGAATAGACGCACTAGTGCAAACAACACTGATAAGTATGGTCAAAATATAGAATGTTGTAATCAATCCAGGAGCAGTGGTGTAAACAGTCGACCCTACACCAGCTCGAGAAAGGGACCAGACAACATAGTACCCAATCGCTGTGAAATGTCATGGGATAAGATGGTGGTACCTGTCGACGTGATGCTCACCCCCATTGGTTAACAGCACAATACAACCAGGAATGGCAACTAAGAGGCTACTGTTGTTGAGAACGTAACATCGCCAAATCTACTGTCCTATTCAGGAAGAATAACATGGCAAGAGAAAAAGCTCACAAGGACACCATCAGCGACAATGGGCTGCGTGGTGTAAAGTGCAGTTTTTGCGAGTTCCAATGGTGAAGCAAGGTTGGAATAGTAAGCATCCGCACTAATTGCACGCACACTGAATACGAACGCGTCTAGCGCTCGAACTAAATCGATGATTAGATGCTGACAATCATGATTGTGTGACGCTATTTTTCCCAATGAGTGAGATTACACTTACGGCCGTTGCAATACAAAGCAGCAAGGTTGCTACTGGGATGAGGAGGTCTCGTTGGACACCGCTTTTCTTGAGTAGTATGAACAATGTTAACCAGTACATAGTGAGGAACACTCCTGTACGAGAAAATGTGATTGAGTACGATGCCGCCTTCGAATCTAGGGGTCTGTAACACACCGTAAAACAAGGCCTCTAGAAACAATGCCAAGAGCGAAGCTTCGTCCAGAGTTATGCCCATGATCACAGTCGGCAATATCCTTGGACCGATGTGGGTCAACCGCAGGTACTAGTCACTTTGTGACCAAGATGAAGGAGGTTAAACGTTTCCCAATGCAAAGTAGTGTTGACTGATTCCTGGTGTGTGTTGGTGCTGCAATACATCCAAAGAATCCTTATATACCCAGTAACACCAGATGGTGTCATTATTACTGCGGCTGTCCAACCATCAGACGGTTGCAAACGAAGAGTCTTTCCACTAGTACTTGTTCTGCCGGTCACCGAACGTTTGCAAAAGTGAGAAACGTTCACTAGTCAGTGTCATCATCGATGCTAAAGTTTCCACCACTCACGACAAAATGAATCGACTTCCATATAGTCTAGACCATAGGTCCATATGAAGGTAGTACTAGGCGCTGGCAGCAGTAGAGTATCAGAGCCTTATCCGCATCACTGTGCACCGTGACTGGGCGTTTCAATCAAAATTCAATTGGAGAATTGAAAAGTTGATCAACGACCAAGATCATTGCCACAGTGCGGATCAAAGTCGAAGACACTAGTCTGCGTTTATGACTCAAGAGGCACCAAAACCTGTGAGCTTGTTGATAGGAACCTTCAACATTAGGGATCGATGAGATTCTTCGACTGCCAATTGGTGCATCTGTCTCGCAAAATACAGCGTGAGTTCAATCCAAGATTCCAAAGCATACTAGTCTCGTCATCACTGGCAGCGACCTCGGGGACCTGCCAGTTGAAACGTTGACGGTTCGCATGGACGTGAATCCTCCTGAACGCGGTCGAATGCTTTGAGCTGAGATACGCAATGTGGACTTCGTATTGCATAGATAAGTCAAGTCAAGACTTACTATCCCTTACGATCTATTCGTGATGGACCGTCATTTCGTGAGTCACGCTTTTTCGCGGTGAATTTCGTGACATACCGTTACACCATGTGACAAGCCATCACGTTTCCATGCCCAAAAGTGTGACTCACGAAATGGAGGCTCATCACGAATAGACCGTAACCGATAGTACATACAGTCATGATTCAACTACAGTAGAAATGTTCATAATGCATAATGCATAATGATTCATAACAAATTAGAACACAATGACTTTTGGCACAAAAAGCGATCCATGGATAGCGAGGGGCCTGGTCCATTTATTGTTGGTAATGGATAGTTTGGTGGTGCCGAGAATGATTTTCTAGGGATTTGTTTTGATTTTTTTTAAATTATGCATTATGAGCATTTCTACTGTATATAGTTCTCCCCTAGCTAGACCATATAAGAAGGAAGAGTCGTTCCTTCTTGATTATGACTCAATGAACTTCACTTCATCACGCCGCGTTGTATGGTAGTCTGCAGCCACGACCGCGGTCGCTGCTTGTATTCAACTATAAACAAGTACATCGAGTAGATATTCCAAATATTATCGAAGGTAGTCCGTCTATATAATACAACGAGTGTGAGGTAGAGTGTAAAGTGTGATAATGAATGAATTTAAAAGTACTAGTGTAGTGAATGGGAAGGAGAAACGAAGGTCAATATACTTGAAAGAGTGGACATTCTACATAAAAGGACAGATGATACGCTCTCAAGGTAGAAACTGTTCTAAAAGGTCATCTTCGTTACCGGGTACAGACAGCAAGTTCGCTCGGGAGGCTCGACGCGACTGCAGAGGATGGATCAGTATCTCAAAGCGTCAAATGACTGTTGACCTCACTAGGGTAGAACCAGAAGGACACGGCTATGATGACGTACAAGCCTGAAGGAATGTAAGCATGACAACCAACCCGGTGTTACAGAGCCTCCTCACAGATCAGGATTATACCCTCTAGCCAGTTTGATTTCCCGTCCGCAACCACATAACTCATGGTTTGCACTGCATGAGAAAATGATTAGCACGGGTGGCGTATTTCATATAGAAAGGTCAAATACCTGACACGTAGAGAACCTAAAATTCTGCTTAGCTGTAGTTGGACTAATGGATTCAAAAAGCGCTTACCACAGACTCAAACGGGTCAAATAATAAAGCCAGTGGCCTGTCTATGATCCATCCAAGGGTGACCATGAACCTTGTCCCAGCTTCGGTATCAGCAAGATGTTGAATATGACAAGTACTTACGGGATAACCAAGAGAGTGGTTTGCTACCGCTAACATGAGCTTCGTCATGTAAGAAAGAAAGAGTGACAGACTTACTATCGACGACCCGACAGCGATACTCACGCTCAGATTCAGCTGGTCCTTCACAGACGTATTGACGGCAGTTACACATTCTGCAAAGTCGAGGTGTTAAAATACTCCAACACAAACAGGAGTACCGTGTGCGTACCTGCGATAGAACTGACTGCAGGAAGCAGGACAAGACCAACCCATTGCTTGCTAACCGTTGTTGAGATTCCGTCCATGGATTCCACGAGATCTTCAGCAGTGATAGACACTGTCTAGAGGAGGCGTCGGCAGGAGCTCACTCGAGCTGATTCATCACTTACAATAGTGACCACCGTCAATAACAGAAGAGTGACCATCCAGCTAAGCTGCGGCTCTCTGAAACTTTCCGCCGCTGATGGCGACCTACGCAGATTTGCCTGTTCAGAGGTAGTCATAGGCTCTGGCTCTGGTGATGTGCCGCGGAAGGGACTGGTATCGGCGGTGGATGGTATGGGTGATGGGCTCCAAGGCGGATTTAAGGGGCCGATAGTGCTGCCATCTACATGACCATGTTCGGGTTGCGTATCTTGTGGTGACTCTTCCTCGACCAACCGATCGGCAGACTCTTCGGTAGCACCCTGGTTAGTTGTTTCTGGCAGATTTTCCTTGCTTCCTGTCAGCGTGACCTCGGAGGAAGAATTCAATGGTGAATTCCTATAGGGAAATCTGTGCAGCGGAGGGAAAATGGAAGACACCACTGAAATACGTCGAGAGCTCGAACTCGAAATTTGACGATCATGCATACTACCAGTTCTGTCGTTCAGGGACATGGACATAGAGAGCTTCTCGGAAAGATAACGCGGATTGACTGGTATCTTGACCGATAACCTGTCGCTCTTTTTCTTGGTATCTTTGTAGAGATGCTTGTGGGACCAGAACTGGAAGAGAAGATATGCAATATAAACTGTTCGCGTGCATCGTGAGCGGTCCTCGATGGAAATATAAACTCAGGACTTACTAAACATGAGTACGATCGAGACCTACGATGAGTCGATCAGATCGGGTTCTGGCAAAGTCCGAGCAATGCTTACTCCATAGCTCATCTTCAGAATATCATTCTTCTGCTCATGGGAGCCAGAATCCTTGTCGCCGCTGATCGCAAAGTGATATGCAGCAGGAAGAAGCAGAGCCCCAACGCTAATACTTAAAAGTGATGAGTGTATCTGCGTAGCGGCTGAGCCATTTGTTAGCTATCTCGGTACCGATGTAATTCATATGACCTCACTCTGGTCGAATCCTTGCTCAGAGAAGCGGAGTCCGCCTGCAAAGAAACACATTCCGAGGACAAGGACTGAAAAGTATGAATGAGGATGGTCATTAGACAACGCAGTGACATGCACGACGTACGTAGTTTGCTCAAAATTGAACCGATTACTGCGAGTGTCAAATCAAATTCTCAAATAATCTTTGTGGAACTTACGCGAAGACTGTACGATCCTTAATTCGCACTTCCTGAGCGCAGGTGATCTGAAATGGCTCAGCGGATTCTCACACACACAGGCACAGCGCTTACCGCGATAACCATCTCCACGCTTATGAGATACACGTTAACACTGTTGACAACAGCCAAGGAGCCTAAACTCACGTATTACTCTGCACGACTGGATGTTGAGGAGTATCCGATCATTAATGAAATGTGACTTACCATACTTGCATTAAGCAAACCAGCCTTTGTACCTCCAATACGGAGTGCCAGCTCACGACTTGAAAGATCGTGAAGCTAGAAAATGAATCCTCGATTCAGGCGACCGACGGAATAGTGTGTGCCACACCTTTACAAGGGGAATCATGGACAGGATGCTGACTGTTGAGGAGTCTCTCAACGGTTCGAAAAGAATTCAGGCTGATGCTTACAGATAAAGATAACCTTGTGGTGTTTCTCGAGCACAAAGCTCAGCGTCCACTTGGAACAGAGACGCAATAGTTAGTGAATCAAATGGGAGGTATAAAGGGGCTCACGCACAGAGACAGGGATCAACAGCAATAAAAGGTTGAACCCTACGACCGTCAAGCTCGGGGTAGGGGCATGTAGGTCGTGATGCACTCACATGAGCCAAAAAGAACGACTCTCCAGCCACGCCAGACGTTTGTCGTGGAACCGGGTCCCTTTCCCTTTCCGCCATCAGGCGGCGGTCTGCTCTCTTCAGGTTCCACAGGCAAGTCAGATACGGACGGTAAATTCCATCGAAACGGCGATTCCGTTAGTCTCGCTCGACCCTAACAGGCTTTTGTCTGCGGTAAACAGCATCGACGTCGGACTCCATGAAGTACCTGAAAATCTAGAACCTGGTGGCTGGAGAGATGGATTACCATCTGATGGTCTATTGGGATATGTCGTGTCTGGAGATGAAGGCGAGGGAGGATAACTGTAAGCCCGCATGATGTCTGGTGTAGTGGATCCCGGTGAGGGTTCAGAAGACATAGCAGGCGAGGTACAACTCTGACGCGAGGCTCACCCGTGAGCGTCGAGGGAAAGGAAAGGGACACCCAGTTCAACAAGTTTCCGCAGTATATTTTACTTGTGGGTCGGTGAAACGGCATTTCATTGACGTTCTCGGCATAACATGAATTCTAGCGCATCGTCGTTCGTAAACACCTTCCTTTTCCTGGAAAGCAAATTTGATTTACATGAAACTGTTATCAGAGATTTGGCGAGGCTAGCGAGGGGAGGCATAACAATAAAGAAACCATTGTAACATGCTCATTGGACTGGGTAAGTTGGGGTGATGATGATCTGGTGAAGGGCCGCCAGTGGGGGATTGCAGGGGATTGCTATTGTTGTTAACACAATATTGCGGAGCAATAACCGCCACGAGGCCCCGACGTCAAAGTAAACTCCAAGAGATAAAGTCAAGCGTTGCAGATATCTGGATCAGAGTAGGGTATCTGACCACTTTCTGGCTCTGAGTAGCAAAAATCTCAGTATACTGTCAGAGCCCATCTCGGGTAAGTTGAACAACTTGACAGTCGGAGCTAGACGGGCGTATGTCACGTCATCACGTGTGACATAGACACTTTCCAAGTCACGCTTCCAACCCGCACCTCAACCTCATAGCACATCATGCTGAACGCTGCTCTCCGTGCCGTCTGCCCCGTTGCCGTGCGCAGCATGCGCAGGTCGACACCTTCCACCGCTTTCCGCGCGCTTTCCACTACCACTCCTCGTTTTTCGGGTCCCGCACCTCCTTCGATCTTCGGGGAGGGTGCTAAGCCCGGTGAAATTCCTTCCGACGAGCAACAAGCAACTGGTCTGGAGCGCTTCCAGCTTCTCGGGGAGATGCAGGGTATTGAGGCGTTTGACGTGGAGCCTCTTGACTCGAGTCGTGTGGGCACTCTGGCAGACCCGATCAAAGTCTTTTCACTGGTATGCTTTGCACCGCAACTGTGTATCGCATCACCTTACAGAATTCAACCATTTCAGGACACGTCTCGCATTGTGGGATGCACTGGTTCGCCAGCAGAAAGCCATGAGTTGCACTGGTTCACTGTCAATAAAGAGAAAAACCGTCGTTGCCCTGAATGCGGCTCTGGTGAGGGTTCAGCCTCTTACTGTCCAATCCATCCTAAAATTTTGCAGTCTACGCACTCGACTTCCAGGGTGTGGAACACCATGATGCTCACCACCATTAAAATGAGCAATTGCTTAATTTATTGCGGAGAGCAGTATCACATGTTCCTGTTTCCTTAGATCATTAGATCCCTCTCATGAGGTTGAGGTACAATGACTGATTTGCATTGCCATTGCGTGCGTGAGCCGGAGGCCATGTGAAATGCTTGGTTAAATATCAGCATCAAAAATTAAACTCTAGAAGAGAGACGAGAAAAACGTGCATAATGAATAGAACAAAGCAGAGGAACCGTCCAAGGTGTTAATACATGAGAGAACTACACGGCTGATAAAAGACCCAGCAGCTATGAGCTATGTAATGATGCACCGACTTTCATCCAGTGCTGATGGGCTGCGAATTGGGGAACCAAAAGCACTCAGCGTCCACTGCCTCATTCTTGCGCAGCACGGGTCATCTTCGATGTCAAATACCCAACCTACTGCCGCTCGTAATTGAGCACCTTGCATTAGCGCTGTGTAGTAAAGGCTGTTATCTTTCACGACCTGTAGTTGCGTGAACAAATGTCACCAGGGATGAACTTCAGGCAGGACGCACCTCCTGGTATATTCTTCGCAGTCTCGTGCTTTCTTCTGGAGTTTCGAGCCATAATTTCCCCGGTGCAGCAAACCGAGGGTCATTGATTCCGTCGTATCTAAGCCAGGGGGGATAATCCGCGGCGAGTATAGCAGGTAATGTCGAATGCATCCACCAGTCTAAGGTACCAGTGATATTGCCGGTGGAATCAACCATCAAATTCATGTCTCCCAGCCCGTCGTGTGCCAGTACCAGGTGACGGACACATTGTTCATCGACTTGAGGTAGGTGCCTCCGCACGTGCGCAATTAACTGTGATATGGATACTTGCGCTCGGAACCTACTCTCATCCTCTGTGTCTAAAGTGAATGCTCGCCGTTTCTTCAACGTGGAAAGATATTCGAGGTATTTTTGCAAAGTGGGAAAGACCGTAGAGGCACTGGTATGACTGACATTGCCAATCCGCGGTATTACGACGAGCTCATCCGGAGAACTCCTGACAGAGATGGAGCCGATCATTTGTGGGACGTCAAGGTCGAACAACTTCAGTGCGAATTCCGCATATGACCGCACCAGCTCCTCCTTTTAAGCACTGTCAAGCAACCGAATGGAGCGATTAGCCATATGAAGACAAACCTTCGCCAATGAAGACAGCGTCGGGTATAGGTCTTTGATGGGTTCACCAGCCACGCCCTGTGTGACGAAGGTATTCCGAGGGTTTTCGGCGCCACTTGACAGGACATGTAAAAGATGTGGCGCGTGCACCGCGGAATGTGCGGAAAGCCAGCGGAGGAGACCAGTCTCACTCTCAAAGAGTCGTTGACTCCAATCGCAATCAGAAGAAGTGGGCCGTAACCACGCAAAGACAGTTTGACCGTCTGCTAGTGAGATTTCGAAAACCTGCAAAAATGGATCGTCAGTGCTGTCACAACGGTTACAATTTCAACAAAATGCGTACCGGATGGGCACCTAGTCTTCGTCGTCGCAAGGATTTTATTTAAAAGCCTTGCTGCGTTAATTGAGCGAGCAACGTTTGTTCTGTGCTAGATACAGACATATCAAGCGTTGGTGCTTGTCACCAGCGAAGTGTTCAAGAAGAGGATCAGCTTATATGGAGTCTAGTAAGCTCCGCATTCGCCGGAATCCTAGGGAACTTGGACAAAGGGGAGAAATGACGCGACGTTAATGTAGCCTTCTTCTGGGGTAACAGGCTCATCTTGGATTGTGGAGAACACGGTGATCGGGCACGAGGTGTTCACGTAGCCCTCATTCTAGCCATTTCTATTCTGATGCCGCTTGCTTATCAGCGCAGTGCACGATAGCGGGACTACGTAGTGGCACGACAGAAATAAGCCTAGAAGACTAGAAGAGTGGGTAGTAGTCAGGTCAAGTCCACATTTGGCCGTGCATGTCACAATATTGGACTGCTGCTGTAATGGATGTTTGGCTCGGAAGCTGCAGCCAAACAACCGCTATGATATTGTTCAGAATTACATAGCAAGTGCCCAATGTCCATGCATCATCATTGATCATTGATCGACGCATCGATCAGAAATTAGACTGACTGCAAGACGGTAATTGAGGCTCCAACTTCCGATTGGCAATCTTCAGCAAGGGAAGCAAGTCGCCGGCCCACCAACATCGATGCTATTGTTGCATCGAATCTACTGATTCTTGATGAACTTGCGCTATACCTGGAGCTCGCGTGGAGCAGTATCATATGGTCGCGCTGCCAACCAAGGGAGAAGAAATATGCTAAGGTTCTCCGCTTAAAGTCCTATCAGCGACTAATGGTGCAGCGTGCTCAGGGTTTTCCTCTACCCACATTCGACCAAGATACGCCCAAGTACAAATCTACTGTACTCCTTCCAGGAAACTGCCCTGCAGTACTCATGTTTTCGTTTCAACCTGAAGGTGCATTCCCAACATCATAACTTTACCTCATTCGCTTAGATTTATCATTTACCTCCACTGCACCCCGGAGTCTTTTCATGGCTGCCTTCCGCCGTTTCATATCGATTTGACCTTGAAGTTTCAATTCAATCCTCTTCAAGCTTACGACTCCAGCTATGGTGCGGAAGTGCGGTTTGCAGCGAGGGGCCCCATTACGGTTCAGAATATCCACGGAACGATCCTCGACGACGTACCAACCTAATGAAACGAATGTCCTCCTATTTGGTCTGCCTAGGGGAGACTACGTACCACCTAGTGCTCGCACTTTTGAGTCGGTTTTTAGCTCCCTATCTGGAATCGCAGCTGATTATATCGTAGCGCTCGGAACGCTAGTCCCCGACCCCATGTGATGTATTACCTTGCTTTAATAGTCGTGAAAATGTCATCACCGTTAACTGCATCTAATTAATCCGTTCACCATGAGCCAGAATACAATCGACATAGCCAGCTTTATTACGATGCAACTTTGTAGAACGATGTGCAAGTCGGACAGCAACGGGCGCCAACAAACCTGACAATTGTGCGTCAAGACGTAAACAGTCACAGAAGATTTTCGTATTGACGCACAGCTACAAGATCACCAACTGCTCACACGCGTTGCGCAGAAATTGGCACAATATTGATAAATCCCTGCTCGCTGGAAAGACAACAGAACAATGAACTGAAACAGCACCACGAGAGACGATGAACATGCCGTCATAAGCGACAACACCCAGGAACGGCGACGAAGTGCAAGTGCAGGCACAGTAATGGGTGGACAAGGAAACTTTAAGCCATTGACAGAAAATTTCGGGAGACGTGAAAGAAAATGCGGGGTAATAAGAGCGTCGTGGCAATAATAAGGAAATTTGGAAACATCATGACATGAATTAAGCAATGGATATCACGTACGCGAGGTGCCCTATAAGGCTGTTTATAAACACCCTGAGATCCGTCAGCAGAAGTCAAATGACAAATTAAAATACTCACATTGTCACGCAGAGCTGCGTTAAAAAGAAGCACACGCAGCAGGGGCTGGTGAGCGGCGGAGACAACGGGAAAGAAAGTGCAACGACAAGGGGAATTTACAAACTCACCAAGAGCAAGACCACCTATAAAGCAAGAGGCCCGTGAAGGTCAACATAATCACAAGGGAATATTCGTACAAGGCGAATGACAGGGTTATCGACAGCTAAGACTCGAGAGGCAGCTTCTGAATCACTTGGCAAACATCCCGTAGCAAACATGATGATAGAAGCGCTCACACAAGCTTCTGGAGGCATTAATTCTCACAGCGCAACTTCATGGTTTGGTAATAAATAAAAACAGCGGAAGTGTTTAGCAACTCGACGGGCACGGCTGCTGTCAAGAGGGATAATGTTTCGGAATAGGGGAACTTACTAAACGTTATCACCAGGGTCCTCAATTACGTGCCTCCTCCGAGTTCTACGCTCAAAAAATTGAGCGTCGGAAACTTATCGACGTCAGGTGACAACGCTCGAACGGGAGAATGTCCCGTGTCAAAACAGAATGTATCGTGAGTCTTTTCGCGTTTTATTTGACAGGACTGGGACTTGATTTTTAAATTACGGTTGAAGGATGGATGAGAGAAGGGAATTCCAAGATGCGATTGAACGGGCGGTGCACAATCTGAACGCAATGCACGCACCGTCTACTATTCTACACTCTCAAGAACAACCGATCCGCTGCTTCCTGAACGCCAGCCCTAAAACCCCAGTCAGTCAACCCCACGCACGCAAGCCACTACACGCACGATAAGTAACAAAACCATCCAACCATCAAGACACGAAACGCTTCAAAGATCCAAACTCGCAATCCTCTGCCATTGGTTCTCCATCTCCGCATCCTCATGCTCACCGAACCGCCTCCGCGCGCTCTCTTCTTTGATCCCGTTCTTCATAGTCCTGTCTGTTGCTGAGGGGCTTTCAGGGGAGTCTTGTTTGTTGGCGAGGAGGATGGGGATGTGGAGGATTTTTGGGGAGGAGAGGACCGATTTTGTGTTTGTATTCGTCAATGACATTCGTTATTTTGTGTCATTTTGTGGTTGACTGAGGGAGAACGTGCTAAATAATTCTTAGCCCTCACCAAGCCTCTCTCGGTCTTGCACGTCCATAACGTATGCTACGGCGTGACAGTCGCCAATGATTCGCCATAGTATCTATGCTAGATGGACCCGGATACCGCGTTATCCTCCGAGGTCGAAGATGTTTAGGATACTTGACAGGAGTGATATCTTTCCCGCTGCACGTCATATTCAGTGAGGGTAAGCCGGGGTTATATGAGAGTCACGTACTATTCTGCCTCACAGTAGGTCCGATATAAGATGGGTCAAGTCCAGGAGTGGGATCTTTATCTTCTCTAGCAACGTATCTCTTGGCGCCGTAGACTCGCTTGAAGTGCAGGAGAGAGACGTACTGTAACCTGTTGTGCCTGCACCGTCAAGGCCGATAAGTAATTATTACTGAATTATGAATGCACGTCAAGGAACGGCTCAGTTACGGCAGTAATTGCTAAGCCCGGTCGAGCTTTCGCAATTCGACAACAACGATTTTCCAATGGGGTCGTGATAAACGCCAGCAGCTTAGTGCAGACCAAAAATGCATCCATGACAGTAAACAGCGCCTATGACTGGAGGAGTCATGGGCTTCTATGTTCAAGCCTACAAACTGCGTCGTAAGTACTTCAGTCACATCCTGTGTTCGAGATTTCCCCCATTCCAAGATCTCCATTGCTCGACCGGCAGTAAAAGTTGTTCAGAAGCAAACATGTTGATCAAACTAGTATTAACTCACGTGTCATCCCATTAACCATACTGCAACGATATGAAAGCAGAAACACGACTCACTGCCACACTAGTTGTCGCAAAAAAATATAACCTACCACGCCGGTGAGTCATGTGGTTAAATCCAGGACGCCAACTACTCATACTCACACATCCATACACCGGACCGCAGCCTGTGCATTCTCTGGTATGCCTGCAAAATGTAGGACATTCTGCACTGGCAGCGTCACTGGCAGATATTGAACTTGTCAAAGCAGCGACAACGACAAGGACAAAGGAGAAATACATTGTTTGTGAGGATATGATATGTGATGAAATAAATGGGACAGTACGGAGACGGCTTGCTTTTATGTATTGAGTATTGTTCTGGCAGAACTTCACGGTGATATAGGAAGAACCCATTTACCTGAAATCCCAGATGATATTTAGAATGCCAGCAGATTGTCACCTAAGATCTTGAGAACTTACATACTTCATACAGACGGACGGCCGTAAAACGCCCTATATTGGCGACAGTGAGAGGTCATGGAGCCCATACTTAGTTTCACATGAGTAGTAGAGTTGCTATTGTTGATTGTATCAATTTCGAGCTGGCATCACGGCAAAATGTAGCCACATACCGACCTCATTGACGTGAAGGTGGAAGGCCTGGAGTCTTCGACACAGCACTTGAACGATTCTCCGAGGCCAAAGATGAGTCGATTACACGGAATTCCTCAAAGATTTGTTGCTAGCCGCGTGGCGCCCCTTCGGAGAAGCACCAAGCGTTCATAGTGTTCTATCTGCCATTCCAGAGTCTGACTGCGCATTTATCGATCATTTTGCGGTTGTATGCCAACTTGTAGCATATAGGTCATAGAACAATGCAAGACCGGCCAACGACATGGAAACAGTCACAAATCTATGAAAAAGGAAATAAAAACCCACGAACTTCTCTGCACCAACCACTACTTGCGTGGGGTCGGGGACAGACATGTACTGCGTGCCTTGTACCTCGATGAACGCTGTGTTCCTGTAGACACGTCGCGCCTCGGCACCTACAGTCAGGGACACAATCTATTACAACTCACCAAGGACACCTTCTGGTCGAAGGAGCGCCAGTGTACGGCATTAACTGCCATACTACGTTCCGCGTCATTGCAACGGCTCGGGTCCGCTTTCGTAGATAGGGCCAATTACTCTGGAAGTTGACTCATTGGCCGCTAAAAGCCTTCTTTTGTAAAGAGGTGGCTGGTGCTGATGACTCGTGAGGGTTCCGATGTCTTTGTTGACAAGTATAAAGCTGCCCAGAGTATGGGTCCTTGCCCTCCATCATGCGATAGATCATCCTGTCACTAATGTCCTCGGCACCCTCCTCTACTACAGGTCATAACGTCAAAACGGATCAGGTTCTGCGTTCGCTCGGATCGATAGCAGTTCGGGTGATAGACCAGCTCACCAACGCGTTGCTTTTCTTTGCACAGGGTTGTAATCGGTCTCATCTTGTGCGCTGGATTCGGTGCTGTTGGGACATTCTGTTGCATGATCGTTGGACATGGTATTCTTCAGACCCACATGAGTGGGTTCTTTGTCTCGATACACTCCACCGCAAAAGTCGGTGCAGTGGGAGGGGCCATCGTCAATGTATTGCTGCTCCCTATCATGATATCATTTGTTGTATCCCAGCCAGCGGTGACATCCCCACTATGCCTAGCCCTCCTTACAGCTGGTTACCCCACAACGATAGCTTCCAGCTGTGTAGGCGTGGTCATTCTCCGTCACATTCCAGGAGGAACACTAGATATTCCTCGCGCAACATGCGCAGCTGCTGTGGGATACTCTGTTCTTACCTCTCCATTCACGCTAGTCACTATTTATTCCGTAATACAGAGATGCAAATGATGTTGCACTTTCGTGAGTTTACTGTCATCTTCATTATTTTTGTGGCTAATCTTTGTACTAGCCCTTCCGTCCCATAGCCTTGCTGGGCAAGATAGCGTACGATTTTCCAAACCATTTCTACTTCATAGGTTGTTCTGTTTCGACCCCGACGAAGCCTCATCGCTTTTGTCGGAAATATGGACGTCATTATCCTCGGGATGAGTGTGGTCAATGAAGATGATATTGTTCTGGATACCGCGAATGTCGGCACAGCCCTAGGTCTTGGTAGCATCCATGAGGTCAGGGTACGTGAGCTTCCCGATGAACGCTGAGATCTCTGGACGCATACAATGTTGGGCTGTCAAAGTTTCGTGAGGGAAGCCCCGGAGAACAGGAGCTCGAAGAGTGATCTGTTGAGTTCAAAGCCATTGCCCTTTTCAACAGCCAGCTTGTAGTTGTTGACTTTGGGACGCAGTTGCCTGTGGAGAGTCAGCGAGATGTCCTGAAAATCGCTATGGACTCGCGTACTTGGGGTGGTGAACGGACGAGGGCAGTTGGTTTGCATTCTATTAGAAGATGCCACAGAAAAAAAGATGAAACGATGCTTACAGTGTGCACACCGATATTCAAAATGCTCAAGAATGCATATGGCCGCTATAGCTATCCTCTCCATCAGTTTCGATCGTAGTCCTCGTGTCAGGCTGTGAAAGCACCAAGTCCGCAAGGGCGTGTGTGCTGAGACCCTCAGCATCTACACCAAAGAGTTAATCGAGAAGACACTTGATGGCACGGTAGTCGAACATTGGGTTGAGATTGAAAAAGTCGAAATCTACATCGACGAACGTCAGAGTCAGCTAGTCATTATAGATTATTATGGTAAACCTCATATGGAATCATACGTCTTCCGAGACAGCTGTCGGAATCTTCATAGTCGGCTTGATTTTTGCATTTTGACATGAGTATGGAGTGGATCAATGGATCAATACTGTTAGGGTTAGTTAGTGGGGCACACCACGCACCTCTCAATAGGAGTTTGGATGCAGCCTTGACAGGCTATAGTGTCATATTTATGCATAAAGAGGGCTATTAAGGGACGTTATGGTTATGTATGGTTGACGCTTACCCTCGACCACTACTGCCTTTATGCATGACAGGTCCCGTTATGCATAATGGTGTCGAGATGCTTCGGTAGCTCGTTTTGGTTGTTCTGATCAGGTCCCGTTATGCATAACGGTGTCAAGATGCTTCGGTAGCTTGTTTTGGGTCGTTTCTGATCGTTGATCTTGCTTCTCGATCAACAAATCTGGCCTCATTTGGATGAAATATCTAGGCCTGTTCCTTCCCTCTGGACTTCCGCTCCTTCTGGCTCTTCTGCTGGCCAAATTTGTCCCTTGGCTGGTTCCTAGTGGTTCAAACCATCACAGTGCCTTCTACTTGCCCAGATTTTCCTAAGTCCAGTCGTGTGATTTTCCTAAGTCCGTCGTGTGATTGTCCTAAGTCCATCGTGTTTACAACATCGAGTCTATGATTTCAGAGTATGATCAAGATTGTGATTCATCATGCGGAGTGTCTCAATATATACATGATTTTGTACTAAGTGAATGCTACTACAAGTACGAGTAATGTATGGACTAGTCAATAAATCAATTTACTTCAACCTCCTGCTCAAAAGACATGAGACGAGCAAAGAGTGGAAAAGAAACACATACTTCTTTGGTGGTCCCCTTGCAATGGAATGTCCGGCAGCAAGCCTCGCTTGCTTCATATTTTGGCCAATGTTGTTGGCCTGTACAAGTTGTGTTGTCTCCATGTGGATGCGCCCAGTCTTCCTGACTGCTGGAGGAACCAGCCACGTCAGTGACAATCGTTGGAGCGAGTAGTTTGAGGAGCTGCCATTGGAGCGAGCAGTTTGGGGAGCTGCCACATCAGCAACAATTGTTGCACTGACCGTCGGAGGAGCATCAGCGACAATTGCATCCACAGATTCCGAGTCCGTGCCTAACGGAGGCTGAGGGTCATTGGAGGCTTCAGTGATTGCGTCTTCACTGGCTGAAGACGCAAGGGCAAGGTCTGCAGTAGCTGCAGCTGCATTGCCCCCAGATTCCGTGGCCCAATGGTTGCAGGACATCCAAAAAGGTGCCAGCTGGAGCGGAAATTGGAGGGAAGTTGAATTTGGGAGCCTCAGAGGTGATGAAAGGCGGCAGAGAAGGCTGACTTACGTCAGATGGAGCTGTCTGGTCAAGAAAGCTGTCGAGTATATCATGAGATTGAATGTGAGGAGAAGTGTAGTTTTGTGAATCATGTGCACTGCGGTTCCATGAGGAGATTGGTGAAGAGGATGGTGAGTTGAGGTATGGCATGAGAGAGGTCGAAGATGAGGGTGGAACATTCAAGTTATCGTCGTACATATCGAAGGTCAGTAACTCCATGTAACCGCTGCTTCCACTGGCACACAAACTAGTGAAGTTGGGAGTATCAAAAGAGAGTAGCGAAGACGCAATCGGGGCAGATGCAGGGGGTAACGGCGCATGACTGAATACCTGCATCCCGGGCTCAGGGACTCCTTGCTCAGCTCCAAGCACTGATGTATCTTGTTGAGAGGGTGTTGGGGGGACATAGCTGAGTGCCCGTGTCTTCCTCATATGTTCCACTTATTTATTAATCAGTATGCAGTATGAATGGCCAAGGGAAGCGAAGCTTACAGAAAAGACGCGAGACAAACGCAGTGAACGGCTTAAGGTGTCTTTCATTGAACTCAGGAGTCGCTTGCATCCAGTTTTGACCCTGCTCATTCACTCCAGTATGGTAACTTAAAAAAAAAGAAATTTATTAGCAGACATTTGACACAGCGGTGTGATTCAAACTCACCTGATGACATTGATGTCACCATTGTAGCGAGGGTCAGGTCCTGCACCCATAATTGACCAGTGGAACCCGTGTCATCTCGTGAATTGCTTGCAGGAAATGCAGCGATAGGACCTGGGCACTCCTCAAGTGCCCTGCAAAATCAACAATCAGTAAGTCAAATTTGCGATCACTATCAAATAACAGCTACTTACTTTGCTGAGCTCTGTGTTTGTCCTTTCTTCTGGGGCACGCTTCTGCTTAAGCACCTTCGCTTGCTTTCGCATCACGTTCTGCTTGCACTGTGGCGATGCAAGACGCCTGAACATCGGGACTGGCAGCTGTGTAAGCTTCTTGAGCTAATTTCCTCATGGCATGTCAAGCTTTTCTCCTTTAGTGACGATACTACTGGAATCAATAGCATTTCGCAGCTTGATGTGAACATCAGCACCAGTGGCTTGATTTGGCAAATATCTCTGCCTGCTGTGTGAACTCGAGTTCCCTTCACCCTGTTTCCGGGCATCTTATGGATTGATTTCGTCATCGCGTTGACTGATGCACTGACCACCCCTTTGTGATCGGTAGTTAAACCATGTCCTAAGTTGCTGTGTGGTGGGTGATCATTTGTGAATTTTAGTCCAAGACTCTGAATTATGCCTACCTGATGCCTTTTTTTGACCGCGATCCCTAACAATTCATTCTGCTCTTCTGTTAAGGATTCATGGTCTGGAACACCAGGGTACATGATGCTGATTTCGGGCCATTTTTCAAACCAGGTGCGATAAACCTCAGTCCAGAAGGCTGCCAAGGTTGCTTCGAGCTGCACCTTAAGGAAATCATTGTACAATCCCTGCAGAAATTCCTTTTGTTCGGCTGTCACCCATTCTGTCCCTGCCATCTAGCCACATTGTCTCATAAGTAACATTAATAGAACAAAATGACACACAGCTTACTGGGTTGATTTTTTGAAAATGTTGGTGTACGTGAGATTTCAACCAGTTCTAAGCTTAAGGTTCGCCGCGCTAACCACACGAATAACTTCTTGACGTTTATAGACCAATCATCTCCCAGTACTTGGGTTCGGCGCGTGAACAAACAGCAAACTGTATTCTGCATTACAAGTATGAACCGATTGAATGAAATACATAAATTTAGATATGGATGCCCTTCTGGTACATCAACTCTCCCATTGAGTGGGCAATTGTCAACTCGGAAACCCCTTCAATGTTCAAAAAATACTGAATGTCCTCCAGATAACCAAGCACAGTGTTTAAGTAACGTGAGACTGATTCAGTGGCGCGAGACTGAGCTGACACTCCATAGAAATTCATGATCTGGTCCTGTGCAGGAATTGCATGGCGGAGTAAGACTTCAACCTTAAGTTTTGGACTGTCGACGATCGAGGTGTCACCCTTGCCATTCCCATCATCTGGAAGGCTTTTGACATATTGAAGGACAACACCCTCCATAAATGCGCAGGGTTCTGGGACTAATGCCAGCATCTCGTCCTTGATGTTTTTGATAGCAATGAGGGACGCTTGGAGATCAAATCTGTGGGTCATTAATTATGTTTCATTTCGTCTATTTATAAAATATGATGTCGACACATACAGTTGGTCATTCTCGTTCTCGTCATCGTCTGCCTCCGTCTCGGATGTAGTAGCATCATCTTCATAATCCAAGGCCTCAGCAAGAGCTTTTTGAAGTTCCAATATCTCCTGTGATGGCTTGCTTATGCGAAGCTCTTGCCGCCTTTGCAGTATACTGTCCCTGTTTCTTTAATTTACTTGGTCAGGAACTAGCGAGGCCGTAAAATGTATAATAACTTACTTTGCATAGTGACGCCGGCGTCTTTCACGAGATGCCTCTAGTTTGGCCTGATCTGTCTTGTAAATGGGAGGACATGCCATGATGGTGTTGGTTGGGAGGTTGGGGATGTTTTGGTTGAAAAGAAGTACAGATTGCTTTTGGAGTGTGGTCGGACGATAACTCGTGCATTCATAGCTACTACAAGAATGTTAAGTCCCTTCATGCAAGGGTCTTAGTTGGTATTTATATAGAATGTATCTACTTCGCAAACATGGTCTCATTGTATTACCGCTGGATGATTCAATGTACTAGTAGCTTGAATTCTCTTTCAATGAAATTGATCTTGATCAGACGAAAACCCACTTCGGTTGGATGAAAACCCACTTCTGTGGTCAGACAAAAATGAGCGTACAAAGTAGACTAGATATGATGGCATCCTGCAAATTTAAAACTAAATAGATACAGTCTCACTCTCTGAGAATATTTAATAATCAGGACTCGCCTTCATGCACATGAACCACAATGAAATAAGTTGACATGGGGCAGGCGTACTAGTGCAGTACAGATTAGTGCACGTGACCTCATGTGCTTGATCAGTACACTTCAACCAACCAACAACTAACCATGGGCAAAAGCCAGCGGCAAAAGGAGCTGGCAAAGCTGCAAAAAAATGGTATAATTATACTCAGGAGTATCACACTAGGCAGCAGGCCGGACATCAACATGCTGCAGATGCACGATTGGCCGAGGAAACAGGCGACAACCAAATTCTTCGCCATAAACATCAATCATATACCATCAGAGGACCTAGTCGTCTGTCTACCTCAACAGCATATATCAGCAGTGCACCCATACCCTCTCAAGTGACTTCAAATATAACGGACTCCAGGTCAAGTGATTTCTTTTTTGATTTCAATGACAACGAGGACATCGCATACGTGATCTACAACAAACATGTGGCCGAAATGACGACAGAGCCCAAAAAGCGCGGGCACACTGCTGCAGTATGTATTTACATTGATTATATTTGCTGACTTACCGACACGGCTTATTCAGGATAATCCTATTGGGCTCTGGCTCAAGGAACGCGAAGCTTACCTCCTAGAACTTCTCCGGTTGGAAGGCCGTGGCGACTACATGTTCACTGAAGTCTGTCTGGGCAGCAGTGAATGCAATGGTTGCCCTGAGTATCGGTGTCGGGATTGTTTTGGCACAGCTCTCTATTGCAAGGACTGCACAGTTTCAAGGCACCGAGAAAGTCCGCTACACAGAATCCAGGTTAGTCATTTATGTGATTGATTGTGTATTATATACTGATGACCAGGTAATTATGAAGCACTGGGATGACGGGCATTTTAAATGCACTAGCCTGAAAGACCTCGGTCTCTGGATACAACTCGGCCATCCAGTTTGGGGGAGATGTTGCAACCCATCGCCAGTGTTTCACGACGATTTTGTCGTTCTGGATGTGAACGGTGTTCACCCGGTCGCTATTGACTTCTGTGCCTGCGAAACTGCTCAGTCTTCTACCACCCAGCTTCTCTGTGCCCGTTGGTTCCCAGCGACAACTATAGACCCCAGAACTTCCGCCACTTTCCGCCTACTTCACCATTTTCACATTCTCACTTTCAAATCGAAGGCATCTGCCTTTGAAGTCTGGCAGACGCTCTCCAGGCATACGGATAATACGGGTCTCAGTGCTCCGAAGGTAAGCAAACAATTCCCTCAAGTATAGATTGCCTTGCTCATGATCGATGGACAGGATTGCTATGAAGCGTTATTGAGAATGGTTAGAGAGTGGCAAATTTGACGCTTCTCAAGCAGTTTGGGCGAGGACATGACCCTGCAGGTGTTGGTGCCACCCTGGAAGGATCTTGCGCAGTCATTTGTCCAGCATGTCCTCAAGCCGGTAAAAACTTACCGCAGGGTTGGGAAGACGCCCCTCCAGAAGTTTGGTGAGTGAATTACCTTGTGATGTGTCTTACTTACCAACATTTGTACAGATGGCGCTATGGACTTTTCCTCGCAATCGATGCGAACTTCCATTTAGCACAGAAGAACGTGTCCTCGGACAGCGTTGACCCCAGTCTTAGCAAGGGGTGGGCATATTTTGTCGAGGAAGATGGATACAAAGCATTCCTTCAGGATGTTAGCAAGGAGCCGCAAGAGGTACATGCTCCACGCTCTCAATTTTCAGACTTAATCACTAACCTCTTTAATTAGAAAAGCACTTGTGTAAGCCACAGCGCTGTCAATCTAGCAGAAACCAAGAATTCCCATGGCCTCGCAGCAACAGGAGCCGGGACCGTTGACTGCGCACGTCACAACTTCAAATGGCCATGCACTGTTGGCGATCTTCAGAAAGGAGAGAAGTACGTATTTATTTTTGTAATTGCTTCTCGTCTCTCATAAGACCATCAGATATATTAACATGGATTTCTTATTCTTCTCGACGATGCAGCATGCCAAGGACCTTGTTACCTTGAATGTCTCATACGACATAGCCTGTCAATGGAGCAAACATCTGTGGGAATGCATGGCTCGGTACCCCAATTGGATGCATGTCGAACATGGCAGCAAAATCACGACATTTCTGGTTCCGAAGTTTCACTTGCCCGCTCATATTTTTTCATGTCAAATCACCTACTCACACAATCTGGTTAAAGGCATGGGCCGTACTGACGGTGAAGCTCCGGAGCACGGGTGGGCAAACATTAACCCTGTTGCTACCTCCACACGCAAAATGGGCCCAGGTTCTCGACGCAACACACTCAACAATCATTTTGGCAACTTCAACTGGAAGAAGGTGACCAATCTTGGTAAGTTCGCATTTGTATTACTTCAGACACTGGCTAATCAACTACTAGGTACCAGTCTATTACAAAAACTAAAGGCCGCTATACCAGAACATTACCAACATCAGCGGGACTTCAACGAATTCAACGAGACACTCATTACTGAACGTCCAGAAGAGGTAGGAAGATGGAAACAGGGAGTCGAGGAATGGGAAGCAGACATGTCAGCAACAAACCCTTTCAGCCCAACGACAGCAAGTAAGTTGTCCATAGTATCTACATGTAAACCTCTACTGATTCTTTAGACATGACACAGGCATCAGTCAGGTTGACCCTCTCTCAGGAAGAGAGTGAGGAGCTCGAGTGCGGCATCAACAATTCCCTCCACAATGAAATATCGCCAGCCGTCCTTATCTCATCCGGCATTGGCATTGAAGACGAACAGTAAGATTTTTAAATTCACCCACCTTGGTCAATCATTAACAAACCACTCCCCAGACGTTGACTTCTACGAGACCTTCTAGCACTTCGTGACCATGCGACTGATCTTCAGTGTTCGAAGCTGCAAGATCGCATGAATGTACTGCAGTGCAAGGTCGATCAGTGGTGTCAAGTTCAGGTTCTGTACATGCCCTCTGTGGCCCCCATCAGAGCTGCCCAAAGTACCAACACATCAATCAAGGAGAAGGCACATCAAATCAGGTTATTCCTCCCTTCTCAGCTCAAGGAGCACGCACCAGATGCTATCTGTGACAAACGACTTTGCCGGTTCGAATGGGAACTGCACTGTGCGCAAGCTTCGATGCGTTGAACGATCTCTGCTGGCATCTTCCTTCTTCGTACCCACCTGTATAAATTCAAGAATTCAATATCCGGGGTCAGTGAGCCAACACATGCGCCGCTACCATGTCAGGAAAGTCGAGCGAGCAATGTCACAGAGGCTGGTGAAAGGTACCGTCGTGCGCGAACCGCATTAAACTACCTATGTGGAACACTTGCAGAGGATGGCTGGCAGACCATCTTCCAATACTGGAGCCAGCTCACGTGCGCGGAATTGTCAGAAGGCGAGGCAGGTCAATCCGAAGGCAACCAGACTCTTTTCTGGATTGGAAGATGCAGGGCGTCTCAGCAACTGGGGAGGTTCTTGCGGATGTGAGTGTTCCCTCGTTTCTTTCTGAGTTTTTTAATCCTGTCGTCAGCGCTATGCATCGAGTGGTGTAAAGCCAGAGCACGTGCGCCACTGCTGGACAGAAGAAGTGCAG